TGACCATATAAAAAAAATTCACAAAGATGAACGAAAAAAAAATTTAGATCATTTCATTGGTCAATTTTTTCAATTGTGATAAAAATCGTTGCGCATTTGATATTTCCGTTGAACCATAGATGATATGTTTTGGTGATGATTTTGATTTTGTCTGAAAAAATAAAACAAAAACATTGATAAAAAAAGAAAAATCCATATGGATGCCATTACTTACTTTACAATAATCGACCAAATTTTGGTATTCAATATAATTACCACCGCCTACAACAAATACGATAGCCTGAAAAATTTGAAAAATAAAAAATTTGTAAAGGACAAGTTATTCAGCGACAATATCGGAATAAAGATGCTATTTGTATCAGATATGATCAAAAGAAAAATAACAAAAATTAACGATTATTTTATCCTAAATCAAAATAAAGTAAACTACTACAAACTATTAAATTCATTCATTTTAAATGGTCATAAAAAATTTGGCAATCGGGTGGAGAACAAACGGATCAAAATCAGTTCTTTTTTTCTCGGTAAATTCATCATCATCAAAGAATAAAAAAAAATTTCATTTCATGTTAATTTTATATTCAATTCCAATAACGATAATAATAACAACTTGGTGATTTTAGAAAAGTTTTATCTCTTTCCTTTTTTTTAAAAAAAAAGAAAGCTACCATACCTTGCTAATTTTGGGCGTAATTCGGTTGTCATCATCATCATTGGTTGATGTGTTCATAATAATGATGATGATGAAATAAATTCTCACACACACACACAGCAGGAGCGAGAAAAAATAAAGACGAATTGAATGTCTTCATTTACTTATGTATAATCATCATTATCGTTTTATTCATTCATTCATACATTTCAATAATGATGATAATAATCAACAGAGAGAAAGAGAGAGAAAGAGAGATAAATTGATAAGTAGCCCATCATCATCTTTACTATGTCACAGATTAGGGATTCTTAATTTTTTTATAGATTAAGGATTAATTGTATATAATTACATCTAGCAATAATTGATTAAAATAAAAATTCATCGTTTAAAACAAACAAATCAACAAAGTATACAATCCAAACAACAACAACAACAACAACAACGACAACAAAAACAAGAAAAAAGATCAAAAAATTTTAGATAACAAAACTACAAAAAAAAAAAAAAATATTTCTTAGAAGAATATAATTCTTATATTATCTCCATTTTAATTATTAGTAAAACTAAAAAAGAAACGAAAAAAACAGCACAATAATAACATTCATAAAGAAGAAGAGATAAGATATGGAATGTTGATCATATGCACACATGAACAATTACTTGCAGAATTCAGATACATAGCATTCAAATACAAACAAAGGTGTGCGAGCGTAAAAAAAAAGATCATGTCATAATCATGAAAGATGAATCTCTTTCTCGCTCTCTCTCATTTGATTCGACAACCAATCTTCTATGAATGAATAAATAAATGGAAATAAGTCAAGTCAAATACAAATAATAATGATAATAAAGACAGTAAAATTTCAACTATGATCATCATCCTCATCACGGATCTTCATTCATTCATTTATTTATATTCACAAGAAAAATGTGAAGCTAATGACATGAGACCATCAACAACAACAAAAAACGATGATGACAAGATTATTATTATGACATTTTGACCATTTAGATTTTTTCTCTCGATTCGATTCTTTCTCTCTTTCTATTTCTACTATTGAATCGAATGTTTTTGAAGGCCATTGTCCAAAAAAATCATCAGATGTCTATGTTCGTGTACGTGTGAGATTTAGGAGCATGATTTTTCGAGATTGGTCAGTAATATCAAAAAGAAAAAACCAATTTGCCATTGTTGTTGCTTTGTTCAAAAATTGATGATGTTTTTTTCTGGTTTATAAACATTCAAAAACAACAATAATAATGGAGAAAAAAAATTCTCAGGTCTAGACCAAGATCACAAACACAATTTAACATCATCATCGAATATTCGAAAAACTTTGAAGCTAACCAAACAACCAAAAAAAAAAAAATGATCCTTCATGGAGGTCCAATTTATCATAAATTACAAGGCAAACCAATTGAATGAAGAAACCAACAACTCACTAACTTTTTTTTAAAAAGAATGTTAACTACAGTATAATGTTGGCAAACTTAGCTTCAGGCCTTTCCACATACACACAAACAGTAACCATTCAGAATGAACACATAAAATCTTAGCTTATTGCTACATGTACATGGAACCAAAAAAAAATTATTTTTTGTTCTTGAAATATCTGTTAAAGATGAATCGAGTTTAAGTGAAGTTAACTAATACATAAAATTTCATCACCCGGATCATCAACTTTTCCATTCATTTTCAATGAACTAAGCATTTGATATTATATATCTAATCTAATATCTAATCCATTATGACGCTTGTATTTTTAAATTATTGCGCTAAAAAATATTTCTAGAGTAAAGATAGTGCCATCTATCATCTATCATGGTAACTTACATCTTGAAATGGATTTTTTGATGATGGTGATGATGAAGATCCAAATGTTCCACCATCTTCACCATAAAGATTCTGTGCTTTAGCCAATACTTTAGGATCAAAATATCGGAATTCATCAGTTTCGGGCGTCGATTTGGCTTCCATTAATGCATCTGTAACACGTGTAATGGGTAGGGTATGTTTTTTAACTACCAAATTTTTCACGCCTTCCATGACAAATTGTGATCCTTGAGACATGAGTTTCGAGAACATATTTACAGTTTTAGTACCACCACCAAGGCTTTGAAATATACTATCAACATTTTGATTTGATGACGATACTGATGATGATGCAGCTGGATTTGCAAGGAATTTACATCGTTTCACGTATTCGATTGGCGATAGATCACAACCGACATTACGTAATTCGGCAACATACTGTTCATATTCAGCATCGCTAAAATTATGATGAAGATAATATATGATGAATAAACGCATTTTATCTTCAGGCGTTCCTGCATTTGGATCACGTATTAATTCTAACGGCGTTAAAGCAGATTTTTGATCCAAATGTCCTTTCGATGCGATAATTTTTTCTTCTATTTCGAAAAAAACGTCTAGTTTTCGATTTTTAATATGTTCTAATATTGCACTGGCCACCGTTGTATGTAGATCGATTATTCGTTTAGTTTCCAACAGATTTGGTAATGTATTTATAGCACTATTCAATTTATGTGTGTTATCAGTCAACAATGAAATGGCTGCATCTGGTATGTTGCCATCGAGACCCATTTCGGATTTTAGCCGTTTCACTTCCTCTTCGGATGAACGATATGAATCTAATTTTTCTTGTATTGATTCAGCTACCTGTGGAAATGGGCTACCTTTGTGTTGATTCCAGAATTTATCTTGATTGCTTAAATCATAGGCGGTCATTTTTGATTTTTTCATCACTTTTTGACTATCATTATTATCCGATGAATTTGATTCTTTAATGAAAACCTGATTCAATTTAAAATCCAATACATCATGTAAGAGTGATTGATAGGTCCAAGAATGCAATAGCGGAGTAGCCATATCAAATGAACGATCAAGAATGATCAACAAAGGTCTTGTGAACATCAAGGACAAGGATGAAACTCCTAAACGTTGAATATCTGAACCATTGAACACAGTATTCTTCGTATCGCGCAAATTTTCACGAATCCTTTTGTCCAATTTTTCTCCCACCATTTCAGCTGCATTTCCTTTCGGTGTTCGTATGATTGGAACAACACCCAATGTTACAAAAAATGAGAAAAGACTATCAACAATATGATCCATAATAAATTCTATTTCTGGTTCTTGATTTGCCGGACGATTTATTGCATAGAATGAAATCTTATCCTTATCCGAATGCCTCAATATGAATACATCATCTTCCAATGAAATAAAATTAAGATATTGATCATAGATTTTAGAAATGTTAGTCACACAATTGGCTTGTAACGCAGCCGATGCTAATTCTTCGAGTTTAGCACGAGAAATTGGCGATATGAAATTCAGATGGTAATGATCATATAGGTGATTACGAAAATCCTGACAAATACGCATAATGTTTTCATCGTTTGGCATAACGAAATAGACAGCCGGTACATCAGGAATAGGTTCACGATCACTGTGTAATTGCCTATTCTTATAAAAAAAAATATAGTTAAAAGGGATATTAAAGATTATCATTATTTCACAAACATGTGAAGTGTAACACCGAATTCCCGTAATTCTTTAATGTTCATAAGCGGTGAAACAATATCCTGTCCATAACGATCATAGATGAATAGCTTCCAAACGGGTTCATTGGCCGTCGTATTCATAGGTATGGGTGTATTGAGATTGAGCATTTTTTTCAATGCATCTAAAATCATGACAAAATAAATGTTTATGCCAAAAACAAACAATAAAAGAGGATACCTTTTTGTTTTTCACGAATATTTAACGTTGATTCAGATTCATTTCCAGTGATGGAAAAATTTCCACTTGAAGATGCTAAAGCATTAAGATTTGATGATGATGATGATGATGCAATCGAGGAAATCATTTTAATAAAACTAAATACAAAATCTTTCAATGGAATATAATTCAAAAACGGACATGAAATGAAAAGTTTATTTATTTTGATTATTAATTTACATAAACATCTAAACACAGATCATCATATGAAAAACAGAACGTGGAATGTATGAATTGCGCATGACTTGTTGCTTCAATACGGGGCATTCATAAATGATGAAACTAATTTAAGGTAGATATTATCTATTGTTTTGTTTCCGATCATACTTGAAGACATATATTCATTAATTTGTTTGAACAATCAAATTTTGAAAAATTTAAATAATAATTTATTTATTTGATGAATTAATATTAACAAAAAAAAATTACATTATTCTTTATACATTTGATCAAAAATGGCAAATTGTAAAAAATTCTTTATCAAAAATAATAATTATAATTAATAAAATAAAAATGATTATAACATCAAAAAAAAATTGTTAGTAAAAAAAATTAAATTGATTAATGTGCAGTAATTCATCATAATGAAAAGTTTACATAGAAGTTTCTAATGGTTGACTGGCATATAATCTTGCTTTGGTGGCAGCATTCGTTGAAGATGATATATTGTGTTTAGAGTTGGCAATGGCTGGAAAATTGTTACCATGAAATGAATCATTATCTAATGATGTTTCTAGATAAGGATTATTCGATTCACTTTCGATGGTTGATGGTGCATATGAACCATACGTCAATGACGGCTGACTACCTCCCATATGATAATTTGTATTCACACCATCTAAATCTGTTTGATGATAAATAGGTTTTTTAAATTCTTTTCTATTATGAATCTCATTCTGATGATGATCGAATGTTAATAGTTCACCATCGAATGTTGTTTCCATAGGCATGTCTTTATTTTCATGTGAAATGGATGGCTCTTCATCTTCATGATGTAAGAACATTGTCGGATCCATACTACGACGTTGTCTATTTTCGTTTCTCTGATCTCTTGATTGTATTAAACGACGAATTGGTGGTGGTGGAGGAGGATGTATTGGTTGAGATTTCATCATGGTGGATTGTTGCAATCTAGGCTGATAAAAACGTGGTCTATTTGATAATTGTCCGGATGTTGGCGATGGTAAATCTGATGCAGTCGATGATGATGTAGATGGTGGTGGTTTATGTAGATCTTCAGATGATTCCGTATATTGTGATAATTCTTGTGGATCTAATGCAGGTTTAACTTTGAAATCCAATGTGGAATTCGTTTCTGGTGTCCATGTTCGTAATGTAGGATTATGATGTTCTTCTCTCGATGAGAATGATAGTGGTGACATCATTGGTGTTGATTGATCAGTTGGTCCCTGTTTAAATGCACGATTATCATATACCATGTCGAACGTAGGTTGCTGTAAATTGGCTGATCTCATTATATCCGTATTCGATGTTCGGGAGTTTTGGCCATATTTGAAGGCATCATCATAACGTTTTTGTGCCAATACAAGACGTTCATTATGATCGCTTGTATATATGGGAAATGTTGATGACAATGATTCCCCATAATGATCCTGTTGCATCGATTGTGATTGCCGCTGATGGCCACTAGCACTATGCAAAGGAATAGGTCGATATGATGGATTGATTGAACCATTAATGGATCCATTTACATTTGGATTCGATTCGGACAATAATTTTCTATTCGTGAAATATTGACTATCATTCAATGCACTCATAGAAGCCAACGATCGACTTGATCTTATTGAAGCACGAATTGAATTACGGCGTTCTAATTTCTCCAAATGTCTATGACGAGATTTACAAATCCAACAACAAATACAAGCCATCGTAAGAAGCATTGTTAAGAAAGATATGCCAATAACAGCCATTCCTAATGGTTCTTGATACCAATAATCTAATGTTGCCGTACTGATTCCAATCTCTGGATCTCGTTCGCATAAAAATGGCAGCTCATCATTACAATCATGTACACGGACATGGCCATCGATTAGTACTGAACATGAACCAATGGGTACATCAAAAGATTGAACCCATACTGGATGACGACGACGATTAAACAATGGCTGTTGTAGATAAATATAATGCATCAATTCTTCTTGATTTGATGCTCGTATGAATGGCATCGATGAATTATCTTTACCACAGAATTTCCGTGCTAGATCATAGGTCATACGACCACCGACATAAACAAAACAAGTGTCGGCAATTTTCTGATAACCACCATAGCATGAACCACTTAGTACTGACCAATTTCCAGAATAGAACGGTTCAAATTGTACCGGTATGAGATAAAATGAATCACGTGAATCACGAATACGAGCTTCAATAGCACTGGTTTCATTGAAACCCCACCAATTATAAGGAGCTTGTACAATTGCTGATGCCAATACAGCGGCAAATGATGTTGGTTCGATCAGATTTTGTTTGAGTGAATACGTTGCTGCATTTATGATTGTTCGATTTCGTGTAGATAATTCAAAATCATTATCTGGATTTACTAAATAATTGTCACTATAAATCTGACCAATGGTGCTAACAATGATTGTACTCTGTTCACCACGTTCATTTTTGGCGTGATTATTGTAGAAAAAATTCTTTGTACATCGTTGAAGTTTTGATGATGATTGTGCATGAGCAAATCCGGCCATAAACAATTGATTGTCACCATAATTATTAATTATTACATTTTCATGAAACTCGACGATTGCACGTCCGAACACCATGTTTGATCGATGTGGTGATCGATTTCGGCTAAAATAATTTCGATCCACATCAACTTTCTGATAACTATTAGCACCTTCAAAATAAAGGGCTTCTTTCTGATAATTATCGGCAAATAAATTGTTGATCAGATGTGCGTTGAGTGCCGAAACAGCAGTAAATGAAGTAGCAGATATTTTTAGGCCACCTGCACGATTATCAGTTATCAAATTATTTTGAAAGTATAGATGCGGAGAATTTTGTATCTTAAGATCGATGGTCTGTCCTTCACATGTGCTAAAATTGCCCCATAAATTTCGACAATTTCGTTTGAACATATTATTCAACAGAGCTAATTGTGGCACACTTTCACCAACGCTCTGATACAATAATGCACCGGCATTATTATCATTGATATCTGAAAATGTAATGTTATGCTGTATATCTCGTTCATCATGATAAGCACTGGGTAATGTTGTCACTTCGGCTATGAAACCATAACGACCAGATGCGCCTGATACATGTAGCTGTAGACTCATTGAAAAACCAGTGGATTTATAAAGTATGTTCTTTGCGGATGATTCTGGACCATTCGTTGTTAATGGTGGCCGTCGTGTTGATGTAGTATAACGACGTTGTCTAGATAATGTTTTTGGCCATAGTGGATTTATCGATGTGCGTTTTAAAAATTCTTGTGTAGAATCACTGTAAACTTCACCAATCAAATGTCTAGTTGTTTCGTTGAAAATATCGCCATCCCAAATCATGATCGAATCAGACATAGAAGTGATCAATGATGCATCCACATATGAATCGGTTGTTTCATCAATGAGCTCATGGATTTTATTGTGAAATATATCTTCGGTTTGATAGGCAAATTTCTTGCCTTGAATATAATCCTCTTCAAATGTATTCACTTTACCGGCCGTTTCAGTAAATTTACTCCATAGATTTAATTGTAAAAATCTTATACCAATGTTTTTCAATGGATTAGCGCTGGTAAATATTTTGACACAATCAACTGGACGATTATCATATTTATAATAAACAATTATTTTTTCTTTAACACGCAATTGTTTTCTTGCATCACAAATATCTACCATTGAAAATGCGTTATATGGTACGGTAAATACTGATCCATCTGTAATCGGTTCATAAGGAACGCGTGAACTTTCCGATGTTGAGGTGCCCGATAACAATAGATTTAGTCCGGCACCCAAATTATTCTCAGCTCGAAGACGATGTATTTTTAGAGATTCTGGTGGTGCTAAAGTTTCTACAGCATGATAGGCACTGTTTTGTATTGTCACAAACTCCAACGGTATTGAACGTTGTATCATTTGTACTGCCGCGTTTTTTTCTCCATGCAATACACCAGCACCAATAATATTGACATAATGCATAGCACTTTTCTGAAATTGTTTTCGATTATTGTTATTATTATTAGCCAAAAATTTCTTAGAATCGTCTTCTTCAAATTCAGGCAAAGCAAATCGTATGCCTCCCCAATGTTCAAACAATTGACTATCATCCTTGTTAAATCTGTTATTATCTTCACCACAAAATATATAGACAAATTCATCACCATCGTGACGACATGCCGTACTTTGAATTAATGATCGTTCCTCCAGTGATCGCCAATCATCATTCATGTAGAAAAGCAGTTCTTGAGTTTGATTATCAACAATTTGATTTTGATGAGTTTTACGATAAAAATTCGTTGATAAAAGTTTAGAATGATAAAGTGGTGCATTTTCGAATAAGGTTGATTTTCGATCATAGCTATCTTTAGAAAATGTACGTAAATCACACTCGGCTAAATTTGATTCGGATCCTTTACATTCCAATGATTCAGGCCATTCAGAGACTCTTGTTATCAATGTTGGATCCATATCTGATCGAGAAGCACGCCGTACAAATACATTCAGTGTGGAAAAACCCAATTGTCGACATACAACTTGTGCATCACGTTCAGTGAATCTGGGATCACAAATAGGTGTCCATTGTAATGTTGTTAGGTTGTAGATTTCCATGAATCCATGACGTCTCCGATCATTGCTTGCCAATTTCGGATAACCTGAATCGGCAAACCATGAAAGCTGATGTTTCATCTTCTCTTCTGCTTTTATTTCGGTTTCAGGATCACAGGTTTCCGTTAGACAAAGTCGTACACCACCATGATCACTTTTACTATACACTAATTGTTCTGTCATTGGAATCTGTCGTTTTCGGCCATAACTTTTCGATCGTTCTGTCCATGAATTCATCATTTTCGGTTGTAAAATATTCGAATGGTTTGAATTTCGTGTTATCGGTCGAAATAAAATCGGTTTGTTTTCAATCCCTATGGCGTTCAAATCTCCAAGAACTAATATTCCAACGGATGGATAGAATTCAATTTCGACACCTGGTCTTATAGTTAAAGTGGTGTCCGGCATAATTGTTAAATCTGTCTGTACCACATAAGGACGGTCACGTGCATGTAACACTAATGATTGATTTAATCGGCCACCTAATAACTGTGGTATTAATGATGATTGGCTTAAAGCATCTATTGTAGATTGATCATGAACTAAAGAAGCATCACTATGATCATTAGACAACCATGGTGAGAATATCGTTGTCGAAAAACTATTCCAATCATCAAAGTCGAATATCCGTTCCCGGATTGTTTGCGGGTCAAAACCAATTCCCCAGAAATTTTCTCTTGCATTTAATTCATTATGTATTGATCCAGCTTTAACACCGGCCAATAATTCGAATTGAAGATTTCGATTGGTTAGAATATTACGCGTAACATTAACTTGTTGTAGTCCACGAATTGCAATGGCATATGTTTCTGGCGTATATGCATTGCTCATTTCTTCTGCATTCGTAAATTGTATAGCTGCACCGGAAAAACGATTATTTCGAATCTTATTTCGATTTATCATGGCCGTAACAGTACCAAATTTATCTGCATGACTTTCCATGTTCATTTCAATCACATATCGTTGAACATAATTATCGTTCATTTCATTTTGAACAACTCGTGTTAATTTTTCCATTCCAAGAATCGATACAAGACCAATTTTGCATTGATTATCTAGAAATTTATTCCGTGTAATATTCACTCTTGCATAATGACCACCAATGACAAATTCGAAATTTTGATTTTTCAAAAAGTTTGAATCTTCAACCACAACAGTATGCGTAAAATTTTCATTATATAGCCACGTATATGGTAGTTTGAGATCTACTCCACCGTTTTTATTACCTTCTAGTGTACAGTGGTGAATATTCCAATGGAAAAGATTAGTATTGGATGGATAGTTGGCGCCGATTGCATTAGATAAAACAAAACCAGGCATCGATTGAACCGTAACTTGTTGCATATCACTGTTTGCATATAAAGAATGGTCATATAAAACGATAGAGCCATATTCGGCATTTTCGACAAAACGATTCTCAATCAATGTATAATTGATTTCGGCAATTACAGATGAAGCATATGTAATGTCATATTCTTGTTGTGGCATTTCATTGAATTCAATCATATTCACCAATAATGAATATGGTATCATTGATGAATAGGCAAATGAATTGACAAACAACCCGGCTCCTTTGCTTTTCGTTATTAAATTGTTTCTTACAATTATCGTTTCATTTCCATATCGTTTACAATAGTTTCCATTCAAATCAATGTTCATTGAACAATGTGCACTTGAAATTCCTTTTCCATTTTCAATGAATTCATTATTTACTAATATCATTGTATTCATTTCACGTTGTTCTTGAAGACTTTTTTCGACAAAACTGGGCTCACCCGGTATATTTCGAAGATATTGTTTTGGTGTGAACAACAATAGAATGCCACCGTAAGGTAATTCCCCAGTAGAATATTCTAACATGAGACGATAGCCTGGATATATGAATGGAAATGTGGTAAGATTGCGACGTATATCCCACATCATTTTTGAAGCATGTATACTATCTATCAATGGCGAATAAAGTCTTAATGATTCCGATGATCTTGTCAAAAATATTGGACTTATGGCCATTACACCGATACGTTTACCGGGATCGGTTCGTATCAATAGATGGAAAGGTTTCGATATCGGTGTCGGTCGTCGTGGCACATAAACATAAACTTGTCGACCAATATCACCCAGATATATTGATTGATCTGAGGCCGTTTCACCGGGTATGATTATGAAAACCGATGTTTTTCTATTATGGATTGGTTGCTTCACAATCCATGACGCTAATTCTTCTTGCTTTTCACGTCTAAAATTGGGCTCATAATGAAATCCGGAAACTTTATTATCGGCAATTAAACAATTTTCGATTCGAATTCCCTGTGTACTGGTCACAATACCATGATTTAGATTTCCCATTATTTTTGTGTCGATAATCGTTAATAATCGATCATCATTAGGTTCACTGATCACATCATTCCACAAAATGCCAACTCCAGAATCAATATTTGATGTTATAATTGAATCTCTAATAGCAAATCGATTGAAATCAAATTGTAGCGCCGGTCCGAATTTTCTGGTACGGTAATCAATAAGACCAGCTTTTTCCACCGTAATATGTTCGAGAATTACTTCCTGTGTGAGCATACCGAAACGAATTCCAGCCCAAGCTTCTGGAAAACATCGTATGCCTACTTCACCTTTTGGACACCAACCACCTTCAAAATCATTGTTACTCATTCGTTCAGCTTTACATTTAGTCAAATCAGTATCGAGATGTGTACATTGAACATTGGTCAACAAAATGATACGAGAATTTTTCGAATTCCAGAATTCCGATTTTTCAAGACGCCAATCCCGTTCATTAAGAACTAGTCCCAATTGGTGACAAGCCACAGAAGCATCTTCAATATCAAAATTATAGCCACAAACCGTGCCCCAATCGTTACCGATTTTCACTTCCAACAGACCTTCAGTACCATTCGATAGTCTTATATTTTGGCTATAATAAGATGTCTGTTTTAATTTGAATGACACAGGGGATTTTTGGTCTAACGCAGCTATACTTCGATTGTTAAATTTTGCCATTGTTGAATTGATGACACTGGCCACCTCAATCGGAAGTGTTACATTTCTTTTCGAACGATAATTGCTTGATTTGTGTGAGGCCAACAAAAATTTAATGTCTGACTTTTTGTGTCCTTTTGCTTTAAATTTCCCTTGAACGAATATTCCAACAGATTGATCAAAGTGTAATACGGTCCCCGGATTCAAAACCAATTCGCCTTCTGGACTAATGTAGATATCATGTTTGACAAAATATTTTCCTGATCGTAAATTAACTTGGCCTTTAACTTGACCACCGATTTCACCAGTTGGATTTCCATGAAAAAATTGCAAAATTTTTTCACGATCATTGATCAATGACAATGCACTACGATCCGATTCCAATGCATTCGGTATCAATATATATGGAAGAAATTCAACCTGTGCCAAGTTGTAGCGATTTTTTCGATCGAAAATTCTCTCATAAACTTCTGCAGCTGAATCAAGATGTTTATCAGCGTGGTATTCACCAAAATTCATACGCATCGAGATAGATGAACTTGATGTTCCCCAATAGTTGAGCGAAGCATTCACAAGTCGATATTGAACGCCTAAGTGAACTCCTAATTCATACTTGGAACTTGGATTAATGAATTCATTTCGCCATATGAGAACATTACTTGAAGTGACACATAGAACCGCTGCAACACGTGAACGTGAATTTAGATTTTCAAATGGTTCACGGATAATATTATCATGTAGAATGTTTCGAGTGAACAATATTTTTTGAGATAATGAACTAAAATTCACGTTAATTGATGATTCTGGTTCTAATAAACCGATGCTGGCAACATAATAGCCACGATTATTGTGAAAATTATTATTTCTTATGCGAACGACAGTTGGCCATAAATCTAGTGCTAAACTTCGTTGATTCATCAATGTATGTCCACCATCGTTATTGTTTGCATTGCCATTGAAGAAAGAAAATGGAAAACGTTCGGCATCTTCAACAAATTGTTGTACACAAAAATGATCCTGAGAATTTATATATAGGACTGCTTTTTTATGTCCACTAAATTCGTTATGGGCAATGTTCAATTTAGTGAAAAATAAGGGTGCAACATGTATTGCATGTAATTCGTTTGATAAGAAACGATTATGACCGATGGATATATTGGTCACCAATGGTTTCAATTGCATTTTCAATATTCTGGGTCTTGGAATGCATGAATGATATAGTAGGCCTTGTTCGCGTTGATCAAAAAAGTCATTAAGACTAATATTCCAATATGCACCTTGATGCCATAAAGTCGATGAAAAATGACAACCACTAAAAATCAAAAGGCCAATCTGATTATTAGACACGGAACATCTGGTAACATGTGAGCTATAATTGAATGCTCCAAGATTAATGGATTCATTAAACCATACGGCAATTCCACGGCCTGTATTGTTGACGATTTCGGTTCTATCAATATGAAGATATCCACCACCGTTCGTAATGTTGACACCATCAGCAATATTATTGCTAATGATACTATTATTGACAATTATTGTGCCAACACCACGGTCTATATTCAAACCGGCCACATAATCATGATTGGAAATTAATGTACGATTCACAACGGCTCCACTGCGTAGATCTTGAAACCATAATCCACGACCATTGTTGGCCACAATACGACTATTCGATAAGGTAACATCATATTCTCTACCATAATCGACAACAACCTGTATGGTGAACAATACTCGGCGATAATGTGCTGGACGATAACAAATTCGTAATGGACCATTTCCAATGATTGATGAAACACTTTGTATTTTTGTATTATTGCGGATAAAAAAATCGGCGATAATCCGTCCAGAATGACCATCAATAATATAAATGGATCCTTCACGGCCAACATGTGGTATATATGGTTGTACTAAATATTCATTTAATGCGCCATAATCTTCAACACCACTCATTAGTAATGGAAAATGAACTGTTATCCGTTGACCTTCCCAATCTTTGGAATAGAACTCTTGGCAACATTCTTCTGTAGGTGCTTTTGAAGCTGATTGTCGATACGTGTATTTGATCGGAAACACTTGGCTGGTTCCTAGATTTGGTGTTTCACAGAAATTATCTGATGAATAGTCTGTTTTATCGAAATGAACAAAACGAACACCATCGGCTCCATTGTCTTCAATTTCGACACTCGATAAATGAACTCGACCAGTTGAAGTATTAACATAAACACCATAGGCACGATTTTCTATGAATTTTGAATTCATGATCTCAAATCCATTGATTGGATCCGTAATATTTAATGCTGTATATGCTGAACGATAAATGGCAAGATGATTGATATGTGGCGGAACACTGCCGATGGATGATAATGCTGGCAGTAATTTCCCATCTGATTGTTGGCCTGCATATTCAATGATTACATGTTCGATGGCCGAATTGGATCTACGTGAATCCATTTTGTTTGACATAATCGATGTTACACGTGAGTCAGAATTTATGAATTCAATACCACGCCAATGATTTCGAGAATCTTGGTTATTATCACAGCTGTCAAAAATGAAAAACAATTAATCAATATTTTGATTAAATGACAGAAAATACCTGATGCCAATGTCTTGGTGAAAATCACAAACACCACTGCCGATACGTCTTTGGGACCAATTTTGGCAATCTTGGACGGTCGGTTCATTACCATGGCATCCAGGATTTTCTAACATAAATTGTCGACTATCATTATTACGCTTAAACCATCGATACCAATGACCACCAGTAAATCCAAGCTGATGACATACAACTTCAACATCGTTTCGTGTCCAATTACGGGAATTTGTACAAACTGAATGCCAATGGCCTTTATATTTTAATTGTAGCCGTCCTTGTTCCACACGTTGACCATCGACTAATCGTATATTGGGCCATAATGGTTTTTGATGATGAATACCTTCGGCATTGATCATTGGTAACTTTGTTGCCCCATTACTTATTGTAAGTATTATTTTTGATGTGCTTGTGCCCTATATATTTGTGTTAGGTAAGAGATTAAAATCAGTCAGCAATTAATCAATTTCATTCATTTTTATTGTCAATTTCATCAATGCTATCATCGTAGTAGGATTCACACACTCGCTTGGTTTTTTCAATCATTTTTAATTGTTACATGTTTTCTTAATGATTTATGATTTTCTTAATGATTTATTTTCATTCAATGTCATCCTCTTGTTTGTGATATCAAATCGTTAAGTTCTAACAATCGATTAGTAGTATTTTTTTAAAATTTTCAATTCATATTAATTTTTTCAATTTTGTTCAAATGATACAACTGAATAAATTCAATAATAAATAGACAGGATTTTCATGTTTGAAAAAGGTGTTGTCATTCATATTTTTTTTTTGCTATGCAATGTAAAGATTACATCTATTTTCGTCGTCACACTCGATGGAATTTGAGTTAGAATCCAAGTTTATTCAATCAACATATCAAAAAAAACAATCGTCTTTTGAATTGTCTCTATTTTATCTATCTAGCTATCTATGAGTCAAACAAACGAATTTTGTCAAACAAAACAACTGCATGTTTTTGTTATTAATTGACATCACCGTTTTTTCTAAGATATCCTATTTTTTTTGGCTAAAGCAAGTTTTACTAGCATTATTTTTTTTATTTTATTTCGTTGACCATTACTTATAGCGACTGTAGCTTTCATTATAATGATGATGACGATTACCGGTCATTACGATGGTGATGTTAACACAGTTAAGAAAAATCGTTGACCAATTTTGCCATCAAGATTAAGAGTTGACAAAAGAAAATAATGCTTCATTTAGTTGAACTGAATTGAAACAAGTTGTGTCCGAAAAACCCCCAAAATAGAATATAAGATGAGATTTTTGTAATTTTAAATTTTTATGCTAATTAATTTTTCCAATTCAGTTCGCATTTGAATACAGTTATATCTCGATTAAGGACATTATGAAATTTAATAATACAGTTTGTAGGGGATCGAAACTAATTGTCATCATCATTAACCAAAGTAGCGGTGTATTTGATTTTGAACAATTGTTATTCTGTTGATTTATACATTTTCCCTATTGTAAGATTTCAAATGAATATAGCTCTAGAATAAAAAAAAATTTCAACTCATAAGACCATTAAATGCAATAAATGAATTTCTTTATTTGCAGTAATGTCAAAAGACAATTTTTTTTTGTCCCACATTCTTGATGAGATAAAAAATGGGAATAATAAGACTTACACTCGAATACACATAAATAAATTTTTTTTCTGGTTGAATGAAACATTTTTTTCTTCATTTTACTTCATGATGATAAACAAAACTGAAAAACTTTCGATATATTTGATATACCTTGATATAATAATACATTGAATTACAAATGAAAACAGGTTTCAATCATCAATATTACCACAATGATAATGTGTCATGTGTCATAATATTAGTATTATTATTATTATTGTTATTATATAAATCTAACATTATTTTTTTTCATTTATTTGAATATAGCATCAAAATTGAATAGGTGAGAAAAGGGAATGAAGAAAGAAAAAAAAACATAGTGTTCAGGTGGTGGCCGTAATAATAATGGATTTTCAGCTTGAATAGATTTCTCATCATCAAACATCATTGAATAGAATGAATGGATGGATGGATGGATGGATGTGAAAGTGTAATCTTACATATGTCCTTATATATCCATCCTTGTTCATTTTTGCACGTTTTTCTAGCATTAGTCATCATCAACATTATCATTGCATTGTTGCAATCCACCAATTGATGGTGATATTTTTACCCCTTTTTCAATAATAATAATAATAATATTTTATTCCATACACACATGTATATTATTTTCATTTTTTATATGATGTTCCTGTATGCATGTTTGTATTGAATTTTTGATAAATCAAGTTTTTTTTGTTTTTTTTCATTTCTTGCCATTATATGTTTGGATTCACTGTTGTCATTGGTTTGTTGCTATGGATAGCAATAACAGCAACAGGTAACTAGCTATTGCATATACATAGATTTTACAGTTAGAAAGATGTATATAATAGAAATATTGCCGTTAGTCATAATACTTTTTTTTTGTTTGTGTACGTGATTTTTTATTATTTTTTTTTCTTTCTGTCACCAATTCATATATGAATTTTTATCCTGATGATTAAAATGATGAATCATCAATGAAAAATGGAAAACAAAAAATGTTTTGTTGATTGAAACGAAAATAACATATACACAGGACATATGTTTTTGATGATCATAAAATATTTCGATCTTTTTGGATTTATTTTCCTCATAATAATCAATAATCAAAGCCATGATGCACGATCATGATATTAAGCAATCCATCTTTATCAATCGATCAATCGATTCCGGTTTTACGTTTATCAAACACAATCACTATCTGTTTATTTATTTATTCGCCAGGGTTTATTTATGTATATATTAGGCAAATATTAGAAATTTTTTGTTGCTCTTATTGGGTTAGGTAAATAATAATATTATAGAGATATTACAAGTGGATAACAATGATTACATGTTTTCTATTCATTTTTTCAAATTGATTGTTTTTTTTGATAAATAATGTCTTGTGTCTTACACACGAACTTAAAAAGCAAGCATAACATGCATCACACGCCCTGAAAATGAATGATAATCAATTTTAATGGGATTTTTTCTCTTTTCTTTTTTCGTGAGAAAGTAATTCGATTGAATGTTTGATGTTTGAATTGATTTGCATAATAGAAAAATCAAGGATTGATTGTCATTCAGCCATAAATTAAATGCCCATGTATGTGTGTTCCAAAATGATTATCATTATGGATTATGATATTTTCATTCATAACTTCTTGTAAAAAAAATTGACCTAGTTCAATAATTACGATGATGATAGCAATGAAGGTGATGATAGTCACACTTACCGTTGCATTCAATGATCCATGAACAATGATACCGATACCGGGTGAAAATGCTAATCGTACACCTGGTTCGATGATCAAATGACTATTTTGATGTATAAGAATGTTGGATCGTATTTCATAATCAGCTTTTTGATTTTTAGCAGTAGTATAATCATCATGACGATATGATGATTGTTTGGCTAAAATTTTTTGACCAAATATTTCACCACCATCAAATGTTGAAGATAATTTATTTTGATCATCATAATCATTTATCCTTCCTTGTCTTTGATTAAAAGATGATGGTTGATTTTGATTTTGATTTTGTTGTTGAGATTGTGATTCAATCACATATGGTGGATAATATCGAGAATAATGTTTTGATGATTGTTGTTGAAGAGATTGGGCTGAGATCACAGGTATAATTATATTTAAGAATTGTGTTGATGATAATAATAATAATATGGAGATGAAGAATAATTTTGATAAAATACTTTGTTGTGGTTGGCGTAGCCAATGTGAATACGTTGTATTGTTTAAGTTATTTTCAAAAACATAGCTGCAATAGCAATGTTTTAATTTTACACTTGGCGCACTCATTATTGTATTTTCATGACTATGATTGAAAATTTGCTTGTCAGTCATATTCAACTTTTTTATTGATGAATGATGAAAAATTTTACAAAACTTTTGTTGAGAATCCATATAAATCTTACGATCTATTGACGGATAATGATTTTGGCTGCGTATGGATTGTAAATTGAAAAAATTTGATTTTGATTGAAATTCATGCACTTGTTTCATTATATTTGTTGTTGACTTTTGTCGATTTTTTAGCTTTTTACTAACAAATTTATCTAATCTATGATTATTATCATCATTTTTGTTGGATATTGTTTCTATAATCATTGAGGCGTGGGTGGTCGTGGTGGTGACAAAAGAATCATGATCTGGACAATTATTCAGATTATAATGTTGAGATGATATTGGATTGTTGTTGCCGCATCTCCTGGACGACCGTAAAGTTGATGCTGATGATTGTGATGGCAAAAATAATTGAGGTATTGCTGTTTGAGGTACTGTATTCGTCTTTTTAACGGTGTTCATTAGTGATGATGGCAGCTTTTTACTACTATTAAAGGTGTTATCATTTTTTGTTGTTGAGCAATCATTTATTTTGTTGTTTCGATGTTTCAAATTGAATTTTTTGATTTGTATTTTGTTTGTTGATTGTTTAGCATTGAAATAATCATAATCATCATAATGCCGAATCTCATTATTTACTGGTGATGATGATTGTTGACGGAAAAAACATGATGTTTGATGCTGCCAGTGTCCGTCGTCATGGAAACTATGTCGATGATCTGCCGAAACACATGGCCGGATGTTTGCTATCGTCGGTATTGTTGATGGTTTTGCTGTAGTTTTTGTTGTTGTTGTTGTTGTTGACGGTGATGATGACATTATTTGAGTTTGTAGATGATGATCTAGATTATTTCAAAAAAAAACAAGACAAGACTAGCCCTTTGAATTTTTGTGTTTATGTGAAAAATTGTGCCGTAGGTCACGACATTGCTTTAAAATTGATGATGATGATTATAATGATCAAGTTGGTTAGTTAGCCAATTGAATGATGATTATCATCACCAAGTTGATGATATTCAATATATTTTGAAAAGTAGAGCCGTTGTTCAAAGTGTATTTAACTTGTAGGTATTTTGATATTTTGTTTTTTCTTCTGGTCAATAGGCTGAATATATAGGTGAACTTGTATGGAAGTAACATTGATGAAATGTGTAGGCATTTCTTTTTTTTATTTCTTTATTCACATGAATATAAAACATCACATCCATATAGACAATGCAATATCCAAAATAACAATAGAAACCTAAACTGATTAGAAAAATTGAACATTCGCGTGAGATGATAGTGATGACCTGTGTATGGTGTATGAATATTTTTTTGTCAAGAATTTTAAGGTGAAGAAACAATGAATGGCGCCAGTTTAAAGTAGATATATCATGTAAACATACACACAAAAACGCGCAGCAGGTAAATGAAAAAAAAATTGTTGTTGAATCTTCAAATATATCTTTTCTGCTGACTTTTTAGTTCTCTTGTTGATGAATATTTTGAGGCAAATGAGAAAGAAAATAAAGTTGAAAAACTGCTAACTGGAGCCTGATCATCTCGAACTCATCTACGAAGAGAACAAGCAGAAAAAAACGGGAAAACAAGATTTTTCTTTCTATCCAGTCAAGGACCACAAAAACGACAACTATTAATGGAGCCGTTGAAATATTTTTTTTCTGTTCATAGTCGTCATAGATGGTGGTGGTAAGTCCGCTGACTATGTGAATTTTTTTTTACTGTAGCCAAACCATTATAAAGTGAATCACACACACACACACACACACACACACACACATACATGCTCACACACATACCAAATAAAATCATGCAAGCTAGGTATGGAGACAGGTGAGGAAGTAAAGGTGGAGAGAATTGCCATTCATGTGTATGGCGTAGCTATGCTGATTGTGGTGGTGGTTTTCATGACTATCATCATGAATTCGTGATTGTCAGTCGACCAAACAGCAATATCAACCTGCAACCAGAACAATTAAATTTTCAAAATTCAAATATATGTTGCAAGCAACCGAATAGCTGATGATGATCATTGTCATCAGGTACATTGATTAAAATGAAATGAAAACCTTATCCGTATAGGGTAAATTGACATTATTATTTTTTCCTTTGGGTTTGATCTACCTGCTACTATTTGTGACTAATGCTTTTTGTTCGGGCTACTGGATAGTTAACTTGTGTGTTTCACTGTGCAAATTTTTGCAAATTGATTCGGTTGAGTTGGTTGTCATAACGAAACCCCGACGACACGTTGGCACCTAGGTGACCGATTAAATGAATAACAAAAAGCCAAAAAAAAACAAAAACAAAATTGTTTCATTATACGACAATGACGATACTGACATTTGATGACAAAATGAAAATCCATATTGATGTTCGTGTCCATTATTTTATACAGTAATACGCTGCCTCGATTCACTTTACGCTCAAAATTTTTGGAACGTATCACGGGCTATCACTGTAGTTTATATTCAAGCAGACGATAATGATCGCCTGACAAATGATTTTGTTTTAATCAGCTTAACCTTGATTCATAGAAGCAGTGAGGAAACTTGATTTTCGGTTTGAATCGAAATTTCATAACATCACATACACATCCACGCACAGGGAACAAAGTTTTTCCTCTCTAAACATCATCGACTAAAACACACGTAAATTTTACTTTACAACAAGAAAAAAATTTCGTTATTGTTCCTTGACATGATAATGATATTAGTATTTACTATCTAGATATAGGAATTTCCATCCAATTTATGCAATGTTTGGGCAGGTACAACATTCATCATTGCAATTTGAAAACTCGTTGGTTAGGTTTTTGTTGTTTTCTTGTCAGTGATGATGATCGTTAGGTCAAAGTTCAAACATTCAAAATTACAAGTTTTTTTGTCGTTATTTTATAATGAAAGTATGTAGGCGCATTATATCATCATATCCGTTTTCGTTTCTTATTGTCTTTGTTATTTGTGATTTGCTGTATGAAATCATCTGAACCGAGACATTGAATATTGTTGTTGTTGTTTTTGTCTGATTATTCTTGTTTGTTTTCTATGAAACTAGGTCTTGTTTTTATATGAATATGATGATGACATTGATGATAACAATGATAATAATTATTATAGAATGAGCAACAGGTGAATGCTATTTAGCTTCATTGATTTCCACCCATTCATATGCAGACACACAGGCAAAAAAAAATAGAGAAAATCAATAAAGTCACTGAAAAAGTCGTTGAAGCCTGAAGATGACTTTGAAATATATTAATCAGTCATTTGGATTGCGGGTAGAATAAAACCACAAATCAAGATCATCAAACGTGTCTGTGTGAAAAATCCTGATGATAAACAAAAGATTGATGTATTTCCGTATTTAAAAGTATATCCAACATATCTATCAAGTTTATCTGATCATACATTGTGAAACAAATGGTGAGGATTTATTTGTTTGGAAATCTCATAACTATAGTTAATTGCTCTATATGTGTCGGTGTGGGCTTGAAATAATCGAGATTCAGTGAATTTGTTTTGTATTTAAGCGGTTGATGTTGTGTTGATATGTGTATTTGACCTCGATTTTTATTGTCATTACTTTTTTCGTTATTATTCGTAGCTATATTCTAAATACGAATAAAAATCTTCAGCCACTCAAATTGATGATTGTTGATTCCAGTTTTAAATTGATTGTACATTTTTTCATTTAATTTGGATGTTTGCCTGCTTGTTTGTCAGTAGCCAATATATGCAGAGGCAGGCTATTATTATACACAATTAATTTCGATCGAATGGATCAAAAACATGATTCGAATCATTGATAATGATCAGCGGAGATCATTTTCATCATTATCTGTTGAGCAGTTGAAAATTTTTAAAACTTGTTCTTATTGTTTTTTTGATCATATAATTGATTAAGGCATGAAAAAAAATTTTTAGTGACATTCTCGTGTGAAAGAATTTACATTTGCTTACAAAATTTAATCAAAGAGTCAAGGTTTCTTTGAACGTTTTGTGAAATAATGATTAGTAAATATTGACGACAGTCAAAATTTTATTAGCATTGATGATGATGTCGGAGGCGATAGCGATCATTATCTCGAAATGAATCCATACTTTTTGAAATCCTTGAAAAGAACATTCAATAGGATGGTCACTTCACCTCCTTGATTTTCGATTGTCACCAATTGTCTACCTTCATGTCCAGCTGCCAATCGTGTGTCAATAAACTCTGGTCGACGTGATTCGACAAACCAATTGGCTATCCTTGCTAACAGCGTTGAAGATTGAGGGGTAAACAAACGTATTTGTAGCCGATGTTCGCCCGGTCGTATAGGTAAATGTGTCCATCCATAACCACGAATGACATCATTGCCAAGATTATCCATACCATAAACGCTAACTTTTAAAAAAGTGAAATGGAAAAAAGATTAGATTCTTGATTTTTGATATCAAACAAAATTTTTACCAATTATTTGTGGCCATCCAAATACGTTTGTACTTTTGAAAGTAGCTTCAATTGGTAGATTCCATACGTACAATGGTAGTTCCACTGGTTGATCTGGCCTTCGGCTAGCCATTTGTGATATAAATACTATATCTTTATTGTTGTTACGTTTATCAGATGATGTTGAATTGGTATTGTTGACCAACGCCCAATCAGGTCCATAACGAAATAAGCATTTGCAATAAACATTTTCATAATCATGGCCTATGAACGAACTGCTTTCGATTTGTCCATGAATATTGACTAGGAAAAAATTCCGAGTTAACAATGAGGATTGATTGTCATCATCCATCAGACATGAAGGTTATTCGTTTTGTCTTCACCTTAGGGATGAAAGTACTCAGTATAATTTATGATAATATTAATCGAATAAAATATGATGAACTAGAAACCAGGAAGACATTAGGTTTGTTTGCTTGTTTGTTATGCATTGTTTTCGAATCTATTGTTCTCTTGAATGAATGAACAATTCAAAATTCACATACCTGAAAATCTTGTTACCATTGGATACCAGTTCATCAAACATTGCGCCATCTTTTGTAGTTAAATAAAAACATGAATGTTATTTCTCATTTTTAATTTTTTCTTATTTTTTAAAAATAAATGTAAAGATGTTTAAGCGATACTCGACCACAGCTGGTTGAAGGGGACCAAATACTTGGACAAACAATATTGACCTTTTTTAGAACGATTATAATCTCGGACATAATATCGAATGTTTTCCGCTTTGTGATCATGTTTGGATGGTATTTATATCTTAATATATCTATATAGATCGCAGAATTTCAAAACGAAAAATACAAACAACCATGTCTGTTGATTATTGTCGTTCCTTTTAAGGCACATATATTGCCACAAGGTGGAACCGATATCGAAACGAAATTTGGCCCGAATTCAACCGGCTTATAGGCAAGCACTTTTTTCTTGCTTTCGATGAAAGAATTTTCAATTTTATGAAGAAAGTCTAAAAAAATATTACTTATACTACTACTTAAAGCATTACAATTCTTTGTTGGATAGTTTTTTGAACTTTTATTTTTATTCCATAAATTTCAAAAACGACAGCTAAGATTTTTTTTATGATTCTTTCTACGGGATAAGTGGAAGGTAGCTGTCACTAATATGGTCAAACCGATTGACAGTTGACGGTCCTAAAATCATATAAAAGTTCAGAACACACAAGCAATCATCATCATAATATCGTTTGTCATCATACTGCATATTATCGTCTCCACACTGATCATTTTCGAAGTGCAACAGCCTTACCGTTCTGATGCACATGTCAGGCCGACGCAATGGTATATATATCAGATTTCCTTTACATATATAATAAAAGTTTATAATAACTCGAAGATAATGGCAAAAATTGGTTCCGAAGACTTGATTGGAACACGATTCGAAAATATGGCAGATTTTTGAGTCGAAGAAGAAATACAAATCACCAAACCTAACAGATGAACAACAACCTGAACAAAAAGTATCCAAAATCGATATGTTTATTTAAAATTGTAAAGGGGAATTTCGTTGGTTTAGCTCAAGTTTGATCAGTCACTCTGAATGCTTTTCTTACAGTGGTACGTGGATAAACCAATGTATAAAATCAATCTGAATATCGAAACCTTGAATTAAATTAATTGAATGAACCCAGCCAAAGAAGATCAAGTTCTAAACAGATCGCCGGGTGGTTCTCAACAAGATATAGCGGAATTAGCAGGAGCGGCTGAACCCATAGTTTCAGGAAATTCCATTTCCGATATAAGATCATGACAAACTTCGAGACATGAAAGTGAGACCAATGGATGTGGATCCATATGATTCGGAAAAAAACGAATTCGATTGTGATGATGACGATGATGATAATAACGATGATGATAACAATGATGATGATAACAATGATGAGTATGATCAACTTGAACAAGTCTTCAAAAAGTCTTCAAAAAGACGAGAACCAAGCTTAAATTCATTTTGGTCTTCAACTGTGTCACCATTAAACAAAGGTATTAGTGAGTATTTACAAATTAGATTCATATTTTATATTTGATTTAGATTATGAAAAAGATTTTTGAAACACCCATTAGGGAAATGTCGAAGTACGTCTATTAATGGAATGGTTATTGCTAATAATTTTGTAAAAGCTTTCGAATATTCTGAGAACATTAGAAATATTATGGCACGCAGTATTGTTCCATACAGTTTGCAAACAACTTTTTGGAATTGCAGTAAGAGTCCTGTATGTACAACCTACCCAGGGTAGAGTTCGATTAATTTAATCATTTTTAAATTTTTGAATCTAATCTATTCAGATAACTACTTCTGACGGGCAACCATTCATTCAATATTTTCTGTTGAAGGAATTGAACTATAATCAATAAACATCCTCATTGATTGATCCAATCGATAAGAAAAATCATTGAAGTCATTGGCGAACAGAAATCGTAAAAACTATGGTTATTCGGAATGAGTTGGACACGACCGATGAAAGCATGTTTGAAAGGCTTAAAGGAAAACTTCGAGTGGAAATTTCCTTGGATGATTTTTCCTTATTGGAAAAGAGGAAAGAAATTTTAGCCGGTTACATGTCATGCACTCCACCTACCATTGAAGGGATAGTTTTTGAACTTTTATTTTTATTCCATAAATTTCAAAAACGACAGCTAAGATTTTTTTTATGATTCTTATTTTATCCTCTTCTCTTGTTAATAATGATTCTCATCATCATCATCATTATTCTCTTATGTTTGTGCGCCTAATATCCTTGTGTAATTGTGGTGCAATATTTAGCTCTAAATTTAGATGTAAAACGGATGCGTCATCTTATCATTGCTAGTTGTCATCATCGTTTGTGTCACTTGTTGAAATATTTATTTTTTAATGAATAAGTTTTTAGAATTAGAAATTCCGATAAGTGGATAAAGAAAAAAAAACTTGTCACATCCTTTTTGAATCCAGTGTTGTTTATCATCATTTATCTAAATTTTTTGATCTATTCCTAATCCAAATTAGAACTACACGTATCATATTCCATTTTTCCCACGGAAAAAATTCTTTTATCTCATTATCGATGCATAAAAAGTGAAATTTTATCCCAAAGTTTTATTTTTTTTTTGAATTTCTTCTAAAATCTAGGGTTTGATATTTTGTTTTCGTTCATTTTTTTCGTGTATGAAATGACCAACAATAGGAAAATCAACAAGCAAATAAATAGGCAAGCATTGAGGATGAACAGAATAAATATAGAATAAAATAATTATAAAATTCTTCATGATGATGAATTCTGTTGATTGTGTCCATTCGTATGTTTGTTGTTTACGCTCGTTCGTGTGTTCACTCCATATTTCATGATCATCCTTTGGATCTACCAAAAATCGACGAACAAATGATAAATCAAATACTCATACTGATTTAGTAGCCATTTCGGATGAAAATAAACTACAACGGTTAACACGAACGAGCCAGTAACAACATACGAGTTATTATATTAACCCAAAACTCCATACTTCTTTACATTCCATAGTTTTCGTTTGTGTAACATATAAATCAATGGATTTTTCTATATGTTATCATATATGGGAACATCAAGAAGCACGGAATTTTGGTGGACATTTAATTATATTGTTGTACTTCTTCCGGAAACATAATTAAAACCTAATGAAAAAAAATAAATGAAATAAAGTTTTAAAAAGTTCATGCAAGCAAGAAGATAAATATCTGAAAACAAAGAAAAATTATACAAAGTCAAATCGAGACCCGATTAAATAACATGTGTTCAACAGATGGGTTTGAAAAAAAAGACAAAAGATCGTAAGTAGAAATAGACAACAAAATCATTCGAAAAAAAACATTGAGGGTCATTATAATCGTTCGACGATCTTTTGAACCAAAATCTCTATGAATAATGATGATAATGGAACAGACTAAACAACAGGCGATGTTAGAATTATAGATGTTAGGAACAACGTATTTTTTGTTTTTGTTAAATATAGGGATTGGTTGGCGAGTAACTTTTTCCAATTTTTCGTCATCATATGGGAGATGGACAAAAATGAAATTTCTTACATTGGAAAATTGATAAATAAATTGGGAAATTCACAACATTGTTACGAATTTTGTACAATTTTCATGTCATTATCGTATTATGTAAAGATAAATTTAAAATTATTATACAGAGTTTAACAATTAATCTGAAAATTAAAAATATGAACATTGAATAAAAAATGAAGTCAAATCAATAATGAAGCAATGAAGAAGTCAGTAATGTCGATGTAGCTTGAATACTTTATCAATTGTTGATTTCATTGTGAATGGAAACCGTGTGATTGAGTATTTGCGAGTGTGTGTGTATGTGTGTGCGTGTAAATGTTTGGCGGATATCATCAAAAATCGTCGCATACAATCATATCAAGCTTTGATTCGATTTTGAAATCGATAACAATTATGAATGAAATCTGAATTTTTTTTTTCGGGATAAGCATCAGTCATAGCAATGGCTATGGATAATCGATTTATTCAATCATTTATACAATTCATCATGCAATATATGAGCAATCGGTTTATGATGATTATGACGATTTTTGGTGATGATAATGGTGGACCATTAATGGCTTCCCTAATAGATAGATCTTAGGAAAGAATTCAAAGAAGATCAAATAAGACAAGAAAAGGGCAAAATCAAATTTGATGATTATTTCAAACTTCTTGAAAAAGATTCAACATTGTCGTTCGTCAAGAACGACTGATGGCATTTGGCAAGAGAATCGGAATGATCTTGGTTACTTATATGGCCATGTCGATGGTAGTAGATGATGATGATGATGATGTTTGCCAAGAACGTTTAAAATTAAAATGTGTAATATATTGTGAAAATGTGTATTCAAAGAAATCGGTTCGGTCATTAGCAATGTTGGCTGGTGTGGTTGCTGAATATTTATATTTCATTATGGTTCTAAGTTTGAATATCTACACACACACACACACACACACATGTGCTTGTAGATATTCATCGTTGCTTAAAAAAATGAAAGCTAAAAGTTCTGGTTAGTTAACTGTAACATGACATGGGTGGTTGTTCGTTGATTGTGGTGGTGGTCGCTCTAGTAATAGTGATGTTAATTCAGACAACCATCAACCATTCATTTAATCCACCCCCTAGAACTAAAAATGCCATCGTCGTCATTTGAGCACACATACGATAAATGCAACCGAAAAAATTTTCTCTACTTCTGGTTGCATGTTGAATTTTTTTTTTTTTTTTTTGGAGCACCACCACCACATAATGAACATACACGAACTCAAATTAGTTTAAGATGGTTAATGGAAGATCAACAGCTACAGTATAATATTGTACCATGCTACCAAATAATCAATAGCCATAGTCATATACCAGACGAACAAAGCATGTCATTTTTTGGATTCAGCACAGAAACTATCAAATAGAGGAGAGGCTTCAATTCCAATGGTGATGATGATGATCAAGGATCAGGGGAGTGGCAAAATTAGTTTGTGATTGTGGAAAAATTTTTTCCCATTACAAACAAAATGCGCAACAGGCACTGGTAATGTAAACGACCAAAACTAACCGGCGACAGCTTCAATGGATTTTTACATACGCCGTAATTCTGTGTGTCATTCAATCAAGATTCTGTGCCATTTCATCATAAGAATTTTTGAATATTCTCAACACCATTATTATCAACAGTAATACAGTTGTGATAGCATCAAATATAATCCATATTAGGAAACATAAGAGCCCCATTTTACATTGTCTTGGCAGCTCAATCGGCCATCCATAACAGCAACCATATTGAATTGTATTGGACCAAAGCCAATGTCTTGATTATGGTTGTGGATAAGATTCTCTGTTTTCATCGTTGTTGTTCAGTCTTTAAATGTTGATAATAATTATTTGAACTATTCTATAAATAGAACAATATAAAATGGGGAACAAATAAAAAAAAATCATTCTTGCTGATGAATGAATGAAATTGATGCAAAGGAATTCACATCCGCCATCACATCAGCGGATTTTTTTTTCACGAATGATGGCCAAGATGCCAAACATCAAGATTTAATTATTTATAGTTTTTTGAAAAATTCATAAAACAACGACAGCTACTGTTTTAAAATGAAAAATAAATCCATTGCCGTTTGTCGATATTAAGTGTCGACCTTGGAAAAAGACAAGACAAACTATAACTTTAGAGCCTTTCATATATTTTCATACATATGGAGTTTGACCCTACATTCTAAACGGCCGGTGACCGGCTGTATTTCGCGACCCTTCGTTCATTGTGTCTTATTTTAGTCTTTTGTCTTGATTTATGTATATTCGATTCTTAAATAAGGATGACATGGATGGTCTTGGAATAGGATCATCTTTGTCTAGTCTATGGTCTGATAAATTAAAGTTTTCTTTTCTCTGTCTTTCTTTTTTTTCATGAACCGTAATAGAAAAAGGAATTAAAGCTATCACATTCATAAAGTGATCGGATTACTCATCTTGATCTATAATATATCTGTAATTATTTTTATAAAAGTGTATTCAACTTTTTTTGGTCAAATTGGGAAATGAATTGTATTCAAAATTGATTAATTTTTTTTTTTTTGATATAATGATCTGAAGCTGTTAAATTCAAATTTAATGATTGAAAGAAAAAATCAATGATCTTTCATTCCGAATCTATCTGATTATATAAATCAAAATGCAACAATGATTGAAAGATAAACAAACAAACACCATTTTGACTCATAAATACAAATTTTTTTTTCGCTTATAAACCGCGCGACAGATTTTTTTTTTTTTTTTGAAAACATAAACTTTCCTTTTGCAAAAAATTTGTAGAAAATTCGACGTCTGTAAATTTCGAATGTTCGATGTTAGTGGTAATAATCCGTCGTGTCGATCGTCGTCGTTTGTAGCATCTCAAATCGAATTAAACGAACACACACACACACACAAAGAAACATTTGCACACATTTTCATCAATACAATTCCTGATTATAGCAATAATAATAACAAAATTACACAATGATCATTTGAACATCAAAATAGTAGCTAAAACGAGAATAAGAAAATCCAGACACATGATGTGTCTGCTTTTGTTTGGATGATCATTGGTTCATTGATTTGGATTTCCGGATATTTGTTTTTGTTTTTCTTTTTACCAATAATCGTGATGATGATGATGTTGATGATGATTATGATGATGATGATGATGATGATCAACATGTGGATCCGATTAAAATTTGATTTTTTTTATCATACTTATAACAAGAAAAAACTAAAGATTAAAATTTTTTTAATGTTTCGATGTTTCGATCAGATTTTTTTTTTGCACAAATCAAAAAGAATAGTTCCTATTCGACAATTTTGCTTTATATTTGCCCGTGTGTATCTATCAACACATATGTATATAGAAGATCGTTTTTTTCTTCTCAACGACGACGAAATCATTTCAATGTTTTTTTTTTTTTTTATTTGTCTCTACGATTCTTTATATCAGTTGATGTAATTCTCATAGTTGTTATTGTTGTTGTCATTGGTCGTTTTTTCCTTCACTCAGCATCTCTATTTTCAGTCAAGAGAAACTGAGAGAATTTATAATGATACTAAATTCTTCACTCGATCGTATACATGATGAACAAAACAACACAAGGGAAGAAAAGTTCTACCCACACCCTGAATAAAGAATTTGACAGAAATGTGCCATAATCTATACATCTGTACCGGGTGAATTTGTGTATGCCGTTTTCCATTCATTCTCATTACAACACATCAACAACAACTAGGAATAGTTGATGGTTTTTTTTTGTTTTTTGAAATTTCGGTTTCGTTGATTATTACATTTTTTCGTCGCTATAGTAGATGAAATGAAACAAAGAAGAATGAATTCAGACAAATTAAGGGAAGGGAACAATTTTTCTTGTTCTCATTCACGATTCAGTAAGCTTCCCTTATTTAGCTGATCATTTAGATTTTTTGTTTGTCTAAAATTCCTCGTCATCATTCTATGACAAAAGTGGTTGTGTTCATTTTCTTTCAAATCATGGTGAACCTTAATTATGATTTTATGGAAAATAGGAAAAAACGAATTGGATTACATATCCATTTACATACAGAATTTTTCCATCTTGGTCTGTGCAATAATACTATTTATAATCAAATCGCAGACTTTTGTTCAGAATCATGAAATATTCCATATAGGATATCCTAAATATCTTAAATCATATATACTTCTGGAAAAAATTTCGAATCGTCCAAAATATCAGTATATCGTATTCTGATGAGTTTTGAATCATTGTTGTTATGTAATAACGTTCATCTTTTCGATCTATTTTAGGTCTATAATGTGTAATTTTTGAAGATAATTCATTATGAATGGTCGTCGTTTCTTTAACTGTTACTGCAGTTAGAAAAAAATTCCTTTGACAATCTAATATCATCATACATCAATCTACACGCCTCCGCGCTTAACAATAATGACAACAACGCATAGATGCGGTATGACAATTTTCTATTTAAAGAAACATATTTTTTATCGCCATCATCATCATTAGCGGATAAACTCAAAAAAAAATTCTATACAAGAAAGTTCGTCATTGTATATGGAAACGATGAGAATTTGCTTATGTCAAAAAAATTGAAATTTCTTGCCTTCATGTTCACTTTATCACGATAGTTTTGATGATGGCAAAAACCAAAATTTGGCTCATAACAGCATAAAGCTAGTTGAAAATATTGATCCATACAAGTACATTGACACATAATAAGCATAGTTAAACATCGGAAGCTCAGATTATTAAAAATATGATAATGAGTTACCCAGAAATTAGTAAATCAGAATCAAATAATGAATACTATGAATTTTTTTAATTTTCTTTTGTCGGTAATGAAAACAACTTTCTTTTAATTTTCATAAAATCAGATCATTATGTCATCGATTGCAATGCGGGTGGATATGAAATCGATTATGTCACAGAGTTTAAGAATTTTTTTATAAGCATTAAAAAGTCCATCCATAAGAATTAAGAAATATTATAGTATTTACAGAAAAAACAAAAAGAAATTTTTTTTGTTGTTGAAAAATAATCGAGTTAAAATAATATACAGCCAATTGATTTGATTTGGACAGTGAAAAACATCATTTGAGGGTGGAATTTGAAGCCAATGATGAAGCTGATGATGAATGACTTGGATTAGCTAATTGTTGGATATCAGCCATTGACGATTGATTATTATCATTTATAGCAGTTGTCGTCGTTATTGTAACATTATCATAGTATGCATGTTTGAACCAATCAGCAACATCGACGTAAGTTTTCGAATAATATTGATAAAATGAATAATTCTATAGAAGAAATGAATTGAAAAATGATTAATAATAACATTAAATATGGACAAATGCACTAACCATAAGTTCTTTGTATTTGGGACGTTTATCCGATTCTTTGGTCAAGCTTTAATTAATTAAAACAAAAATAAATAAATAAATAAAATTAGCAATAAATTAGATTAATTTTCTAGTCCATATAAAACATAACATAATAAAATATAATAATTCATAGATTTAAATTGGAAAATTATAATATGGAAACCAACAAAAACTTGGATCAATCAGTAAATAAAAATTATGCAATAATACAACGAGAATTGCTGCGAAAGAATGATGCATTACGATTTCATTTTTGGGCAATGACCATCTATCAAACATATTATACTTGTTATATGCAGCATCATCCAAATGCTTATGATGAACGTATACGAATTTTTGAAAAAATGTTTACGAATAGTTCTAGCGAAAATCGTTATAACAACAATATTACATTCGATCAACTACGATCTTATTCGACTAAAATGGCTCGCACATATTTTCCACGAACACTATTGATTCATTTGATCAACTCGAAAATTGAATATTGCAACAGTGAAAGTGAACAACATCAATTGAATTTAAGTTTGAAAATTCAAGAAGCAACTAAGAATATCATATTCGAACTAGAATGTCGATTAAAATCAAATGATGAACCAATAAAAATTGATTTGCCAGTAAGTGTGTATGTAAAATTATTTGTGATTCACCTTCATAATGTTTTTTAAACTATAGATTAAATGTAATTTTATGCGAAACAGTATGATCAATATCAAGATTACTGATCATTGTAATCAACTTATAATTGATAGATCGATGAAAGAAGGGGATATTTCCGGTTACACAGGCTACATGATAAATTTAGGCAATCGATTTGGAATGGTTAGGCTAGAATGGACCATTCATAAAGATTTATTGATACGATGGCCTTGCAATCCAAGCCGATTCATTCCTCAATTACTAACTATATTGTTGAAATATGACTCTGTGTATTTTCATTTTTTCGAGCCATTATTCAATGCTTTAAGTTTAAATGATAAGAGAATTGTGTTGGCAAGTCTTCCATGGCTACGATTAATTACAGGAAACCGATGTCATATCAAAAAATTAACAAAAATGTTTCTGGACTGTTATCATAAACAATCACCATCAGAATCAGAATTAGAATCTCTACAATTGGATTCAATGATTGAAAATGGTAAAATATTTTATCCTTCACTATCTAAAGAACAACAAATGTATTTGTTTAGATATTTTTGTGAACAATTTGAAAACTATCTTATGGTGGATGAAAGCAAATTAGTACAAATCAAAGATCATCAACAGTTGATCGACTTAATCATTCTGTTTCATGACCATTTGTTTGTTGCAAAAAAGAAATACAAGGAGCATCAGAATTCTGAATTCAAAGATGTCTATAAATTGATTGAATTGATGCGACAATTTGTTACCAACAAGCGAATTGAAAAAAATGTCCGGAATTGTATTTCTTATCTAATTACAATTTTTGATGAATGAAATTAAATTTGAATCCCTATAATATTATACATACCATGCTTCAATGAATGATTGAAAGTCTTCGGAAAAACCCTGATCATCCGGTAATCGAGGTGGTTCTTGTGAAATCACAATCGATAATATTTCAAACATAGTCGACCAATTTTTGTATGGAAATTGTCCGGTGGCTATCTCGATCAATGTGATTCCCATGCTCCAAATATCGGATCGTATATCATAGGTTCCATCTGATGGTGGTTGTATTCTTTCAGGCTAGAGACAAAAATATCACAAAATTTGTATATATCAAAAACGAAAACTTGATTAACTCACAGCCATATAAGGTGTTGAACCAACGGTTCTTGTATGAGCTTTTGAATCAATTAGATAGCCTGAAATACCAAAATCACACAATTTAATAATGCCCTGATCATTGATTAATATGTTTGAAGGCTTAATATCACGATGTATGGCTTGAAGCTCTTTTTTGAGATAATCCAATGCATCGATTGTCTAAGGAAAAAATATTATAAACATGAAGATCTAGAATAAGATAATCAACATACAGCGACGGCAACTTTTCCGATTATTCGTTCAGGAACGGTTTCGTTTCGTTTTGATAGATGTTTAATTAATCGATCAAAACATGTGGCCATCAATTCCATGAATATCCATATTTCTGTTTCGAGTATTAAATATCCATAACATTGTACCACATGCTTATGGTTTGATTTTTGCAATAGATCCCTATCTCTTTGTACATGTCGGATTTCATCCGGATTTCCGCTTCGACGCATTTTCTAAAAATAATTGGTTATCATAAAATGATCAATAAACATTCAGGATAATAACAACAACAAATACCTTGACAGCCAAATGAACATTTGATTGTCGATGAAGCATTTTATACACCTGAGCAAAACTACCTGCACCAAGTTCACGTATCTGAATAAAATCACTTTCTTTGACATTTTCAAATTTCTGTTGGGATCATCATGAAAAACAAAATGTGTAAATAAACCATGAATTAATGATATTCAATTATTGTTAAGAAATAAAATTACCGTTTCATCAATGTTTAATAGGAAACTATTACGAGATAATTCGAAACGATTTTGATAATAAACACTATGTGGAGTGGAAACACCGGTAGCTGTACATCTAGCCGAACCACGACCACTTGGATTCGAAACAGTATTTGTTGGTGCTTTACCACTGGAATTATGATGATAATTTTGTTTGTGTGAATGATGATAATGATTGCTACTGTTGCCGCTACTATTGGGATTGTCGAATAAACCATCACAAGGTCGAGGTTGTGATCGATTCTGTACAGAAGATGATGATGATGATGTCAATTTCAATGGTTTCGGTATACGATTAGGTCCACTGTAAGAATTAATATCGCCAAAACGACTAGAATTATGATGACCATCCATGTGTTTCAACATGTTATCTTGACTATTCGAAAGACTCACTGTGGATATAAATATGAATGTGTTAATAATTAATTTTTGAATTAAATTAATGAAAAAATTCTTACAATCTTTAGGCCTTGGTCTAGGACTTAATGAATGTTTGTCAATCAAATCGGTACTAGCAGATTGTTGTTGATAAACTGGTGAATTTTTTTGCGAACGTAAATCTAATTGAAGACGAGAAGTATTACCTCCGGAAGAGCTACTATTATTGTGATGATGATGATTATGATGGCCACCACGTTGATTCACATTCAGTGAATATTGACGACGAAAATTAACTGGAGAATCGGGTGTATTTATTGCTGAATAGCTTCGTGGACCAAGGCCGATAGAAGTAGTATTAGGTCCTGGTGTTAAAGGAACTTGAGCACCGAAAGATGTTGATGATGATGATGACGATGCTGTCGATTGATTATTATTATTATTATAATGCATTTGGTAACCATGCTCAAAAGAACGATTAATATTCTGTTGTTGCTGTTGATGATTGTATTGGTAGTATGGCGTTGTATTATTATGATAATTATTATTATTATTATTATAAGTTGGATAATGATGATGATTGGATGCATTGGTGGGTGATGTTGAATTCATTGTACTATAGCTAGTTGTACCACCAGGTGTGCCGGGCGATCTTGACGTCGGCCAATGTGGTGATGATAATGATAGTGATGATGGCGGCAATACTTGTTGTTGATGAAGATGTGATGATTTTATGGCCAATGATAATGATGGGCTATTATTATTATTATTGACTGTTGTCGTATTTTTTGATGACGTTGATGATGCTCGTATTGGCGTATTGTTTGTCAAAGAATTTGGAGATCGAATCATGGTTGTTGTTGTAGTTGATGATGTTGTGGATGTGCATTTTAAATCGGCGGCATTATTTTCGATTAGAAAATGTGCTATTCTATCATTGTTAGCTGATGATAATGTTGATGGTGGTGATGTATGTGGTCGTATTAAACCACTGGCCATGTTTAACGATGATGAATTTTGTGTCACAGTCGTCGAAGATGATGATGATGATGATGATCGTTGATTCTGAAACCAACCTTTAAGATGATCAGTAAATTTTCCAAAGAATTCCATTGTCTTTCTTTTTATTTGGTTTATTCCGTGTTTAGTGTATTTATGAGTGTATGTAGATAAATTCGAAAAAATGGTCACAGAGAGTAAAAAATAAAATTATGGCAACTTTAAATTAGGAAACAATTACTTTCCGGTAAGATGTATGATCAGTGATGATCGTTTAAACTTGGATTTAATCCATTTCAGTTTATTCAATGTAAACAATGTAAGAATGTAATTGATTTCCATCAATAATTGCATTTCATGATTATGTTTCAAACAAAATTATTCACATCTTTCTGATCATATTTTCATTGAATTATAATATATCATTACTCAAAAAATATCATTTTTATTCATTAGTTGTCAAGCAAAATTTCTTGAATGTCAATGTCATTGAAAATGGCGATCAAATTCTCAGTAACTAAAATGTTTTTATAAAAAAAATCCAAAAGTCGTCGAGGATGATTTATATTATTCTTATTTTGCTTCGTTGTTCTTTGAGGATATATACATTCAATAAAAACTTTATGATTGCATCAAATTCTGTCCGAGTTTTTTCTCGGATTCTTTTTGGTATCAATAGAAATAAACATTTTATAATGAATATAGATTTGTTGGTCGTTGGCCGAAATTATTGTCGAGTTATCGAACGCTTTTTTTGTTTCTTATTCAAATCATCATTTGGAAATGCACGGTAATAATTAAATTAAAATCACTAATCATATATGATTCAATTGAAATTTTTTTCCGAATAACATAGAAAGTATGAATTATGTCAGAAATAAGCAGATCCATCAATAGATGAATTTATTATAAACATGAGAGATCTATGGAGAATTTCAGTCAAAACAAACATCAATAATATTGAACACTATTTTGGGGTAAACAGACAACAAACGACAAACAATATAAACTCGAGTTTGAGCGCCTGCCAAAGTATCCAAATATTTTTTATCCACGGATCGCCCCTCTATCTTGCCTTCTTGTCTGGCTGCCTGCCTGCCTGCATTCATGTCTGTTTCTTGCTCTTATACTATTTACTATTCTCCCTTTAAATAATTTTCTGCGTGTTACATTCTCTTTATTGCCATTGGATTTCTCCAAGCTATATCCAATACCTCGTCTATGAATTAGATCAAGGTATCATTTTTTCACTGTTCACACCCTGATTATGGGCAATACTATTCATTCCATAAATTCTATAATGCTTTCTGTTTTCCGCTTTCGAAATATAATAAATTTTACTTATATGAAAACTGTGAATAAACGGTAATTTAATTCAAATTTAATTTCATTGAAAATGATTTTTCTGATTGTTCCTTTTTTTTATATGGACAAATTTTTTTACACATTCGTATCGAATCATCATAACTTTGAGAATGTTTATAAATTGTGGCTAATGTCTTTCTCAGTACGGGTGCAGGTCTCTTAATAATAGGATTATTTTCTTGTTCATCTTTTAAACCTAATGGCCTTTTATATTTGATTAGATCTGGTGCAAGAGTTTTTTTGATCATCAATTCCCTCTTTTCATGTTCATTATCAGATTTGTTCAATGTACTGAATAAATGTGCAGTTGAACTTTCATGATGATCATCATGGCGGATAGATGAAGACGTTTCATTTGAATCTATGGAATCATTATATATGAATGATGAAACATCACTAAACAATCCAGATTCTGGTGTCTGTTCGAAATTGCTCATTGGATTATCGCTAATCCGTGATTCATATTTAGATGTTGAATAATAGGATAGTATTGATCCAGCTCCTGAAACAAGCGCAGATGAATTTAATGTCACAAAAGAATCACTTTTAATTTTATTCATGCCGTCATTTTCTTTGTCTTTGTGTATGAATTTTGTCGTATCTTTAGGTTTTCGTTCGATAGTTAATGACAGAGATTTTTCCTTTAATTTTATTAGAGGCTGAATTTCATCCTTTCTTTTGATATTTTTTTCATGATGATGATGATGATGATCAATTTTCTGACTTTGTCGTTTCTCTTAATATTTGAAATATAACTTAGTCTTCTAAATATAATAATTGTAATGAATTTGCATTTAACTTACTTTTGAAACAAACATTGCCCATTATACCTATTGGTTTTTTTTCTCGCAATCAACCACACAAACCAGTTATTAGTAGCATTTTTATATCAACACACAAACTCTCATATATCATTAAAATTAAACAAATCAGATTAGGCGCCGAAAATAGTATATTTTTATTTTTATTTTATTTATTTTTGTTTAAATACAATTAAAATATATCAAAGTAATAGAAAAGGAAATTTTTCTTTTGTTTTCCCCTGACAATATAGTGGCGTATGGTTGTTGAAATGGCGGAATAATGTGTTGATGATTTGATAGTAAAAAAAAACAAAATACAGGAAAAAAGAAGGATCCGGACTTTCTAAGAGAATTTTCTTTCTTTGAATAATCATATTGATTGGCGATGGCAATGCTGATGAGGATTTTTTTCAAAGTTTTCATTTTTTATTTATTCTCTGTAGCCTTTTCGGTGGCCTCCATCGCAATGCCGATACATCGACATTCAAACGTGGTTTTTTAAACTGCTCACTTTTAAGATGTTCTTCAACTAGTTTGGGAGTGACACATATAACATGTTGGCCTTTCCAATATTTAACTAGATTTAATGTCTGTAATGTTGTAATTATATCTGTACTTGTAATCGATGTCATATGTGAAAGATCACGAATCGTTATGTTTGTCTTAAAATCGCGTAAAATTTCCAACAATACCCATGACCAATAACTTCGATAACTTAATTTTCCTAAATCGGATAATGGCTTTTCTGGTGAACCAAGTACCATTTCGATTTTGGATAATTCATAGCTGAATGCAATCAAAAATCTCCCATAGCCTTTTCGCTGAAATGGCGGTAATGTTAATATACAAGCCAGATTGTTCCCTTCAGCAGATTCTTTTTCTTTTGAAAAATACCTGAATCAAAATCAATTTATTAATCAATGGAAATAGATAAATACTTCAACAATAACTTACCCCACTATATGTGCACCTTCTTTATCCACTTCGGTCAGTACATAGAATAAAAATGGCTCGACATCAAAAAACAAAGTCTTGTGATCGAGAAACAATTTGGCCAATAAACATAGATTTTGACAATAAATTTTCGATTTTCCATAACCATCAACTTCATACACTGAAATCGTTCCTTTACGGTAAATTTCAATACCTGGTGGTTGTCGTTCGCGACATTCTAATTGATGTTTACGAAACGATTCTTCAAATCGCATATACTTGAGACAGAATTCACAGATCCATAATTTCGATTGTTTTCCATATTCTTCAGGGTATGGTGAAAAATACCAAGCATCAATTTCATAACGGCCAAATTGTATTCTATCAATATATTTAACTTTGGTAATCTCTTCATGTTCTCGTTCCAAAGCAGCCGTAGTAGGATCCATTTCAGCATAAGTTTTCTGAACATGATTAATTTCATCGTGTTTGCGCTTTTGATTCCTTGTCAATTTTTTAACATTTGGATCCGAAACCGAAACATCGGCGAACGAATCCTTTGATTCATTATTATTGACCACACATTTTTGATTGAAATTAATTGCCGATCGCGGTACCCATTCATCCAAACGTCGATTGAAACCATCATAATGAACATAAAATTCATAATCAAAATTTGGATCATCATCCATGACAACTTGGCCATCGTTGCCACTTGTATTGCAGGCATACTTTTTTCTTGTATAATGGTCACGTTTACGAATTTCGATTATTTGCGCTGAATGCCAGGCACCATCGGTTTTCGATTTAACCATAAAATATTCCCCGATTTGCGGTAAAATGTCTGATGAATTTTGATTCGTCGTTGTTGAAGTATCCTCATCTTCTGTATCATTTCGAGATGATGATGTTGTCTGTGGTGATGGTGTCGACGTATTATTATTACGATGACTGTCATTGATCAGATTTTTATTACTGCAACTGCTAGACCGTTTATTATTTGTTCCATTTGTTGACGATGATGATTTTGTCACCGAATGACCATTATTATTATTCGGTGATGAAGTTAGGGCAACCATTTCGGATTTCTTATTACTGTCGTTATTATTATTAATATTGGTTTTAATATTAGATTCATCATTCTTTGTTTTGTTCGATGATGATATATTTTGATTTGAATTGCTATTTTTTAAATTTTTGGCGCCTGTCGTCGTCGTTGACGAATTTGATCTGACCATTTAAAATTTCCGAACACATTCACAAACAAATAAGCACACAGAATCTTGACAAATCAAACGTCTATTGATGGAAAAAAGAACTATCAAAAATCAATCCCACCATTGTAAATTATACTCACAGAAAGTAAGATAATTTGTTTGAATAGAACCACATACGATTCTATTGTTTTTTTTCACTTTTTAACTTGGATTTAGAAATTAGAAATTTGATGAATCTCAAGTTGCAAAATTCCAAAATAAATTATGTCACAATTGAGACGGAGTGAATGATGAAAAAAAAAATCTTTGCCGCAGCACATAGAACAAAAAGGGCAGACGCACAATTAACTGAGAATATTGAGTGAATATTGATGGAGCCACACTTTCATCAAATAAAGCCATTAATGCAGCGAAAGTTCCAAACACTATCATAATATAACGCTCTGTGATGAACGTGTAAAATCGATTGCCATCATGGAAAACTATCGTTAATAGATGTCGCTCAAATAGATGATTCTAAAATTTAGATTCTAAATGATAACCAGTTAATTAAATATATTCGAGATGAAAATATTATTAGAAATAAATATTTGTGTTTCCTATTATATTTTCTGTATTGAATTAGAAATTTATTAGAATACAACTTTATATATAAAATTTATGACTCGAAATGATGAAACATAAAATGCATTTTATTATTCAGTATCACCATGGTAACAATGTGGAACGGAATCAATGTTTCTAACAAAAGTTATTCAATTTTCTTACAATTACGTTCTTTGAAGAATTTTAAGACTATCATCAAATATGAAATTAAAACATGAAAAAACATTATTGAAACCGAAAAGATTCGAGAGTATTGATTTCGAAGACAAACCATCTTCTGTTCAACTTTATCGTATACAATGTATGGCCATTTCGGCTAATATGACCAAATTGGCCATTTGTCATTCACAAACGAATCGCGTTGAATTATGGGATTTATCGACCAACGAAGTGAAAGATAAATTTGCATTGAAATCTGCTGATAAACAATCGGGGGATCGACATTCATTTCAAGTGAATGGCATGTCATTTTCTGCAGATTCCGAACGGTTAGCCATTGGGCAATCGGATCATGTTATCTACATCTATAAAATCGGCAATTCATGGTTCGAATATATATTACTATGAGCCTGATTTTTTGAAATAATAATGAAAAACTTTTTATCTGATTTCATAGGGGGCAAAAAAAGTCGATTGTCAACAAATATTCACTTCAAAGTGCCGTATGTGCACTGCATTGGCTTTCCACCGGAATTGTTTTTGCATCGATCGATGGTCGTGTTAAATTCATTCAAACTCATACTAACAAAATGTCAACGCTAATCAATGTTCCAAATTCTATCTGTGTATCCATGTGCTATAATCAGGATCAAATTATAGCCGGTTTTCTTAATGGAGAAATCTGGTCAAATTCATTGGCTTCAAATCTTCGTGAATCTTCAGCACAATTGGTGGCCAATCACCCGACTCCACCGTTTGCATTAGAATTAACATCGACCGGTTATATTTGTGCAGCTGGATGTGATGGCCGTATTTTGTTCCAAGAACTTACAGGATCTAGTTCTGCAAGCAGTTCGGCTCTTGAAAAATCACGAAAAATTTCTGCGTCCAACAATTCAACTGCAACATCAGTCAATAGACAAACAATTGATCATGGTCAAGACATCTCTATCGCTGTCAGTTCACCATCCGGAACAGTTTTAATATTGGCATCCAAAGAATCATTACTTGTATTTCAATTAAAATCACGAATATGGAAGCATCAATTAACAGTAGATATGAATGGTTCACTTTTGATTACAGGACTTTGTTGGTCATCTGATGGAACAAAATTGGTTGCTTCAACATTGAATCAAGCTGTCGAATTATACCGATGTCAATGGCAATCAAAATTGGTTGGAAATCGATTCGAAATCAATTATGTTGGAAATCGACAATTAGTAATCAGAGATTTACAGACAAATCAATCGAAAATGTTTGTATCGAATTTCGATATTCAAGAAGTGAAAATTATCAAAGAAAGTTTTGTCGTAATTTGGACAACAAATACATTAATCATGGGTAGTTTGTCGAATGATTCACAACGCTCAGAAATAGAGTGGCTTGGATTGACAACCCATGGTGTGAAATTTTCATTTGATTATGAAAATGTTGCCCTGATCAGTGCCGTTGGTGAATTGTATCTTGTCGAATTGGGTCAGAATCAAATTCTTGGATCAGTTCGTACTGATTTCATATCACCTCATTTGATATCGGTCCGAATGAATGAACGTAATTCGAAATCAAAAATTTTTGCCTATCTATTAGACGCTAAAAGCATTGCCGTAATTGATTTGATCACCGGATTACAACTGAACACTTGGGCTCATTCGGAACGTATCGATTGGATTGAACTGAATGAAACTGGTCATCGTATGATTTTTCGTGATAAGGCATTGAAATTGATCCTATTATTGAATGTCGTACATCAAGATCAGATGGTTCTGTTGAATCATGGCTGTGGTTTTGTACAATGGGTACCTGGATCCGATGTTATTGTAGCTCAATGCCGAGATAAACTCTATGTTTGGTATGATTATAGTAAACCGGTTATTCATCAAGTGATTGGAGGAGAATTAAATGAAGCATTCGAAATTGAACGCACCAATGGTGTTACGAAAGTCAAGTTCATGCAACCCAACACAGATATTGTATTGAATGAAGTTTTGTTGGAATATGATACGGCCATCGATGATGGAGATCTAGAAAGGTATTCATATTATACAATGTTCATGTACTTATACATTTTATTCAATCACAGGGCTCAATCATTCCTGGAATCATTGGGTGAACAACAACGAAATTCGCAAACAGCAACCATAACCGATACCAATTCAATGTGGCTACAGCTTGGAAATTTAGCGTTGAAAAATTTGAATCTTACCGTTGCTGAACGTTCTTTTGCCGCTATCGGTGATTTAGCTAAAGTGAATTTCATTCAGCAGTGTCAACTTGATTCATCCATGCTTGCATTGTTAGACGGCGATTGGGACCGTTTTGAAAGTGGTAATTTTGATAAGGTTCTTTCAATTTATCTTAACACATATAATTGGGATCGTGCGATCAAATTTGCAACAAAATATGGACGTCATGATCTAATTGAAGAATTACAACAAAAATATTATCAATGGTTATTGGACACAGGACAGCATTCAATTGCCGCCATGATTTTGCAACAAGATGGGAAATTAGAAGAAGCTATTGGTTTATATATGAAAGCCGGTCGATTAGTTCAGCTTACCAAATTAATTGTTGATCATTTCAGTATAAGTAACAATCAAAAAGGTGGCGATCAAAATCAAATTATTAATAAAGATTTAGTCGATAAAATAATCATCGATCTTGAACGAGCTGAAGCATTCGAAGAAGCAGGTGATCTATATCAGCTTCCCATAATAGATAATAAACAAAACGCATTAAGATCATTCACCAAGGCCAAAGCATTTTCTAAGGCTATCAATCTTGCACGAACACATTTCCCTGATGAAGTTGTAACGCTAGAGAGCCAATATGGCGAATATCTTATCAATGAAATGGATGATCCGTCCAATGCTGTCAATCATTTTATTGAAGCTGGTCGTACGGAAAAAGCATTAGAAGCAGCCGTTATGGCTCGACAATTTGATCGTGCGGCTGAAATTGCTTCGATTATGGACCAAATTCCAACTCATTATGGCAAAAAAATTGCCGAACATTATGTTCAACGTGATGAAATCGAACCGGCATTGGAAATGTATCTAAATATGGGCTGTGTTCGTGAAGCTGTTCAACTTTTGAATGATCGTGGTCAATATGCACGGGCATTTAAAATCGCCAAACAATTAATGTCGACTGATGAAGCTCGTGAAATGTACGAAATGATTGCTAAATCCTATGAATCGAATGGTAAATGGAAAGAAGCCGAAAGAATTTATATAGCCTGTGGTGATGTTGATGCTGCCATTTCAATGTACAAGAATAATCGCGAATTTGATTCGATGCTAAGATTGGTTAGGCAACATCACCCAGGACTTTTAAATGAAACTTGTATTTACTTGGCTCGAGAATTAGAATCGGATCATCTGTACAAACAAGCAGAACAATATTATCTAATGGCTAATGAATGGCAACAAGCAGTTCTAATGTATCGTAATGCTTCTCAGTGGGAAGATTCCTATAGGGTTTCACGTGCAAATGGCGGTGCATCGGCTGCCAAACAGGTTGCATTCCATTGGGCCCAAACAATGTCGACATCACAAGAAGCGGTTAGCCTATTGAATCGATTTGGCTTATTGAATCAGGTTGTAGATTATGCCTTGGAAAATAATGAATTTGAATTCGCTCTTTCATTGATTCGTAATTCTTCAGATTTAAAGGTAATGATTTTTTCTTTGTCATTTATAAATGATTAAAATTTGATCCTTTTCTTATATAGCATAAATTAATTGATGTTCAACTCAAGTACGCTGGTTGGCTTGAAAATGAAAATCTTTTCAATGAAGCTGAAACAATGTATGTAGAGGCTGGTAAACCCAAAGAAGCGGTAGTCATGTATCTCCATCATAATAATTTCGACGATGCACTTCGTGTTGCCGGACAATATGTGCAACAAGATGATGAAGAAGTTGTCAAAGATATACTTACAGCTCAAGCTCGTTACCTTTTTGATCAGATGAAACAATATAACGATTTTGATCGAATTGATCGTGTTGAAACATTATTGCTTCGAGCTGGCCGTATCGAAATGGCTGTGCGTTTATTTCGCGATTCTGGATTATGGGATGAAGCTGTCCATGTAGCCGAGCAATATGCACCACACTTACTGGATTCACTACGACGTGATATGATTACATCGACTACAGCTCATGCGACTTCAACATATCCATCTATTTCACTTAAATCATCACGAGTAAATAGTCCACGGATGATGAATCAATCTGATTATGTCCAACAACAACAATCAAATGAAATGAGTGAATTAGATCTGACACAAGCTTTAAAAACGGCTGAACAAAATGGAGATAAAGAATCCATTTTTCGATATTCAATGTTGTTGGCCAGTCATTTGTTGAAAGAACATCAGGCGTATGATTCTCTCAAAGTTTTGGCCAAGCATTCGTCATCAACATTTATTTTGCCTGATTCAAAAAAGTTAATGTCTCGAATAGCTGTAGTAATACTATCCGAAATGGAAGATTTCGCTGATCCAACTACTAACTCAAGTCAAATGTACACATTGTTACGAGATTCGTTCCAGCAATTATTGACGCAGAATTCCTCATTGAATCAAATGGAACGTGAATCGTTTGGAAAATATCTACTAATATCTCATTATCTGACGTTGAAATGTTTACTTGAAGAATTGGCCACCACATATCCCCAATCACCCGCCATTGGTAGTATTCGGGAATTACATCTCAAACTATCGATTTCGATGTTGCGTTATACGGATGTTGTACGTGCTGATAAAGCATTCTATGAAGCGGGATTAGCTTGTCGATCAGCGAACCGTTTGGAAATGGCATTTGTATTCCTAAATCATTTTCTAGATCTATTGGATGCTATCGAAGAGCAAAATTTCAATGTCGATCATTCGGATTTTGTTCATACGGATATACCATTCGAAGTACCCCTTCCATCAAAGATTACGTTCGATGAAACAACTATAGAGGAAATTAAAAGTTGGGTATTGCAAACATCTATGGATACAGAAATGTCGCAATCATTACCGTTGGATCCAATGCGTGATGGTGAAGTATATGAAGCAAGTTTGATTAACGGAGATCATACAAGATGTTTACCATGTTTGGTGACTGGATATCCTGTGGCTGCCAAACATAAAATGATTGAATTTGAATCTGGTAAATATGTGGCCAACAAAGAAGATTGGAATAAATTGTTAATGATTGCTAAAGTATTGGATAATCAAAAATTACGCGAACTTTTGCAATTCATCGGTACATTATGTGGCAATACGAATATTGTGAAATATTCATTTCAATAATTTTCTAACGTAGAAATTGTGTTTCATTAAGAGAATCTATAAGTGGATATATTTTTATTTTCAAATTAAACTTAGTTTTTATTGATTAAATTGTCTTTGTGATTTCTGTTTGGGTATTCAATCGATTCTTTTGAAGAACAAAAATTCTGCTTTTTATCACATATAGGAAACAATGTAAAGAGATTAAATCAAACAAAAAAAAACTTATCGAAAAATAATACGTATCTAACAAAATGATAAACTTATTGATAATTGTATTAAAATCAAAAAAAAATAATTTATAAAATAAACAAGAAACGGCAATTATGGATTCTCATGAAATATAAAATGATTGCTTAATTATAAGAAAATTTCAGATTGTCTTTCGTTGGTCAGCAGATGGATTGATTCTAACTTTTAAAAACTGGTAAAATAACTGAAACAAATGCTATACTGAAGGTAGATAGAAATGCCGTAGACAAAATGATTGATAAAAAATTAAAAGATATCCAGATAAAATTCGGTAAATATGGTTTTTGTGGTTTAAAGTTGAATTGTCGACTGAATATTTTTTTGTGATTATCATGAATTGATTTGACAAGTTAAACACTTAGACCACTATCGGCAAGTATAGCTTGTCAATTGTCTTATGGTGATGATGATGAAACAGTTGCATATGTGGTTGTTCCATTGGAATCTGGAATGATTGTAGCTGTTGGTTCTGTGGACGAATTTTGTTTTGTTGCTTGAAGAAATTGCAAACAAGGCATGCTTTTACCACTCAACAATGATGATCCACGGCTTCGATTTAATGCCTTTTTCAACGTATAGCCTAAGCCTTGAAGAAACAAGCGCAAAACTTCGGCCGTTTTATTTGGCTGTTCTTCTAAAGGCATTGAACAATCACCAAGTTTGACCCAAGTTGAATTGGTTGGATCTAATCGTGAATTCATTTTTACAGATTCATCTACATGTGGAGAATAATCGGCACTAACGATGGCTACAGGACATTTGAAATTAGTGATGCGATCATCACGCGATATACCCAATGCTGAACGATTCAGATATGATTCCAAAAAGCGAGCCAGATTGTGTTTATTGATCACTCCGGTGCTAAAATATCGTCGATAAAATGTTACTGCTTCATCATCGATTGGGCGATCCGGTAAGCTTAAATTGCCAAACAAATGCCAGAGGAAATAATCCTGAACAGAAATAGGCAAATCCGGATTTGGAGCTAATGAACTAGTCGATACATTTGTTGTCGATGGTGCCGCTGTTGTTTGAGCCAATGCACGGAGATTCAATTTCTGATAGAACCATTCTGTCCACGTAGATGTCGTCGCAGATGGGTTGATCAAAAATAAACCTTCTACCATATCTGGATGTTTGAGAGCAAAACGACTGAGCACATTACTACCAGCTCCGTAGCCAAAACCAATGAATTCCTGAATATTATAATAACGACATATTTCACCCATTTGTTCACATAATTCATCCATGGTTGGGAACAGATAATTTGAAGAAAGATCCGCGGAATTTTCTTCTTGTCCGGGTGCATTAACATGATAGATACGGAAATCTTGTAGCATCTGTTTAATATATGTACGAGAAAAGAATGATTCGAAATTGGAGAAATAATTTAGACCAATATCATGATAAGTGATGATCACTGGTCTCGGTGCGACCGATGGTTGTGATTTATTTTGTCCATCCACAGTCGTCGTTGGAGATTGTTTAACAATTACGACAGGACCAAACCTGGTCATCAAACGATCACGATCAGCATCGCTTGTTTTTGACAATAGTCTTGATTTATCAAATTCATCACCACCATGTTCACAATCTTCATTTGAGCCAGGAAAACTAAAGCTTATCTTTTCCAATTCTACTTCATTGATACTTGATCTTGAGCCAAAATTATTCGTTAATTTTTTAGGTATTGAACCGATATTGTTGAAAAATGAATTTCCACCAATGCCAACATTGGCTGTTGATGTTGAACCAAGTCCAGATTCGATTAAGCTTAGGTCGTTAGCATCATGGCTAACTTTTTTATAGTAGATGGGCATTTTGTAACTATAGATTAGATTAAAATGATCAGCAAACAATTGGTATTCGTATTTGTTTGTTTTTTTTTGTCTACGTCAATTCTAAAACCGGTAACCAATGGATACTACACGTACCGTGTTAAATAGAGCGTGTATATGTCTGGAACAAATTAAGCTTCATGAATGATTGTCGAACAGCGATGATGCGTTAGATCGACGAAATGAATCTGTATCCAATAGGAAAAAAGTACCGATGTGACTTTTTTAGTGGATGATGTTATGTTATGTTCTAGGCGTATGTACGCAAACAAACAATGAAATAAAAATTCAAAGGATAATATAATGGTTCTTTCAAGTGCTTCTGTTTATAGTAGCTTCGAGCAAGCTTTTGTGTAATCATTAATTTTTTGTTATTCATTCAAGGTTGTTGATGCAAGTTTTTCACTTGTCATGATTCGATGAAGATGATTCGATGGAATTTACCTTAGCGTTAAATCATTCATTCAATAATTGTCACTTATTCAATTTTTATCACCTATAGGGGATTGAATAGGAAAAAATCAGATAAATTTGTACAAAATTTATTGATAAAAAATGATTCAACTTACTTGTTAATTAAAACAATTGCTTTATTTTGATATGATGATAGGAATGCTATCACTAAAATAAATGGAGCAAAATCCAAATGGTTTGAATTCTAAAATGAATAAACAATATCGAAAAAATATGTTTGTTATTTTGTTATTGTTATTGATGATATGATGTCAAAAACATACACGCGCATTCACAAATTGAAACGCAGTGTTTTATCTCACAAAAATCTTCGTTGTCTTTCGGGCTCCGAAACTCGTTTCGAATCCAAATCGAATAAAAAGACTTCGAGGCTTCAATGTTTATGTGTATGTGTCTTTTCGTGTTTACAACGCTTTTACCATATTATGTTTTAGTGAGCTCGAATTTTTCCTACTGATGCAGTCGTAGTGGTAACGAAATTTTGTTTCGACAACGATTAATATATTGAATAGAATGACAACCTAAAAGAATGAAATTGAATCAAATTAAGCTATGTGTATATTAATAATTTGAAATGTATAATATTCATATGTAGTTTATGATCAAAAATACAAAGATCAATATACCTAACGAGATATTCTGATGAATCATTCTGGATTCTGTCGATGAGGAATCGGATCACAAGCAGAAGGAAGTGAAAATTTAAACAATCATAATCTAATTAATGATTAATGATGATGATTGCTCGTTGTTTTTGTTGTTTTGATTGTTTGATTTAAATTGTAATGTCACGATTCGTATTTTAGTTTTAGTTTTTTCGATTTCATAAAATTTTGTGCAAAAATTCGGTCTCCTATACACAATTTTATTCAACACAGTGTTTGGTTTCGATGGTATTGCATTACATTAAAACACCGTTAGATGATGAATCATCATCGATCATTGAGAACATTATACAACAAATCAAAGTTTTTTTCAGCCTTTGCATGATCAATTTAGCCTGATCAAATTTAATCAAAAGCAATTACAATGATGAAAGTGATGATCGAACGAAAAATAAAAACAGATTACATGAATTCGATTGGCATAGAACAAACAGAAATGCAATCTGATTTTTATACGTGTGTTTGCATACATATGTGTGTTTTGAACATCTGCATTCATTTATAATTTAGATTCTGGTTTTGATTCTCGATGTATATTTCTGATCCTTATGGTGACCAAAAAAAAAAGATTTTTTTCTACTAACTTGCGTCGCAAAATTATTATTACGTCTATAAACTATTAATAATTGAATGAAAATGGTGACAGTGGTAGTATCACCAATTTAAAACAATGTTTTATCAATAGTTGTTGTTATGACCATATATGTTTTAGAAACACATAGAATTTAAAAGACCATACGGAATGCAGCTATCCATAATGAGCTTATATCTAAATTGGGACACCAGAATCGAAAAAACAATCTTTCCGTTTGCCACTACCACTCAGGAACAAAACGCGGATCCAGAATCTTGTGAATTGTTTTTTTTTGTGCCAAGAGAATAATATTAGTAGAAAATAAAAATTCCAGTTTTTAATGTTTCATAATTGATTGCTGCTATACATGGTTTTCTTGTGATTAAAATGGATGAATGTATTGACAGGCAAGATTTTTGAAGCTAATCAAAGTAAAAAAAAAATTAAAGCACACAATCTTTGATTGTGTTATTTGGTCGATACTGATTCTTTGCAAATGCTTTTATTATTTAGTTGTCGCTCTCGAAAATCAAATTATCTATTCTGGTTCACTTAACATAGATTGAAATGACACAATCGATAGAAAAATCGAATGTCTTTCTTAATTAAATATTGAACATTTTTTCTCGATCCATTGTTTTTTCATTACATTTTTCCCTAATACGATGGTGATTCATTAATAGTGTTTTCATCGCCATTTATATCATAATTTTCATTGTCCTCATATTTAGCTGTATCATCATCGTTATCATTGGTTTTGTTCTCTTCATTATAGGCTTTATTTTCACTTTGTTCTTCATTTTTGTCAATGGATGGTGATGATTCATCGACTTTCGTTTCTTCAGCAACTACAGCTTCCGAGCCTTTCTGAACATCATAGCTATCATTATCCGAGTATGCAACTTCAGAACTTTTTGGTTCTTGTTTTTGATCATCTACTTTGGTCTCTTCTTGAGTTTGGTCCACAGATGCATTTGGCTGATCTTTTTGTTGATCAATTGAATTATCCTCAATGATCGGTTCATCAATTGGCTGTGGTTGTGCTGATGAATCCGGTTCTGGTGCTCCTTGTTTGACCAATGGAATATCTGATGTTGAATAATCAGGTTCCGATTGTGCTTCCGGTGCAATTGGTAATTTACTTTCACTTTGCTCAATACCTTCTTTACGAATCAATAAATTTAGTAAGATTGGAATCGGTACAGGTTTGACGATTAAAACACGTTCAACTACCATTGGAAGACGTCTATTTAGGCCTCCACAACAACCACTCATAGGTTTCATGAATGGCATTCCAAACATTGGTCGAAATGAGGGACGATATTCAGGTTCAGATTCGGAAATATCCGGTTGGTTCTCTTCAGTTTTATGATTGAATAGAATTTTCGTAAATTCATTTAATGGATTCGGTCGTAGTGATTCTTCATTGGAAAATTCTGGTTTTACATCCTATTGAATATGATTAATTTTTTTTATTAAAATTGAGCTGAGCACATACCTGAATCGTTTCTTCGGTGACCTTTTGATCTAACACTGGAGTTGCACAAACAAAGCTTATCAACCAAATGTTTATAACCAAAGTTTTGGTCAAATTTCTATCGATAAACATTTTTTTTCAATTAGGTTTCTGTGTTTATGTCACAATAAGTTAAATCCAAGTGAAACATGGACATTTGTAGCTATTCTCCATTTATTGGTTTTTTTATCATATTATCATATGAAGCGATTGCACGGATATGTATGTTTGTCAAGTTCTTTTCTAATCATCATTGCTGTCGTCCTGGCAGATGTTGACAGGAAATTGCAATTCCTTTGCCTATTCATTTATCATTGATTATTTGTCAACGATATTTTTCCGTTTAAATTTGAAACATATTTGTTCGATTCATGATTGAGGTCATAGTTGGTAATTTCCAAATAAAAAGAATGTTACATAAATTTTAGATTCAGTATAATTATGATTATTTATTGATTTAATTTTCTTGATAAATTGCAAAAGAAATGTCTAAGATCAGGCCCATAAAGTTTTTTTTTCTTTGAACAAATAAAAGTACCACTTCTTCTATATGATTCTATATATTTCGGGTGCAAAAATGGCGCCAGAATCTCTCTATAGGATTCAATTGTTTATATTATCCTTTTAAATGAACATGATGTTTCTTTGGGCTTGAGCATACAAAATTTTTCCCTTCAACATTATTGAGTATCATTTATTAAAGACCTTGGTTGTCCTCCTCTTCCTCCTCTTGGTGTTTACATCAGTCCTAAATCTTGAGTAAATTTGTGTTTTTCTCATTGTCAGATTTGATCATAATCCCATCGATAAATAAAATATAAATTAATCATTATGCCAGTCGTGTTAATAGCGACCGATCGAACATGGACTTCGGTGAATGCAACCGAACTAAATGATCATATACTTAATGATGGTATTTTTGAAGGTCCAACATTCATCACTCGTGATGAATTTGGTATCCCACCTGATGAGACATTTTTGTACAAAAGTCTTAATGTACATCTCGTACGTGAACAAACTTATTCCACTAATCTGAAAGCGGCAACTGTTTTGAGTAAGTTTTTTGAGTGAAAAATTTTTTTAAATTAAAAATAACTGTTTGGTTTAGGCCGTTTTGTATCACATGGATATCGTATCGTTGCATCGGCAGGATCCGGTGTAGGAACATCAGGTAAAGCACGTTACAGTGCCGATGTTGCTGTCACAGATTATCGTTGGCTATGGACATTGGTCAGGGATGATATGGCACCACCACCATATCCATCGATATCATCAAATAAAGTTTCATTGTCACAGACAAGAGAAAAACCTAGTTATTCGTCTTCTGGTGATAATGTTGATCAGACAATTAATGGAAATTGTGGCAGTAGTAGTTGTTTTAGAAATTAATTTTGATTGAATTGACATTAGTTAATTATTTTAATTTATTCACAATGTCACAATACCAGCAACAACAAAAAAAATTAACCATTATCATTTGGTCGAGGCCTATTAGGACAAACACGATTAGAATTGCCAAGTATTTTGAAAAAATCACAAGCAAATGAGCCAAGGAATTCTACTCGTTGTCTATCAATCATAGTCTGATTTATTTTCGGTTTATAATATTCATTTTCTGCTGTTTTTATTGAAGGCGTATAATGATATCTTGGATATACCAAGCCTTGTGTTGAAAACGTAATCTGTGGTGGTGGTGGTGGTGGTGAAAAATGTTTATTTCGGCCATAAGATAGTGTTTCATTAGAATTAATAACACATGATCGAAAATTTGTCCCATTGTTTTTATTTAAATGGCAAAGCCAACAGCTATAACCAGTTATTATCGGCGTTTCCGATGATAATGGTCGACATGTCCAATCAACATTATTGTCGTATTGACCGTTGACAATTTTCAAGCCATCCAACAAACCTAATTCATTGATAAAAAACAAATATATGTTATTGTTTTTGATTTTTTTTAAACTGTTGAATGTGAAAGAATTTTAAAATAAACATTATTAGAATATACTTACCATTGTAAACATTTGATTGTATCAAAATGATGATGTTTGTGATTAAAACGCTATTACATATTGATTTAATGATTCGTGTATGAGCCATATTTCGATTGAAGATAACTTATCGCATTGATTTAAATCTACATAAAGCCACTTCTTAGAAAACAAGGAAAGATTAATGTCAACCGAAATTTTTTTTTCTCACCAAATTATAAAATTTCTACTTTGTGTATGTGAATTGATCAAAGAGAGAGAGAGATAGAGAGAACCACATTCATGGTCCGATGATCACCAAGGTCTGATAATTAATTAATTAATTAAAGTAATTATGGCTAATATAAGCCATAAAAATTGATTTTGATGATGATGCAATAATCAGTGACATCATTAAATTGTCTAACAATTTATCGAATCAAATTGATTTTTTTTAAACTTTTTACTATCAAGTCAATCATTTTTTTTAATTTTTCTCATAAATCTGATGCATGATTTGTGTTTTTTTTTTTTTTGTGTTTAGTTCTGGATCCATATACGAGACAGAAAGAATTAAAATGTAATTATTATTTAAAGAAAAAATACAAATCAAATGTAATGAATGAGTAGAATACAATATAACAATTATATAATAATAAATTAGACAGTCGTTTGTTCGTATTTTGATTGATTTGAACAATGGAAAAAAATGATTGATTAATTGATCCAGATTTAAAATAATAAATTATTTGTTTGCCGAAAATACAACAGTTTTTTGTGTGTATGACATTTTTTGATAATGGCAAATTGGAGAAAAAAAAATTGATGATGAAATTGATAAAAAAAAGTAACGAATGAATGATGATAATGATGGGACAAACATTGACCGATTCATTCCAATAAAGACAATTCTGGTCTACATGATCAAGTCAAATGTGAAAATTTTTTTTCAAATTCCAAAAATTAAACAGTGACTTGTTTGTTTTATCTGTCGAAATATTTCCTCTGAAAATATTCTGTGCTCTGTGATGATTGTCTGTGTATGTGTGTGTGTGTGTGTGTAGAATATGTTGTCGATTGATAGTCAGATGTGATGAAAAAAAATGAAAAAATGATCAGCAGCAGTAATGGGGCATCATAATTATCCTGTTAATTGGTTCGATACTTTGGAATCAATGAAAAATTTTTTAAAATTAACTTCGTTGCAACTTTTTCACTTGTTTCGAGTCCAAATCTCCATAGTATTTTTCACTAGACGATGAAAACAGGAAAAAAAAAAAAAATAAAAATTTTAAAAAACGACGATATAACATAAATATTATTTTCTATTGATTGGTGACAATGTGTATGAAATTAGTAAACATAAACAAAACGTTGGCCTGGAACTTTTGGAACTGGAACTACTTAAGACTAAAAATGATGATGACTAGGAAAACTAGGTCATTGTTTATGAGTGTTCAATACGATAATTGACAACCGTGTCACAATGTTATTTACACACACAAAACAAATTAGGGACATCATGATCATGAACACAAACTTAAAAAAAAAATCGCCAGTGGCATTATTGGCCATCATCTTTGTTGTCTAGATTTCCATCTTGAATATGATCATTCGAATTCAAAGAAAAACAAAATTTTGTTTGTAATCTTAAAATTTCTGATTCAACGATGATACTACTCGATGGTAACTAAAATTTTTGATTCCTATAAATCTTAAAATATTCATTGACCCTTATCAAATAGCGCAATCTTCATATTTTTTTCATTTTCCTTTTTTTAAAAAAAATAATTATATTTTATCTTGATGTTTCATTACTAAAAAAAAATTTATCATTGACACCTATAGATAGCTACAGCTTAAGCTTATGTTAGTTTGAATGCAACAAAAGTGTTTATAAATAAAATAATTAAACGACATTCAAATTAAAATGCAATTAAAATGATAATTACCATCCAGGTACATTCTCTGGATCATCACATTGAAGTGTATCGACGTTGAATACAGTTCCAAGACTGCAACCTATTTTCATTGATGAAATTGAGATTAAGAGATTTTCAATTTGTTATAATTCATATTTTTCATTGGCAATTACATACCATAAGGACGAGCAACACCTTCAATGCAAACATAAAATTTACGACAATCAGTTGGATGAGCATGTCGAGTATAATGACCTGGTTGATCGGTCTCAGTTGGATCTGGACAGACAAAGCCATCGCTTACTTCTACAAAGCAGAAGATAAGCAAAATAAAATGGAAAAAATAAAGCAATAAACTTACCTGATTGATCACAGCGATCGACGTGATCAGCCCAAACACATACACGTTGATCATCATCATAGGCTAGGCCTGGTGGACATTCATAACGGGAAGCTTCTCCATTCCAACACGAATAGAAAATTCGACAATTTGATGGATCAGGGAAAATGCCATATAATCTTGGACAGTGTGGCGTACTGATTGGTGGTTCTACTCGAAATAAATAAATGATGATTAATCAATGGTAAAATTGTTGATTACTAACATATTATGTCATACCTAGATCAGATCGTTCACCACAATCGACAGAAAATGGATAGGCACAATTTTCACGTCTCGTATCAGAATCATCAAATACTAAACCATTACCACAGGTTTTCAATGTAGCCGTGCCTGTTTTTTTAATTATCAAAAATGATGAAGATCAACAACGACAAATTAATAAATAAAAATAAAAATTTAAAAATTGAAATTCAAGAAGCTAAAAACGAAGGACTAATAAACGAAAGTATTTTTAGCAATAAAGTAAAAATGATAATTTCAGATCTTCATTCCAAGTATCATTGATTTATCATACACAAATAAATTGTTTGTATTTAGTTTAGTTTAGTAGTGGAAAACATCACGATAATGATAACCAATTCATCTATCTCTATGATATGTGTATAATTTTAGCATCCATTGGACGCAGGCATAAATTATCCATTGACTTGAACATTACATTATCTGTAAATGTGAAGAGGATATCAATATACAAAACCAAGTCTTGTTTATTCTAGTTTAAAATAATCATATGAATTCTATTATGAAAATGAAGATGTCATTCGATCATCAAGGATTCATTAAATGATAAAATTCTCAAATTTTTAGAAATTAACTATTTTAAAAAGGGAAAAACATCCTTACCGTTATCACATGCCCAATATTTGTCACAACTTTTCAAATGTGGATAAAATCCAAAATCGTCGAGACATTGAAAAGATGATCCACCACCAAGATGAATATTCGGATTAGATGGTTGAAAACTATTCTGATTCAATATGGCTCGTGGTGGTTGTTGTTGTTGTGGTACTGGTGCAGCTGCCGTTGGCTGATATGGCAACGATGATGGCTGATTTGATGATGATGGATTGAATGAAAATTGCGGTGGTCTTTGGCACAAAACTAATAATGATTTGATTAAAATTATAAACAAATTGAATGACAAAAAAAAAAAAGTTTTTCACTACTTACCAGTTGGAGCAATGGCAAATAAACTGATCAATATGATCGTAAAAGAAGATTGAATCATTTTTGTATGATTGATTTGATATAAAATTCTGTTAACACCAAATTGTAATGAGATTAAATGATGAAATATTTAATTGATAGTGAAAATATTCATCGATTCATTTGAATCTATTCAACATTGGAAAAACACCCAAATTGACGGACTTGTTCAATTTAATCTAAACAATACACAAACGAATACGGCCAAACTTACCAACTGAAAGAAATGAATGAACGAATAAATTTTTTCGATGCCCTTCTATCTTTGTAAACTGACTATATGAAAAAATCTTTATTCAAGTTATGGTTTCATTCAAGCGTATTTGTATGGTATTCTTGTATTATCATTATCATCATCATTATTATTATTATTCAACGAAAGATTAAAAAAATATATTGAGACTTGTTAAATGCAATGAAGAAAATCTCCGATTTTTTTATTATTATTCAAAAGTTAGAAAGGTGTGTAACAAGATCGTTTTGCAGACCAACGAAAAAAAATTTCTGGAAAAGAGAACAGGACTCTCTTTCTTATGAAACTTGAATTTTTTGTTTTTGTTTTTCATCGGAAAACGAATGAATGAACAAAAAGGTTGAATGATGCGGTGATAAGGTGATTCAAAGATTTGATCCAAAGAGAGAAATCATGCCTTCTTCCTTTCGCCTTCATAATGGACCATTTTTTTTTGTTTATGATTCAAAAACGAAAGCGATCTGATAGCCAAAGAGAAAGCAGGACACATATAAATAAAAAATATATATATATAGAGAGAGAGAGAATATTTGATCATAGAAATTTATATCGATCAATAAATATTCGATCATTTTAGATGTACAAATTTGACGTTTTTATAAGAAATATTTGTAATAGTTTTTTTCTGTCTAGATAGACAGTTTATTGATTGATCTATGATTGGTCTACTTCTCTCGCTTTTTTGAGCCATCATTGTCAATGAACCTGGATCAAGTCTTAACCACGAACAGATTGACCGCCGAAAACTGCATCTGTGAAGACAAATTCAATTATTGGTAAAATATGTGTTTGTATATGCATGTAGCAGTAGCAATTATCTTGGGCGAAACAAATGAAAATTTTCAATTTTTTTCTTGTTCGATTTTCAAGTCAAACTAAACTCTGACTGACATTTGGATCATGTAGAAAAAAAAATTCAGGAAGAAATGTTTGTTCATTTCGTTATTATTTGAATTTTTTTTACAGGTCCGGATTGTTATGTATGTGCGGCCACCGAACGTAACAAACAACTTTGGGAATTTTCATTTTTATATTGAAATTTTTTTCGTCTCGAAACACAAAATCACAAGCAATCACAAACGGGCGTCATCTTATATAACGGAATAAATATAAGTTAGACTAGACACCTTGTACTCGACAGGCAAATATTTGATCTGAAAATCGATGATAATAATAATAATTTGTATAGCAAAGCACAATCATACACATTCAAGTTTTTCTTTGAAACACATTTGAAAAATAAAAAAAAAATTTAATAAAACTTACAGATGAAAAATGACAAGATCGACGAAAAAGATTGCCAAAACGTAACAAATATCAAATCGATGAACCCGAAGAATAATAGAAAAACAAAAATCAATGTAGAGATCAGGAATAGTGAGGATTATTATGAATCGATTATTCGTCGAATGATAAACAAAAATCAGAGATCATCCACATTCATCGTTATTCACATTGGAAATAGTACAAAAAAAAAGAGTTGATCAATCGTTAGCTATTTATATTACCAGATCCATGTTCTGTTTGTCTTTTTTTAAAGGATTTTTCAACTTTTGAAACATCCATTTGAGAGATTATTATTGTAATGATTGAAGAACAAGAAAAAAAGAGAAACCAATCCTTAATATTTGACGATGATTATGCTGGATGTTTGACCAATTAGGGAGAATTCATTATGAATATAATTATGATTGAAATAGAAAACCTTATTTTCTAGTTTAAAAAATAAAGATTCGCATGATTTTGGTAATGATAACTGATTGTGACATTTTTGGTAATTGTTCGATTACAATCTATTTAAAGATGGGTTAATGAAATTTTATTAAAATTGAAATTCATAAAAATTAAAACGATGGCCGGATATATAAACTCAAAATCTAAAAACCAAATTTACTTGATTGAAAGAATCGTTTATGAATGAATGTTATGTTATGTTTGTGTATTGTACTTGTTCATCATGAACAATCACGAAATTTAATCCTCAAGACCTTTTGGCCTCGATGTTCTACTCGTGTCCATGATTGTTTGATGTGTCATGCAATGCAATGAAATCCAATTCATTCATTTCAATTCAACAAGCCAGGTGATGATAATGATGATGAGGTCAATCAACTTTTTTTAGGCACCATATTTATATATCTTGATATTTAATGATAATCATATAGCCAAGAAAAGCCAATTCAAAGTATTTTATTTGTGTATTTGGTGTGTGTGTGGGAGCCAGCACATCATCATTTGGAATAAGCGACAAATATCACTATCAACAATAACTGGAAGGAAGACTTTGAGTAAGAAAGAAAGATGAATAAGAAACCATTAGGCACACGATTTGATTGTCAAATCAAATGGTTAAAATGAACTTGTCTATTATCAACATTATAGCCATTCAAATCCATAATTTTGAATTAGAATTTTGTTTATTAATCATCGAAGCGACGATGAATAATAAAATGGCATGACTTTGAATTTTTTCCATAAAATTTATTTAAAATTATCAAGCTCCATATTCGAACAAAAATACACTATTGTAGCAGTTTCATTTTTTTTGTATGGATAAAAAATTGGCCAATTTTCTTCGAACCCTTCGAGTATCATGATTGCCATCCAAAGAGATTGAAATTAGTGCATGCCAAGTTCAGAGCTGACTGACTGACCGACAAACAAACAAAATAAAATAATCATATACAATGGCCAGACTTTTTGAGAGCAAAATCATCATCACTATAATAGCCTTATGAAAATGATCATTTTCACCTCCATATGATGATCATCAAACTAACGGTCAACCAACAATCAACCTTCAGCAACCATACACAAATTCGGCCATGGAAATCGGTGACGGTTATTTTTATATCTCCATTCATTTATTTGTTGTTTTTGACCAGTCTGTCTATCATTGTGTCAGTTAGCCTGTCTCTGTCAAGTGGCTTGGGATTCACATTCGCGTGCGATTTAAAATTTTCGGATGGACACTGTTGTGACTAAAATAGTATATTTTTCATATATAGTTTTTTTTATTTTCTTTGATTTTCTCACAACATTCATAGCCAGGAGAACATTGCCCGTTCGGGTGATTAATTGACCGTCCCGGAAAGATTAAGGTCATCATTGTATGTGTTTCTCGTTTTTTTTTGTTTATATGTGAATACTTATTAAATGGCATGGCTGTCATTGGCGAAGGTTTTTTATCTCTTGAATTTTCATCAAAATGAAATAGAAAATATTCTCTTTATCATGATCATGATCATAGCCAAAGGCATCATATAGAAATCGAAACATAAATTTAGAAACAAAAGAATATCTGAATTTATTTGTATACGTGTGTGTGTGTGTGTGTGTGTGTATGAATAAAATGTCGATTTTGTGATGTTTATCGTATTCGATCCTTTATAATCAAACATTTATATAGTAACATCAACAACAATCATCTCACTGGTTGTCCGTCATTCGAATCAAAGATTTTTTGTTTTTCCTTTTTTTTTTTTTTAACATTGGCCATAACATTCAGGTTGATGTCTATTGGATTTTTGTTTGTTTCGCCTTGCTCTCGATTGAATCTTTGTTGTCCAAAATTAGAAAAAGTAATCAAGAAAAAATATCTTATTCTATTTTTATAATGGATATAAGAAAAATCATGATATATAGATGACTCTAATGAATTTCGATATATATTTAATGGTAGGCCATTTTAAGGTTTTTTTTTCTTTTCCGTTCAAATATTACTTGACCGTCAAATTATATACAGTAGACTATGTGAAATTTAGCCATAAGTTTGCCAGCTTGACTATCTGAAGTATCTAGCGCATTTAAATTATGGGCTTATGAATATAAGATACTGCCTGAGAAACCTAAGGTCTGATGACGAATGAAAGACTAATTTGGATATAAAGTCAGTTAATTTTATTCAGTAAAAATGAATAACTATATAATTAATTCAAATAAATCACATATTCAAATAGTAAAAATGGTCATTTTGGCCATAAAATATTCAACAAAAAACTTAAAGCGTTTGTTTCAAATTATTCAATATCTCTTCAGCTTTTGATAATGTTTCATCTTTTTTAATGAAACAAAAACGAATCAAATTTTCTGCCAAATATTTATGGTCATCCGAATAGAATGCACTCATTGGTATGCCTTGTAGTTTCTGTTTTGAAAAAAAACAAAAATCTTAAGATATCATTAAAATTAAAAAAGCAATGTATTACTTTATTCTTGGACATCCATTTGACGAAACGATAATCTTTCGTACCAGTTTCAGTGGTCAGATCAACTTTAGCGGCCAATTCGCTAAAATCAGCAACAATAAAATAACCACCTTCAGGTATAGTTGGATTCATATTGACTGATTTCAATATTTTAGCCATACGATCACGTTTCGGTTGAAGTAAATCAACTAATTCGGTCCAATAACAATCTTTTTGACCCATACGATCAATTTCTTTCTCAAATCCAATGGCAATGGCTTCCTGTATCGGTGTAGGACATGTGTAAACGCAATTCTGATGCAATAATTGCAATGGTTGCATCAAATGTACGGGGCCATAAGCCCAGCCGATTTTCCATCCGGTCACCGAGAATGTCTTACCAGCCGAACCAATCGTTATGGTACGATCCCACATATCAGAAAGTGTAGCTTAGTAAATTAAATAAAAAAATGTTCAGTTATGCATGACAATCATAATATATAATTTTAGGTGTGTGAAGTCAATCAATATGATTTTTAAAATTTTTTTTGTCGAACGCCTACTTTGCCTGAAAAATTGAATTAATAATAATCTTTTACATTGCATAGGATGAAAATTGAATATTATGTATTACCATAATAATCATATTGATGATGATGTTCACGTGACACGGTCACACCTTAGTCGTGAAAACTTACCCATACGGATATGTTCAGTTCCTGGATAGAATAGCCATTCATATACTTCATCACTGATGACTATTACATCATGTTTCTTACATAATGTAGCAATATGTTCCAATTCATCACGAGAGAAAATCTTTTTTTTAAGAATGAACATAAAAGCAGAAAAATTGATTATGAAATTTTGATTTTGTTTAGCGATTGATCGACAATAGTCAAACCTTTCCAAAAGGATTGTGTGGAGTATTCACAATAATTAATTTGGTTTTTTCATTAAATTTTGATTCCAATTCGGCCGGATCCAACTTCCAATCAGCACTCGTTATAGTTGACTGATTATTTTTTGGAGCATCAGATCGTAGGCGGAGAGGAATGAACACTGGTCGGCCACCAGCCATTCTTACCATTGCTTCATAACAATCGAAAAATGGTTCAATAATGATCACTTCATCGCCTTCATCGATTAATGCCATAATAGATGAATAGAGAGCTTCATAGGCTCCCGATGTGATTAACATTTCTTTTAATGGATCAATAGGTCTGGCTTGTAATTGGGAATAAAGTTTGCTCAATGCATTCACTAATCGCGGATGTCCCTACAAAAAACCAACAAATAAAAAATATCAATTTGATGAAAAGTTCAACAATTTCAAAATTCATACAAATCCTCTTGTATATTGATTGAGAAAAATATTATCGCTTGTTGTGGCCTGAGCTAAAGCTTGAGTAACCACTTCGGGTGCAGCGAAATCCGGAAATCCTTGACCCAGGTTTATTGGCTTATATTGGATGGCCAATTTGACAAAGTCATTCCAAACACTCTCGGCCATACCATCTAAACGACGGGCACTTATTTTTTTTGATATCGAAGACATTGTACGTATCTAAGAAAATAATTTATTTATAAAAATTTTATTGATTTATTTTGAATCACAATCAAATAATTTTGTTTGTTTCAAATTTATGTACTTGATTCGTTAATAACCTAACACTATGATGATTATGTGGAAATCCCAAAATAAATGATTGATTTTTTGGCGAATATGTCGAATTGTTTCTACTTGTTGATGTTTTTGGAGCAATCTTCGAAATTGATGATAACAGTGGTAGCTGTATGAATGTCGCTGCTGTCTTTGGCTTCAAAGTTAAACGACGAAGAATGTAAATAAATGGTGAGAATAATGCCTTCTGGCTACGTATAGGGATTCTCTTTGACGTGGCCTTTTTTGTTGTAAAAAGTTGTTGCACTTGTCGTGTAGGATTTGTGATTAAATATCTAACTGATGATAACAATAAATTAGCTGACACCGGTTGTTGTTTCGTTTTAAACATTGTTCAATTGGTTGGACCAAGTTTGCGAAATAGATTTGTGACTACGATGTATATAATCATAATATAATAATCAATAATAATCAATTGGGATAAACATTAGAAAATATTATTATTATCACCTGATATTCGAATGATAAAAAAACAATTGCCAACGACACCATCTAGCGATTATAAGTAACAGATGCGAAATTTGAATTTTTTTAATAACGCCAATTTTTTATTATTAATTTATTAAAGAATCAAATATATTTCAAAGAATTCAATTCAAAATCAGTTTATTTTGTAAAAGAAAAATTTAATTTGTGAACAGTATTTCTTGTTCGGCCGTATTCGTTTTTGGTTGTTGTTGATTGTCTATAATTAATGGAATAATATGAACAATTAAAATTCTTGTAAAAAGATAATAAAACATTTACATTCATTGATAGAGATGATTAATTTCAATAAAATTTATTATAAACGATGAGTTAATTCTTATTTTAGTTAAATTTGGACTAGTTCTTGAATAATAAAAATTACTATTGTGGATTGAATTTTCAGGAAATAAAATTAATTTTTTTGTTTGTTGATTTTAAAGATTTTGAAAAAAAATTCTATTAAGAGAAAATAACAATCATTACATAGAAATATTTCTACTATTAAAAAACTCAAATACTTACAAACTTGTTCATCATCAAGATGAAGTCCTAAACCAAGATGATACATCCATGTACCCAAAATTCCGCCAATATGAGGAGCAATTAAGCCACCCACCAACCAATATAAATGACTATGCGGAGACCAAACCTCAGAACCATAACCAATCATCCAAGCAAATAGCCGGGCTGGTATATCACGTGCCGGATTCAATGCCGGACCACAATTTAAACCAAAAGCGGTGATCAAACCGGCAAGAAGAATAAACAATGCAATTGAGATTAATGGTTTGGGTGTATTGAGATTTCGATGATCAACAATACATAAGATGCCCAACATTAACAAACCACAGCACAGAATCTGATCGATAACTGCACCGGAAAGTGTAAGATGATGGCCAGGATGTGAAGTGAGAATACCAGCAGTCGAAGTAGCATTAAAGAATGCTGAACGTACACCACCATCAAACACGGTTATAGCCGAATAATGATTCATATAGGCTGGGTGAATAAATAATCAAATCAGATATTGTGATTGTAAATTAAAATGTGATCATACCGACTGCCGTTGCCAAAAATCCACCAATATATTGGCCAAGAAAATAATGAAAAATTTTCCAAAAAGGAAGATGTCCCAATGCTACCAAACTGAGCGTAACGACGGGATTCACATGAGCACCGGATAATCGAGCACAACCATAGTAGCAAAGCATCAATGCCATGCCAGTGGCAAAACCGATGGCAAGCTAAGGAAAATTGTTCCCTTGTCTCATCAGTTTTATTCGAAAGTATTTTATTGCTAAATACTCACCAAATCAATCTTGTGTGGTTTGCTCAAGATTTGCACGGCAATTGAACAATCACAGACCAACTAAATTAAAAATTAAAAATTTTGTTTGGTTGTCGTATTTTAACAGTTCTATTGCTGCTCTTACCACAAGAATAAATGTGCCAACCATTTCGGAAAGAAATTCACGAATCGTTTGATTCTGAATCCTATATGAATGAAGAATGACACGGTCTTGAGCCATTTTTTAAGCGAAAATCCTTTTGAGAAAATATATGAGGACAAATTTTAAAAAAAAAATATTTAAAGTCTGTTCTACACGACAAAGAAATTAGAACTAAATTTGACATTTGGACAATTCGCGTAGATAACCACACCATCATCTTCGTGGTTATGATTTCCATTTTTTTTTGCTTTTTTCGTGCATTGGCATATCCATTACACTTTTTTGTCTACAATTTCAGATATACGATCGATTGATCATTGCTGTTGTTTGATGTTGGTGTTTGTTTGCTTTTTGAATGTCATCGGTTTGTTGATTTCATTTGATTTTGTTTGCCGTTAATTTACAAGGAATTGAAGAGAAAAAAATTTTCAAAATCACCATTTTCACCAATACATTGATCAGTGACATTCATGAATTATCAATATTTATTTCGAAGAAAAAAAAATTTTGCTTTATAAATAATAAAATCATATGAGAACAAAAACACCATAATCAAAGTGGTTTTCTCGTAATTCGATATCATCATTGATGGCGATTGTTTCGAATTAATCGAGCTATTTCTTGTTTTTTATCCATTTTTAATGGCCATGAGGATGATAATCAGAATTCTCAAATTTATACTTATCGTGAAGAAATTTGAATCTCAATGGAGCCATCCGCATATGCATGCATATGATGCATCACATGAACAATCAATGATGGCCACCTGAATTTACTTACCGTTATTTTTTTGTTGTTATTGTTTATTGACTGGTTGTACACTAAGCACCCACTTGTTGTAATGAATATAATCGACTTGCTTGAATAGGAATAATGATAGTTATTATTACTAGCTTAAGGATGAAACAAAAGGTTACTTTTTTGTCTTTATTTCTTGCAATCATCCACAGATGTCAAATGTAGCTTACGTCGACCAAGATTTCCCTCTCTGGTTAGATTAGAAATGATATCAACAAAATTCAATTTTTTCGGCTTATATTACATTGACTTTTATGCCAGTATAATTTTATCGGTAGAATGATGATGATGACAAGTTGGTTTTGATCATCCAACCATTAATAAAATGAACTTTTGCATTCTTTCTTCTTGGTTAGCCTAGGCATATAAAGTCTATTCGATTTTCCTATTTATTTCTTTGTAATTTGAAAATGAAAATTTTTTTTTTATTTTTAGACTTTTTTTTATTCATCAGCTACAACTTGGTTGTTATTGGCTATGTATCCTTAATTGGCCAAGGATACCACACACGGATTGATGATGCTGGTTGTACGATAAGCGATTCTGCACACACACACATACACATACACACATAAACACAAAACCCGAAGGATTATTCCATCATCATCATCAACATTGACGTTATTATTGTTATTTCCATTGAAGCTATGGAATATTTTCTACCGTTATGTATGGTGTGTTTGTTTTATTATTAAAAAATACAAATTACCATTGTTCTCTATAGACGAACCGTGTATATCGTATCACCGGGTTATGGCATTTAAAATTATCCACCCTTTATATTTTCAATGAAATGATAAAGATAACAATTTACAAACCTATTGATCGATTGCGTGATGATGACAATTGAATATTCGATTAGATTTCCGTTTGGGTGGTGATATTTTTTCATGTTGTCTAACGAATTTCAATTAAAAATAGGTGTGTTGACTTATTCATAGGGTTTCTATTGTTACATGATGTCAAACAATAGATGTGTAATTGAAAATTGTTCAAAGGACTGGAAAAAGAATGAAACAAGAATAAAAAAATAATTATCATTAATGAGAAAAAATTTTAATCAATATTTTCATCGGAATCAAGCAGGGGAAAAACAAATTATTGCTTTCGTAATCAATGATAATTTAGTTGCCGATGACTAATGTTTTCTCGAACCTTGTGTTGATGATTGTTTCGATTTTTGTGTAGATGATGCTGATGCTGATGAAGAGGCGGAAAAGGCTGAAGAATTGTTAGAAAGTCCGGATGAAGATGATGATATTTGCTGGCTACCTTGGCTTGAAATGTTAGATGTTTTACTGTTCCCTAGTCGATATTCAGTAGAGGCTGATTGTTCGGATGAATGATATGATGATTTCGCTAAACTTTTATTGTTTGATGCTGAAGATGATGAGGATGAGCACTGTGATGATGTAGAATGTTTACTCGATACAGTTTCAACACTTGTAGAATGTTGATTGCTTTGTGAACTGGTTGAATGTTTTTGGCTTCCTGGAGCGAATGCATTAGACATTGTGGGCGATGTGGATGATGTTGTATTGCAAGATGATCCATGAGAGCTACCAGCCGAAGAGACAGCTTTTGACTTTGGCATAGTATTGTCGTTATCACCAATGAATGTTATTTCATTGAATGATCGAATATAGATTAATTGCTGTCTTTGCTCATCAGTTAATGTATTCAAACGGGCTAAATCACGACGATGTGTCATGACAAGTATAGCATTTAAACCGGCCTCTTTAGCAGCATTACATTCGGATACCGATTTTGTTAGAAATAAAACATGTTCGGGTGCTATATTGATTTTCCTACAAACAATTTTAAATGTTTCTGGATCATCCAAAGGACCAATAGTATTATCAAAATGACCATCGATCAATAGGTTAAGATCACCATGATTTGTTTTAGCCATAAATCGTTTAGTTGCCTCAATCCAGCCATTACTTAACACAAATAACTTAATATTCTGTGTAATACGCCAATGTTTAATCTGAATAGCAACATCTGAATAAACGGGTGTTTCAATCTTATCTCTATGATAACCATCAAACCACATATGTAATCGAAAAATATTGATAGCAGAATTATCACGTAATTCATCCAAACATTTCGTTACATACTGAAGAATAGTTTTTTGAATCTCACGTTTATCAGAATCAGCATCTGCCACAATTGGTCCACCATCTTCACGGGATTGTTTACGCAACAATTCAATATCACGTTGTAATACTGGATTATCCCAATTATTATGTAGATATGTTGTACAATTTAATTTAATATATGGAAATAGTATACTATCCATGAAATAAGATTTGGTTGCCGTACCGGATAAATCAAAAAATATGGCCTGTGGTTTTCGTACTTTGATGGGTCCCATCGTCGTTGTGAACAAATAAACACACACGGATAGAACAATCAGACACACTCACACAAACATACAACACAAATAACGAAATTAAAATTTTATCGTAAAATCATATTTATAAATCATGCAAAAAATTCTAAAATTGAATTCAAATTTCAAAAAATTTCTTTTTTGAACAAACCCAGACTAGAACATGAATGAACAACAATGAACTAACAAACAAAATTGAATTTGATAATCAAATTATGAACATGAACAATTAATTAAATATTCTTGGTTAATATCATGATAGATGGAATGTGACGAAAGTCTACTTGACTGATACTTCTTTCTTTTTAGATGTGGTGTTATCTTTTTTGCCTTCTTTTTCCAATTGCCGACCAAGATATTCCCAATTTTGCACCATTAATTTTTGCACGCATAGTAATGCTTCATATCGAACGTTTGCATCTTCATGTGACAAAAGATGCATGACCAATTCTTTGCCATGAAGATTTTCAATTACCCTTTAAATTTTGATTGATTCATTAATTTGAATAAAATAATTTTCTTTGGAAAAACAATTATTTTTCCTTTATTATACTTACACTTTACCTCTTGGATAGTGGCGAACATATTCACCGATATCATGTGCAGCTACAGACAAAACCATTGGTTCGTTAGATGCTTCTAATAATCGAATCAATATTTTCAATAATTCATAGTTTTTCTCGTTTAAACGGGCAGCATTTTCACGCCAAAATTTTTCAGTAGTATGTACCGGGGACCATTCCAGTCGTCCTGACCGAACTTCAGTAGAATATTCATCAAACGATGATAAATCTTGAATTGATTCTTGGAGTTTTTGATACAAGAAATCGATATCATCTTTAATATCAGGATCATCAAATTTCTGGCCAGATTGTTGAAGAATTTCTAGATGTTTAAGAACTTTACACTGGACTAATGTAATGGCATTTTCACGGGCGATTTCAGGCTCTTCGGCAGGTTTTTCGATCATATTCTGTTGGCGTTGTAAAAAACAAAAATAAAAATCAACTTTTGTGACGCAAATAGATGAATAGAATGATTAAAAATTAAAAAAAAATTGACAATAAAAAATCAGACTCATTAAATCAGTTTTTGGTGTTTGCTATCATAAAAATTTCAAGCAACTAGGAGTTATCCATCATCTTGTCAATTGAAATGGAATTTTTTTTTTTAAAATTCATCATACAAAAACTCGTATTCGTATAAAAAACGTACTCGAAATGTGGCCAATATCATTCGAATGACTTTTTCTTTGATCGATTCAGAAAGAATGTCAGCCAGCTTTGGAATTGCATTGTATCGATTCATTTTCAGTACTAAATTCTTATCGAATGTACAAATCCATACACAAAATATCAGCTGATATTGAATTTGGAAATTGCTACAATTTCCAAATGCATCGAAAATGGCTGTCAACCCATTGAGATTAACGAATGCTTCGCGGTATTCATCGATGCGTAACATCAACTGCAAACATCGGGCAATCGTTTGAATATATTCAGTGTTCTGTATAATGGAACAAAATTATTAATCAACCAAGTGAATAGAATAATAATAGTCAATATGATATTACCGCTTTAACTCGTTCGATTAGCCAATTTAAATAAAGAGTTAGATCGCCCGATTCTAGCCGATTTTTGACACTCCAACAAGCGCTTTTGCGATTAAAAGAGCAGTCTAGCAAAAAAACAGTTAAAAATTGATCAAATAAATTAATTAGTGATGATACAGACCATATTCTGAATGAATTCGTCATCTCTTAATATCAACGGAAAAAAATGTTTCCATAATGCATCTTTACGTTTCGAGCAATAAGTGTGAAAAATTTCTACACGATTTCGATCCTCCAAGAACAATTCATCAATCAAGCAAAGTATATACTGGATCGTTTCATCTTTTGAAACCGTAGACAACATTGTCAAAAATGTTTCTGCCATTTCCATTGAATGTTGCTGCACGAATTCAGCACGATTATCGGCAGTCACTTTTTCATATGTCGTGATGAATTTAAAATCACGATCGGAAATCATTTGAGAAGAATGATATGATTGCCAGGAAATACATTTTTGACGAATATCGTTGGCTTTTTGATGTAACAACGATGTGGCAGCGACAGCAACTATGTTTATGTAAAAATGGGAGTTTTTTTTATCCACCACAAATTCACAACAGTTAAATTACCTTTGATGTCGCTTTCATTGGACATGACACGTTCCAAACGTGATGATACATCGGTCATGTTTTTAAATTTATATTTTTCTTGATTCAAAATAAATTTTAGATTAAAACCTCGGTCAGATTCTAACTTTGGACTTCAGGATCGAAAAAATATGTTGAGCGAGCAGAAATAATGTCAACTCAAAAAAGAGGAAAAAGAGAGTGTGCGCGTGTTGTACATACTTTCGGTTGCCAAATTCATACATTGAAACTCAAAATTCGAAATTGTAAAAATGTAATTTTATTGGACAAGAACGAAAAAAAATCTACATCCAAATCCAAATCTTAATGGAAAGAGACGATTACAAAATTTGTATTGGACGAAACCGAAAAAACCGAATAGTAAACATTTTACATTGCAAATATTGAATGAATATGATGTATATAATCGAAATTGGCATAAATAATAAAGTCAAATTATGATTCTTATGATTTTTTTTCATCTGATAGATAAGACATTGATTCTGATTGTTTCGAATCGAATTTCCACCCGTTGTCATTATTAGTTTATTTGAGAAAAATGCTATTTTTCTTCGATTCTAACGCATTCCAACTCGAGTGACCATGATGATGATGAAATCCTGTGGTAATCCATCGCCATATCGATATCAGAAACGATTTCATTCTAGTTTTTTTCTTACATTTTTGTTCCCGCATTTCTTTTTTGATTGCGATATATTGGGATAATTTTAATGGCATCATTTTCATAACAATTTTGTTGCTAATTGCCACTCAAGTAGAAATGAAAACGGGCACGTGTTTATACATAGGAACACTCAAATGCAATTCGTGGCTAAAGTATGGTATTCATTGAAGTTTCGTTTCAATTTTATTATTACACAAGTTATAAAAAAGTACGTTTCGTTATAAAAATAAAGAAAAGAAAGAAAGAAGATAAGAAAGTTCAAATTTTATCTATGGTTTTGATTCGAAATGATTGATGAAAATAGAATTGAATCTGTTTTCGAATTTTGCTGCAAAATTCCACACGTGTTGCGATGAGTGGCTCCAGATGTTTATCGCTAGAATCGGGTAACAAAATTCGAATGCTACGATAATATCTACTGAATTGATGACATAATTGATCAATAGTGACAATTATTTTGCTAATAGAATTAAATGTCGTTTGATAACGATGAAAGATCTCTTCAATAAGAGTTTCGTTCATTGCTTGCAGACGAACCATATAAATCCACAAAATTGTCCATTCGAATTCGTTTGATAGCAGCATAAAATTTGCATCGATTTTGATGTCACGGGAAAAATTTAAGCGAAATTTTTCCACAATCGATTGGATTCTTGCTAAATTATAATGAACGAATATTGATTGATTATATTTTGATCTGAATTGTTCAAGGTTTCTCAAACTTAATGCCTTATTAGGATATGGTGAAAGTAGTGTCCACAGTTCCATTGTTTTAACGATTGAATCTAAATTCTCTAAATCCATTGTTAGCCTTTCTTTTTAAATATTGAATTTTATTACCTACCTTGAGAAACTTGTTCACTGTCAATAAAATCATTCTCTTCTAGACAATGTTTGAATTGATCATAAGAATGAATATGATTAAAATGATCAGTATTGAGAACGTTTCCTATTTTAATCACCTTCAATGTAATATTTGGTAATTTTTCACTAAATAAACGTTGGCAAGAATCAACATGATAAGATTCATTTTCAAGAGTGGTGATGATCACACAAACTTTATCAATGATTTTGTCATCAAACTTTAAACTTTCGAACAAGTAAGAATGTATCAGTTGAAAATATATGCAAGATTCACTTAAGCTGGCTTCTGATGCTTTGAGAGATGCAAGGAATTTATCAAATTCATGTGATTGAATAATTTTTGCTTGAGTAAGTGAAACGAAATTCTCGACTGCATGAACTAAAAGTTCAGATCTTCGTTGATTAAAATAATTTGTAGATTTTGGTTTTAATTTGATTAAAACAATCTGATCAAAATGTGTATCGAATGATGATAAAAACCGATTACCGATATCAAATGTGGAATCATTTAATAATCGAGAAAAAACAGTTGGACGATCAAGTTGAATATCCAATGCATTCAATGATCGAGTTATAAATGATATAGGTAAAATGAACTCTTCAGAAATTTTTCGCAATTCAATTTCTAAATTTGATAATAAAGGCCACCATGAACGAAGATGATGATTACGAAACGATAATCGAATGTCGAACGATTGTTTTGAGGATGTTCGCCACTCACATTCGATTGTGAATTGTTTAACAGGTGAATCGGTATCATTAATATGTATGGAAAATAAAGAATTTCTGAAATGGCAAGGTGAGGCTGGGACACGATGATAACGAGCGAAAAGATTAATTGACGACAAAAGTTGGTCAAGAAAAGTTTTAATTAATTGAAACATTATGGTGATGAAAAGTTAATGTAAAAGAACAGAGAAAAGTCAAATTATTCACAAATTAAAATAAAAGAACGCGAGAATCACTCTTGAATGATTGGTGGCAAATCAGTATTATGGCCTTCACGATTACGAGCAACTTCAATTGCCAAAAATTGAGCACGTGGTACAACAATTGTATTTTCTTCTTTATAATCGGAATGAGAATTTAATCGCATCAATGTGGCGAAATTAAAATCTTCAGTTTTGTCTTTCATTTTGATGCAGAATTCTCGCCATTGTTCTTTGGCTTTTCATAATAAATGCAATAACATTATGAGAGATTCAACTAAGCTTCAATATCACTTACCTTCATTCGATTTGATCATTTCTTCTGTCAGTGATTCTACTTTCAAATCTGGGAATTGTTTTCGAAACTCTTCATAAATATAGTCATCATTCTGTGTCAATCGAATTAAATCGGAAGTTTTTATTGAAGTAATCAATTTGTAATAGGCTTCCATGTGGCGAATAGCTGTCGACATCCAAGCAATTTCAATAGTAGGATCATTGCCAAATTCTTCTGCAGGTCTACAAAGAATCTCTCCAATCGAAAGTTCTGGTTTGTCTGATTCTGAGTTTTGTTGAGATGATTCTCCAGGCATTTCATTCACTTGTGCCTGGCTTTTGTCCTGGGAGCTATTGGATTGAGACATTTTCAACGATGATGAACGACGAGATCAATTGAAATCTAACTAATTACAAAAAACCTAAACACGTGTAAAAATCACAAAAATTTACACAGTGCACAGTTTATACAATTCAAGTAATTTATTTATTTATGATATTATTATATTAATTTCAAAATACTGAATTCTAATAACAAATGTTAGACAAAATAAAAACCTATATATATCACTTAGATTTGACAACGACAATTGAATCAGTCGAATCACTATCCGAAACATCATTGTCACTATTTGAGATTGGTGATTCTATTCGTGCCAGATATGTGTCGAGCTTTTGGGCTGAAGCTAACAACAAACCCAGATATGGAATTGATGGTTTTAATGGCCGGGAAGTGTATTCCGGATGAAATTGTACGCCCACAAAATAGGGATGATCACGTAGTTCCATGATTTCCATACGTAGCATGGTTGTGTCTTTTCCTACGAATCGCATTCCAGCTTTTTCCAATCGATCAAGCATATCGATATTTACTTCATATCGATGACGATGTCGTTCGTACACACGATCATTCTTCGGATTATAAAGCCGATAAAGAATAGAATCCTTATGGACAAAGATTGTTTCTCGTCGACCAACGCGCATTGTACCACCAAGATTTCCACCGTTATGTTCAGGCATTTCGACAACCACTTTTTCTTTGGCATCCGGATTCTGTTCTTGTGATTCAGCATTTGTCATTCCAAGTACGTTACGGCAAAATTCAATAACAGCACATTGAAATCCAAGGCAAATTCCTAAAAATGGCTGTTTTTTCTGCCTTGCATGTTCGATGGCAAGAATTTTTCCCTCGATACCACGACCACCAAAGCCTCCAGGAACAAGTAATCCATCGGCTTTGCAAAGTTGTTGCCATGCTTCATAATATTCTGATGGGTTATGTTGCTTTGTAGTTTCTTCCAATGATGATCCTTCGATATAAAAGATTTGTAACTTTCGATTAATGGTCAATGATGCATGATTTAAAGCTTTAATCACAGAAGCATATGAGTCTTCCAACTTGGTATATTTGCCCACCAATGCTATTGATATCGTTTTCAAAAGACGATCATGACGTTCGGCAAGGCGTCGCCATTTATGCAAAAATTTTCTTGAAGGATCAGGCTCAATAGATAAATTGAATTTTTTGGAAAAATATTCAATCAAACCCTGTTGATCCAGTACTAAAGGCACACGGTAAATCGATGCTTGATCACAGAGACAAATAACTTGATCTGGATCTACATGGCAATAGTTGGAGATTTTCTCTTTTATAGATTGATCAATGGGTTCTTCACTTCGCGCAACAATCTAGATCAAAAATAGGGATTAGCTCATGGAATGAAAAAAATAGTTTCACTTACGAGATCTGGAGACAAACCAAGAGCACGAAGTTCTTTGACTGACACTTGTGTCGGTTTAGTTTTGTGTTCCCCGGTTGATTTAGGTTTTGGTAATAAACTTACGTGCACACAGCAAAAATTTTCCGGACCTTTTTTCCTAGCGAATTGTCGAAACGATTCTACAAATGGCATTCCTTCAATATCGCCAATAGTACCACCCAATTCAATAACACATATATCGGGCACTTGTCCGGATGACTCATCGGACAGATTATTTGAACCATCATCACAAACAGCCAATGGCTCAGTAACTGGTAATTGCGCAACACGTTCAACCCATTCTTGAATTTCATTGGTAATATGTGGAATGATTTGTACCGTTTTTCCCAGATAATCACCAAGACGTTCTTTTTCAATTACTTTTTGATAAATTTTTCCAGTCGTTATATTGTTATCACGATGTAGTTTTATGTCTAAAAATCGTTCATAATTGCCAAGATCGAGATCGACTTCTCCACCGTCGTCTAATACAAAAACTTCGCCATGTTCGTACGGCGAAAACAGTGATGCATCAATGGATTGCACCTCGAAAATACCCACTTGCATTTAAATGAACAAAAATTTGATATATAATCAGGATGGCCCACCAGTGACGGTAATTAATTCTGATATCAATGTACAAATTGAGATTGCAACCAGCCCATGATCGCGTGTTCATCGATATCAAATTGTGATAGCGTCAGATTCAGTTCGGCATGAAGCAACGGAATTAGAAATTGGTGATTTGCTCCGAATTCGGACAGTAATGCGCGGAATCGTCAAATTTGGAGACCGACGTCAATGAAACGGCCCCGGGCCTGAGACCCTGTGGAGTTTTGAGTAAACGACTAAACGATTTGACTATCGATAGTGTCGTTCATCACGACTTGCGGCAAGCATAATTTTGACCCCACTTTTATTCCCTTTTACCCCCATATGATGAATTTAATCCATATATATTGAAATTAATCGATTTTATTGAAATATTACTTTAATAAAAATTGGCAAATAATAAAATACATCCATATTTCACATCCCAATTGCGCCATACAAACGTTAATTGTCCTGTTTGAATATCCGCAATTCCCTGTCCAACTGCCGTTCCAAGACAATGTTCAAATTTTATCCGTGGTTCGAGAATCAATTTCCAAATTGTTCGTTGGCGAATCCAAGTGAAGATAACACGACAGCTTGTTTGTTCACCAATTGAATCTATTCATTTTGCTTACCATGATCATTTGAAAGAGGTCCAATTATTCGATGTCCATGTTTCAAGACAATGTCCAAATTCTCATCCATGGTTCGAAATTCAATTTCCAAATTGTTCGCCGCATGATCCTAAGTGAAGATAAATATTAGCTGCTTGTTCACTAATCTATTCCATTTGCTTACCATGATCATTTTCAAGTGTGTTCCATCCACATGAATCTTCGACTTATAATCATGTTGATCGCTTCCATTGATTCCAATTCGATTCGAATCAGCATCAAATCACAATAGGAATAGCTCAGATCATGTTCCTAAGCCTGACCCAACCTTAACTTCTAACTGTTATCAGCGTTTGAATATGGCCAAACTATTCTTTGAATTGAATGCTGATGGGGTCAATGGAACCGGTTCGAACATCATTCCTGAACATAATCTACCGGGAATCGAATTTCAACACCGATGATTGTAAATTTCAGGAACAAAACCCAACAAAAAGATAGACCAATCTTTATTAGATATGAAGAATGAATATGTCGACTTACCGAATAAGTTGCTCCAACAATTCAATTCAATGCAGGCCTTTGAGAAATTTAAGTGTTAGAATCATTGATAGCGAAATTAGAAAGTTACCTGATGATGACCAGATATCCACCAATAAATTTGTAATGTTCGGCATCATTACCATGATCGTTTTTATAAAGACGGCACCAATTTTATGTCTAATGATGATCATTGATCATCAATGAAAATTTTATGCTTCAAAAGACAAGGAAAATTGTTAGCATTTTTCTAATGCCTAACGGCAAATGTAAATTTACCTCATTGACCATGTTTTCTATATTAATCCGAATCCAAATTATTATATCACTGGTATAATGGACTCTGAAAAAGAAAACTTGAAAGGATTTGATTGAATTACAATTGATTTGAAAAACAAAATGTCATAAACAACATTTGAAAGTCATCGAAATACCGATTTGTTCGCCAACTTGAATCATGATTACATGATGACCAAACCAAAACGATCTTTTGATATATGGATCAATCTTAATAGCCGTCACAATAAACCCCATACTTTTTAACAATGTTCCAATTGAACTGGATACGACACCTTTGCCAATACCAGAGATAACTCCTCCAGTGACCAGAATATACTTCATTATTTCGATGATTCTGGGATACGTTTGATAAACAAAAAAATTGAAATATAAACCTATGCGTTAATGCAGTAATTTGATAAATGCGAGATTTACAGCAGCTTAAATTCGGCGCCAATACCATATGTGTTGTTAGGAATAACAATGATCGTTTATTCAGACAGCGTGATCAATTCATACAGCGCACTAAGAAAAAATTGAGAAGTTTAACCTCCAAAATACATTCCATTTCATTTTCATAAATGATGTACACTATCATTTGTTAAACTTCGCACTTTATTTCGATCGATCTGTGAAATCACGCGCGGTTTCTTTTTACGTAGACCAACTAATTCATAAACCACGTATCGGATCACATGATTTTAAGTGCATTATGTGTTTATGATGATGATGATATTCGCTGATTTAGTTTCAAAAATTATCAATTCGGAAACGATAAAGAAATAATGTCTGTTGTAATCGAAACGACAATCGGCGATATAACAGTCGATCTATATATCGAACAACGTCCTATGACATCCAAAAATTTTCTCAAACTTTGCCAAATGAAATATTATAACAATTGTGCATTCCATTTTGTTCAACGTGATTTTATCGCACAAACAGGAGATCCATCCGGTACCGGTACTGGTGGCCAATCTGTTTATTCATTAGTTAGTGGTTCGGACCAACAATCACGATTTATAGAAGCGGAAAAGAAACCAAAACTGAAACATGATCGTCTTGGCCTCATATCCATGGTGAATAACGGTGAAAATTTACATGGATCACAATTTTTTTTCACACTTTGCGACTCATTGAATTATCTGGATAATGTTCATACTGTTTTCGGCGAAATTACCGAAGGTAATGATGTGCTAGTAAAATTGAATGATACAATCTGTGATGATAATCATCGACCTTATCAGGATATAATGATCACTCATACAGTAATTCTTGATGACCCTTTTCCTGATATTGCTGGTTTAAACATACCATCAGAATCACCGAGAACTAACCTTGAAGAATTGATTAATTCTGATCGAATCGGAATCTGTGAAGAGGTAGTGGAAGATGGTAAAACTACAGAAGAAGTTGAAGAAGAATTAAGAGATAAAGAAGCAAAACAACGTGCTCTGGTTTTGGAAATGATCGGTGATATACCAGATGCAGATATTAAACCACCGGAAAATGTTCTTTTTGTTTGTAAATTAAATCCAGTTACCAGGGAAGAAGATCTTGAAATTATATTTTCAAGATTCGGAAAAATTCTAAGCTGTGAAATAATCAAAGATCAGAAAACGGATGAATCGCTGCAGTACGGATTTATTGAATTTGACCGTAAAGAAGATTGTGAAAAAGCTTATTTCAAAATGGACAATGTTCTGATTGATGACCGTCGAATTCATGTCGATTTTAGTCAATCTGTTTCCAAAATAAAATGGTTAGTAAAAGTCTGATATAAATAAAAAAAAAAAATTTGATTTGTTTTTTACAGGCGAGGGAAAGGTCGTGGTGTCACTTTTATAGATGATGAGGAGAACCATTGTCAAAGTCGAAATCAAGCCAAGTCGTTGCAGTATGTACATTCATTGACATCAAAAATGATAAAAGAAGCCATCAAAATTATCAATCGCGTTATAAGGAGCCGATAAACGATAAACGAAATCAAAGGGATCATCGAGAAGATTCAAGAAAACGAAGACGAGATGATCATCATAGAGATTCTATGAGAGATAGTAAAAACGTCCGGAAACATTCATCTGGTCAACATCGATACTATCGCGATTATGATGATGATGATGATTATCGTAAACGTTGCCATCATCATCGATCATAGAATAATTTTTTTTTATAATATAAATTGAGTCTAAATTAAACTTGTATATATGGAGATTTTTTATGATCATGAAATTCCTAAATGAGTGGTGAGATTCATTACAGATAATACAAAATCATTTTCTTAGATGAGAGGGCAAAATGTAAAATAAACTAAACTTTTATATTATTCTTGTTTTCTTCCCCTTCCATAAAATCGAAATTCATTGTGTTTGAGGAATTTGGATCATTATCATTTTATATAATATATGATATGATGATGTTGGACATGTCTAACAATGTGAACAATTGACATTCCAATGTGGATTTTCATCTATTTTTTTCAATAAAAAATTATTAATAATGAATAAAGTTAAGTGATTATTATTATTAAAAATATTTTTCTCCCTCTCGATGACTAAGAAATCTTGTGGAATTTCATTTATACCTTGTTTATAATAGATGGCGAAAATGAAAACTGTCGTCTTGAATGATGATGATGATGATGACGATGGTGAAGAGAAAAAATTCTTGATCATTGTGTCGACGACTATCAAAGTGATCGAATCAATTTTTAATGTTGTCAGTATAGTGTTTTTGGGATCGAATGTTTTTCATCGAGTTAGTGACAATAGCAATAACATTATCAACAAATACCATTAAAGCAACAGATGAATGCCGATGATAGTTTCAGTAGTTCTTCCGATGAATCGTCTTTAATTGTCACCACACCTTCACCACAACAGCCACCAATTTTTGTACAGCCATCAACTAAAAAACTTAACAAACTTAATTCAGGTATAAATCCAACTTGTAATCATCGGTTGGCTTCATCGTCTAAAGACGATGATAATAGTGACGAAGAAGACGATTTATTTCCATTAATTGATCCAAATCAAGAACAACAAACATTTCGACTATTATTGACGAATAAAAAACGTGATCGTGAAGAATTTTGGCTTGTTTGTAAAGCATATTTTTCAATCGCATTCCTCATGACTGCATTGGTTTCATTATTTTTTTTATTCTTTAATCATTTAATTTTAAATTCCAATGGTTCGACCTCAACTACCCATCATTATAGATCACTAGATAATGATGAAGATTTAGCAAAATCAAATTCATCGACATCAACTTATCAGATCAATCTAGATATCGACGATCATTATCATCTATTCTGGTCGCCTGATTATTCGGACGAAACAATTTTATTTGAATTGAAACTCAAACTACAAACTAATTATGATTGGTTTGCTTTTGGCTTTTCCGATCATGGATCCATTGTTGATGCTGATCTATGTTTGATCTGGTCCGATAAACGTCGAAAATTACATCTGGAGGTTGATTTTTTGATAATTAAGTTGTTTGATTAAATTAAATAAGTTGAAATTTTTTCATTAGGATGCAAAAACTGATAATGATACAATGGTTATCATCGAACATCGTCGCGGTCATCTATCAAATGATTGTCACTTCATCAAATCCAAACATGATTGGAAACAAAAAATTCTTTATGTGGCATTTCGAAGATATTTCGATACATGTGATCCAGAAGATTATCGAGTCGATGTAAGTTTTAAAATTTGTTTATTATAGATTCATCTTCTTGGTATCTCAATTTTTATCATACAGAATGGAACAACTCATATCGTCTATGCTACTGGTCGTGGTCCATTAATTCGGCCAGAAGGATTACATTTAATTGATCATCAACATGGATTTCAACGAGCTCAGCTATTAAAACCACCTCTTTCACATTCGATAACGAAAACAGATGTTGCTGATGAACAAGTTCAAACTTTGGATTTCCTAGTCGATAATGTTACTATTCCAAATGTTGAGACGACATATTGGTGTACGTTGGTCAATTTACCCGAAACATTCAAGCAACGACTTCATATTGTTCAATATGAAGCCGTCATAAATGAACAGAATAGAGATATTGTACATCACATGGAATTATTTCATTGTGAAGTTGATACCGAAAATGAACTTCCACCATGGAATGGTCTATGTCACGATTCAAACATGCCGAAATCATTGGAACAATGTAAAAGAGTTACGGCTGCATGGGCTTATGGTGCTGATGTGAGTATTGATTTAAAATGATAAATCAAATGAAAAATACGAACCTGTTTTATTTCAATTTAATTAGCCAATGATTTATCCAGAAAATGTTGGACTACCAGTTGGTGGTGAAAATTATTCGCTTTACGTGATGATTGAAGTACATTACAATAATCCGGAAATGAAAGCCGGATATGTAGACAATTCGGGAATACGAATCCATTATACTAAACGTTTGAGGCCAATCGAATCAGGTATATTGGAGATTGGTCTGGAATACACTGAGAAGAATTCCATTCCACCGAACACTCTGATGGATTTACGAGGATATTGTGTATCGGAATGCACCAGAGTCGGTTTACCACCAAACGGTATCACAATCTTTGCATCACAATTACATACTCATTTGACAGGTGTTAGCACGTGGACTGAACACGTTCGTGGTGGTATCCAGCTGCCCGATCTAAATCGTGACAACCACTATAGTCCACATTTTCAAGAGATACGAAAACTTCCCAATGGTGGTATACACGTTTTTCCGGGTGATGCATTGATAAATGTTTGTCGTTATGATACAAGAAAACGTACCCGTATGACATTGGGTGGTTTCAGTATTAATGATGAAATGTGTGTCAATTATTTGCACTATTATCCTCTTAGCGATTTGGAAGTTTGTAAAAGTTCAATTGATACAGATCACCTACTGGAATATTTTGAAACGATGCGATTATATGAGAATCAAAATACATCTAGCCATTATTCCGTTGCGGATAATTTTTATAATATTCATTGGACACCTTATCGTATCCAAAAATTGAATCAACTTTACCAGACGGCACCACTATCGGTGCAATGTAATCAATCATCAGGACAAAGATTTCCGGTAGGTAATTGAGTAAAATTTGAGATAAAAAAATAATAGGATGTCTTTACTTTAAAGGAAAATGGTATCCCACTTACACACAAACACAGTAAAATAAACGGGAAAAAAATCTTGAAGCTATTTTCAAAGAGGTTCCGGAAACATATTTCCGCCATTAAAAAGAATGAATGAATGAGATTATAATAATAATAATCAAAAGTATCATAGAAATACATGGTCATAATAATAATAATAATAATAATTGGACCTTTGAGTTTCCAAAGATTTTTTTTTTTTTTGAAACAAGATGCCAGAAAAAAAGTTGCCTTTGCCCGAATTCAATTCGAACAAAAAAAAATCCTAGATCCAATTTACAACCAAAAAAATTCGATGAAGAAGGGTAATAAACTTGAATCCGGTATTCGGTCATTGCATCATTGTAGTAACTCATAGGAAAACTGCAAAACACATTTCATTCTTTATATTTCCAACATAGATCTGTTTGATGAATTGAGACAGTTTTATTACACACTTGGATAGAACCACTTGGATAGAATCGTTCAAATATTTTTTTTCCTCAGCCATTCGACACGAACAAGATACAATTGTTGTTGTTATTATTATTATTAGTATTTGAATGATAGTATCAAAAGGGTTAGACTATTATTATTATTATTATCATAAGGATCCTAGAAACCCGATTGAATTAATTTCAACGATGAACACAGAAACTGACAAGTTTAGTTAGTTAGTGTGTGTGTGTGTCTAATCATCATATAATTTAATTCTTTGTTTCTTTCCCATATATTATTAGTTGTTAAGGACTACAACATCCGACATAACTCAAATAAACTATTGTTAGAATCTAACTCATTCAATTCACATCCGTACTAATCAATTGATTTTGTCATTTTGTTTCAATTTTTATTTTCGTCATTGGAACTTCGATTTTCGTTGCGCCTGATGATTGTAAATAATGTTATGGGTCGTGAACCAAAAAAAAAAGGGTTATTGGAATGGAATCCCATTCACCACGGTGATAAAGAAACCAATTGATCAAGCAGAGAATGCGTCCAATAATCGTTGTCGATGGGTATTGAAAAAATTCCAACCCATCAATAGCAATGATGAGAATGATTTTGATGACGATGATAGCATTGGATTCATGGACAATGATGAAGATAACGAATATGATGATGATGATGATGATGATGATGATGCCATGAACATTAAATGGTATCGTCGAAGACAACATCTAAGTAAACGGCAACGTAATTGGAAACAACGGCCATCAAAATTGAAACGATCAGATTTCAATGGTCATTCCCAAATGATTTCATGATGATGGTTATAATTCAAATGAAATCCAAAATTAACTTCAACATATTGAATCTATGATGTTATCAATAATAACAATAACATTTAATCATATCGATTACATGGAATGTAATATGCCGATATATTATGTATTGTTTCAAATTTTATTCTTACATTCTATATGATCCGGTCTATTGATCTATTAATTAATTATTATCAATTAGACAGGACAGAAAGTTTTCATTTTGTTCACACTATAGTTACGATTATTACCATCATGTTTGTTGTTGTAGTGAATAGTTAATGATGATAATCAATTTTGATTAAAATTTAAAAGATAATTTGATTGATTTGATTTTCTCATGTATTAAAAATACATATCCAAGAATTTTCATTGAAATGCCATTCTCATTCATTATCCTGGAACATAAGATCCTTACAACAAACAACGGTTAAAAATTCTTCATATCAGATGGATCGATAGGCTTTATTCGTAAGCTAGCATCAGTGATGTGATGAAAAAAAAACTCAATTATTCTTTAGATCATTATAATAACTTGATGTTTTATGGACGCGTGTAAATTCGTGCATTGAAAAAAAATATTACAATCAATTCATATCGATAATTGACACGTCGTCGTATCGACATTGATCAAATCTATTCACATCATTCATACGTGCATAATTATTCCAATTTTTTTTTTTTTATTGAAAAACACACGCACTGAAAAGTTGAATTTAATTTGAATTTAAATTTTTTTTTTTGGATTTTTTTTCTGGTTATTATTTTTTTCTTTTTTTCACATCGATCATATCATCGAACATAAAATTGTATACATGACTTTTTTTTCTGGTTAGTGACAAAAAAAATTTCTAACGAGAAAAAAAATCTCCGGGTAATTGTACCGGATTCCGTTTTTCCCGTTATCAATTCTTTGTATGTATTGTGATGTCATTATACGAAAAGCTTTTTCTTTTTTTTCCAATTGCTCTTCAGCCTCGGTTTTTTCGCCGATCATCATATTCCAATTAATAAACTTATTATTATCATTATTGTTCAATTTTTTTTTTCTTGTTGGCGTCGGTATTATATTTGGCCAATCATTATACGATGATGATATAACGGCATTTAACATATCAATCGAACATCATAAATTCAATCGATGTTCGTTTAATGTGATGCTTGCAAGGATACTAAAAAAAAAAATACTTCGCATAAATCTTTCAAGTACAGAAGATTGGTTCAATATTTGATAAAGTTTTTGTCTATCTTTCCAAGTTGATATATCGACTTGGTGACCAAAATGATAACAATGGATCTTATGGCTGATCACTCATAGTTTTTGGAATAGTTCAATGACGAGTTGAATTTATAATGAGACCAATATCATGTCTATTGTATATGGTATTTGAATTGTCTGTCCAAGTATACATAATTCTTCGTACTAATAATAAGAATTTTATTATTATTCTCATTCTTATGGTTCCACAATCGATCTTACTATCTATACAGCCATCCATTTAGCTTCATTTTTTTTATCTATTGAGTAATAGATTATATTTTTGTACCGTATCATAACGTGCACTTTTTTCAACAACAACGTTTTTTACGTTAGAGTCGGTTGGTCTTTTTTTCTTTTTGCTTTCGTTTTTATTTTTTTTTTCTTCTTAGCTCTCCAACGAATTGTAAATTTGAGATATTATACCGGCACATAGAGATCATTAGTTTATTTTTCATTTTTCTTTTCATCACTTGTTTATGGATAGATAGTTAATACATGCATACACATTCACAAAATGACATGATATGCGAGAGTTTTCGTTTTTCAATGAGAAAAAATGAACTGAATTATTATGCGAATAAATGTTAGGAATTTGGAAATATTTTGACTATATGCTGATGCTATCCCCTTTATAAGGATGATGACATTTAATAAAATTGATGTCATCATGTTAAGAGGATGATGATGATGATAATAGCAAGATTCTTGGCGATTTTCTCACTTTCGACTCTTTTTGTTTGGTTTTTTTTCTGTTTGTCATCGTCACTTACACCCTCAATGAATCGGGAATCACTTTTTTTCTGGTTCTGGTTATAGTCGTCAATAATAGACGAAAGTTCCTTCTCAATTGTTCACTGGACAATACATAAGATAAGAAACGAAAATAAAAGTAATGTATTGATATGACAGATCGTTTTCTAATGATGCTTTCATCTTCGTGGCCCTCCTATATTCTTATATGCTCAAACCCTGAACAATTGATAATGCCATTATCATCATCATGGTCCAGACATAATATAGCATTATAAATCAGATTTTTAAGTACAAACTAATATTGGTTTATCAAGTAAAAATGTCCATATAATTTTTTTTCTCATGAAATATGTTAGTTAGCATCACGATGGCGACAAGTCACATACACACATACAATGAACGACTTATTGAATCTTTCTCCCTCTCTCTTTCTCGATTTTCTTCACTAACACACACTCATATTAATATATAATAAAATACAATACAATACCAGAATGCCTATTTTGTTGATTGAATCCAAAAAAAAAAAAAAATTCTACCACACACATACACATACACATACATATCACATAGACATATATCTATACAGCACATATTAATAAATTAAAATTCGATCTTGATATCCGTAGTGTAATAGACAGTGGCGACAACAACGTCGACGTTTCAAAAGTCAATGGAATTTATTTATATAAAAAAAACTTCCTTCTCTTCCCTTCCCCAATTTTAGCGTATCGGAAAAATTTCTCGGCATTAAATTCAAAGATAGGAAGAGAGAGAGAAAAAAAGATAATGAAATTTGGTTCGATTGTGGCTATGACTTGGTATTTTTACTTATTTTACACTTTACATCCAAGATAAAAGAATCGCATGGTTTGTGTATGTGTGTGTATGAATACGATGTATGGACTCTATTGTCTGTCCTCTTCGAATAAGGTTCATTTCTATTTTTTTTTCACTGCAACCCAACCATATCTTTCTTGAATACATTTAGATTATGGAATTTTAATCATATCATTCACAATTTTTTTTTGTCATTCACCAAAGAGCCATACATTCAATCATGAAGAGACTTTGGATTTTGATGCCATTCTTTTTTTTTTTTGTTTTGTTTGTATTGCCAGTTATTTTTCATATATTGGCAGCTCAACACTCTAGAATCCATAAATTTAATGACCAAAAAAAAAGAAGCAGAAAAAAAAATTTTTTACCCCACGATTCAATATGATGTCATCGTGTCGATTGCTTATGCTACTTCTGCTGCTACTGTTGGATGATGATTATTCCCATTTTTTCAAGCATTTTTTCCTCGTTGATTTCAACATAATCGATAACAATGTGATGAGAGACAATGCTCAAGAGATCAATCGCTCTTCTTCTAATAATCTTCATTACAGTCGAACTTTGACTCTTTTTTCATTGTCATTCCAAGTCATCTCATTTCATTTAACTATTATTTTTTCTATAATCTGTGATATAATAATAATTCAATTAAGATCCAATTATTCAGTCTATTGGATAAATTTACGTTTTTTGTGATCATCATTGTAATGACAAACATGATGATGATTATGATGTTTGTTGATTGATCATTCCATATAACATCAAAGCCTTATGGGGATTTACAATACGGAAAAAAAATCTTAGGTATAATGAATGAATACATAGAATTCGAAAAAAACCTTATGGTAATAATTAATTTAGTTTCTCAATTTTTTTTTTTACTTTTTCTCCCTTTTATGCTAATTAATACCATCCAACAAAAAAAAAATTTCGCTTCTTGCTGACTGCTTTGTGGAATCAATGAAAATAATCTTCTTCTTTTTAGAATCGTTAGAAATATTATTATTTATCAATTTATGAATAGAATCTTTCAAGCATTGAACAAACGATCAGAGATTATGGCCATCCATTGTATTTAAATAACTATTTGATTGAAAATAATATTTGTGAACGCGTGCAATTTCATTTCATTATTATGTTGTTTGAATATTAAAAAAAAATCCTATCATGGTATCAATTTTCGTTTATAATAGAACATTTATATAACCGGAAAAAAACACACACACACACATACACATACACGGATATAAAATGATAGAAACTTTTTTTTATTATTATGATTATCTTCGTTATTATATATTATATAGTTATTTGCATTAAATTGATATGCTATAAATAAAAAAAAAAAGGCAAAATTCATTTAAACGAATGACATGCTATATTTTATTTTATATATTATGTAAATGGAGAAAAAGTTATCAAGTATTATTTTCACATATAAATAAAATTTTGTTACCAATAATGATAATAGATCCATCGATGCAATAATTAATCCAAATCATTGATGTCCACACACAGTTCTTGCACAAATGTTTTTTTCATTTTCTTGCTTTTCATTGATTGGGTAGATGGATGGAAGTTAGTGGTTGTGATTGATTGATTGATTGATTGAAAGGAAAAGGCTTTTTTAGTTATTAAATTGCTGTGAGCATTATGTGCTTGTTCGATATGTATGTATCAGTGTGTATTGCTGCTTTGTTGTTGATTGTCATTCCTATTTTATATAATTAAAGGATTTATATTTAACTTATCGGTAACAATAAGTTTAAATGGAATGTAGTGATGATTGTTATTGATTAGTAATAGATTCAAGAACAACAAGCAAGCCACACAATTCCAATACAACCACAACTTGCACAGCATGGCCCAAAAACAGCAACAAATTAGAATTTTTTTTTTTTTTTTTTTTTGATTAAATGCGAGAAACAAGAAACAAGAATTGCGTTTGGACAATCAATGTTTAGATTTTTTTCCCATCGTTGTTTAGAATCCAAAATGAAAACCTATAGAAAATTTGGATGGAATAAAAAAAAAAAAAAAACCTGTAGAAGAGAAAAGATAGAAAAAAATAACTGGATTAGAATTCTAGTATTCATATCGATTGTCTATGTTGATTTTGTTGAAACAATATTGTTTCTTTCAACATATTGACGATAATGATAATGATGATTGAATTTTATATGTGTAGAATAAGTGATAAAGATTAGGCACAAAATTCGAATAGCAAAAAATAAATAAATAAATAAATCCTAACAGTAAATTTTATTGATTATCATTAGTTATATATTAATAGTAATAATATGATGATCATCATCATCATCATCATTTACAAACATTTGACCATCGCTAATCGATCATCGTTGTTCAGAATTATAGTGTTCGTGTGGGTTTGTAGTATTCTTAGCTTCTTATAGAGATTTATTATATAATATTAAATCATAAGCATCTGTATATATGGTTAAGCTTACACAAAAACATTGAATCCATTATCAATATTATAAATCTGATCGTTATATATTTAGTTTTTTTTTGTATACTTAATAACTTGGATACACACATTTAGAAGCTTTTTACATATTTTTTTTTCTTTGAAAAAAATGTCGATTCCATTCAAATATATATTTTTGATTGAAAATAATTTTTGAGTATATAAAGATATATATAGAACTCATCTCTACATCATTATCATGATGTTAAAAAGGAATGAAAGAAAACAAAAATTTTGAATTAAATTAGTTCATGTGACGAATAAATTCATATGGATTTTCATTTTTTTTTTCTTCACTACTTGTTTCTATGTCAAGCATTGAAAATATATGTGCGCTGTTGATAGTGGTATAAAAAGTTTCAAATTATTGGAATGCACGTATATGATATTTTTTTTTTAAATTCTTTATTCTAACGTTTCCGTCTTTATTCGAATATGTTTGACTTGTTTAATTTGAAGTTCAATTAGTTCAATCAGGTTTCTTTCTTCGTCGTTATCATCAACATCATTATCGTTGATTACAAGAAAAATCAAAGATTTGATTTATCAGCCAATGTTGACAAACTTTCAGTCAATAATTTTCAAATGAATCCATCGTGTATGGATAAATTCAAAGTGAAACTTTTTTCTTTATATGTTTGTCGTTGAATCATTTCTGGAATTTTATTTTATTTTTTTTAGAAAACTAAAATTTTTCTTAGATTCTAACGATTACAATTTTTTTCTCTAATGATATTTTCATTTTCATTTTCATTACGAGAATTGGCAATACAACTATAGTATTAATTTTTGAATTTTTCTCTATCTTACTACATTTGTTGTTCGACAACACTTTCGATGATGCTCAGAACAATAATCGTGATCATAATTTAATAATCAGCAACAGTAAAAAAAAATGTTGAATTAACCGGTCAAAGTTCGTCGACACAGACACAGGTCACAATAATTTCTATCTTTGTATGTCTCTGGAGAGTTTTTTTTTATTGAAAAAATTATTGTTCAAAGTGTGAGTGAGTGAATGAATGAATCAGTTTATGGAACAACAGAAACAAAACATAACTAAATAAACCAGCCATAGGAACAACGAATTTATACTCTGTGTATGTGTTTCCAAAAATGGCATCCTGCTGTTGTTGATTTTGTTTTTGGAACCAACAAAAAATGTACAGCCAAATAAATAAATATAAAACAAACCATAGAGAAAAAACACGGAATCGTTTGTTTTTCGCTATTTTTGTTGTTGTTGAAGTTTTTCTGATGGCGTCCTGGTTTGTTCATTTTTTTTGGTAGATGAAAGTCAATGCTTTTATGAAACGACAATCTGTCTTGTATTTTTTTTTTTTTTTTTGCTTTTGACTTGCTCCATATCACCATAGAATATTCTCATTTTCAACTCTCGAAATGAATTTAACAAACCTCGAACTAAATTGAATGATCGTACTATTATTATTATTATAAGGGCTAATAATTCAACAATAAACAACAACGTAAACATCATTTTTTTCTCATCATCATCATAAGCGTCACAATAATTGAAAAGAGCAAAAAAAAATTCTGTATCCATCCTAGCATTCTAAGGGTTTTTTTGCTACAATACAAACATACAAACACACACACACACACACACACACACACACACACACACACACTGATAGAGAAATTTGTTGGTTCTGTGTGTGTGTATTTTCTCTTATCACACCAAAACCATATGGCGCGTGTATTGCGCCCTAAAACCAGGATCATTCATCTAACCAAACTAGGCTGGATGCCTGAATCTAGTATATCGTATCATTTTTTTTCGGTTTCTAATTCTCAGTACTCCACACGGCCACGGCCTGTTGGTCTCTGTTAAACAAAAAAATCGGCTAGCTATTTGGTTATTTTGCCAGCGTGTATCAATTTCAGCGTCACTCAACCAGACAGTCGCATCGCCTAAGATGAATTTTGCATGGCTATGAAAAGTAATAATGAAGAAAATAGAGTTTTTTGGCGCTTCCACCCACACTATTCTGTTCATTTGTTTTTCTGAATTTTGGATTGGTCTTTTTTGTTTTTCAATTATAATCTGCAACAGACAATATTTTTATATACATTTAGCTCTGGTGAATTTTGTTTTTTCAAAACCATTTTATCATTTTCTTGTGATGAAACTATAAATGTCGTAAGGCTTTTATTTAGCTAGATTAAATAATGAATGCATTTAATAATGAATGTATTTAACATTTGTAATGGACATTGTAGCAATATTCTTTCAAACTTATCTGCATGAAGTCTTTTCTGATTAAGCACACAAACCTATACAACACTATATAGATGTAACATTACTCATTTGAATTTTGCTACCCGGTCATTTGTTTCGTAATAATAATTGTTTATAAGTTTATAAATTCAATTTTACTTACCAAATTTATTAATGTAGATCATTTCGATGATGACAATGTTGACCAATTTATTCCAATGTCCATTCGTTGATCATTGCTTTGGTACCTTGTTGATACTAACTTTCTTAGCTCGAAATACCGATTGTTGTTTTCATTTTTTTTCTCTGTTTGTTAATATTACTGAATAATTCATAATTTGTTGCCGTAACAATTTTTATTAAACGTTTGCATGTAGAATTTGAAAATGTAAAAAACTTTAAAGACCTACCAATATTGATGTATGATAACCTCATTGATTGGTGACTGTAAAGCGTCTGTTGAGAACATTGATAAAACAGCCAAAATTTATGGCAATCGAGGAACCCGTATTTTTTTCCGTCTCCTCATTCTAGAATGTAATGAGAGGGTAGTCTAGGCTCTCACTTTCAACTGATGATGATGATAATAGTTAGTGCATATGGTATGTGGTCAACTACACACACACAAGCTAGGATGCATATATTTCTGACAAAGGATGCAGGATTCATTCAGATTCAATATGTGAATCGTATTCCTTTTCCATAAACACACACACACATTGCGACGTGTATACGATGATGATGTTGATCGTACATTTGTTGCTACTGGTGCTAAATAATATATGCCATACTATAGGTGCCGGTGTATAGTATACTGCATGAATGTTTATCAGTTTTACTGATGGAAATTCTGGGCGCCATTCTAGCCTACGGTCTTGGCTACTGCTGCCTCGAAATTTTTACTTTTTTCCATTCCGTTGTAAAAAAAAGACGGGCCAACCCGCCAAACCAGATTATTTGTATGTTTACGTATATAAATTTATGTTCCAACAACAAACCATTAAATTGCGTCGACTCAATCACTGATAAAAAAAAAATAATTGAATGAATGATTTTGAATTGAAATTTTTTTTTTTTTGGATAAACGTGAGGTGACTGCATTCATCTATCTTTCCATTAGATTGAAGGGATTCAAGAATTGGAATGGTAATGACTGGTCTTGCAATTTGCCGATTTATGTGTACATTTATGTACCAGATGGAACGAATCAATGGTCGGTTATTTGTGATTATCAGATGGGGAAACCAGAAAAAAAAGTAGGAACCATTCAACCATTGAACGAGTTAACCAACAGGAAAATGAGATAGTAAATTTAAAAATTAATCAGAATTGCCGTAAAAACGGAATAGAATTGTAGTACAATGTAGTTGTAATCAATCGAATGAAATTGAAATGAATTTTGATTTTATTATCTATCAATGTCTGTTCTTGTTTCGTGTAATTTACACGCAATCGTATAGCTGAATGATCAAAGAAAACGTTATTTTACAATCATTTATTTTTTTATGTGTGTGTGTTTGTGTGTCCATGGCTGTAATGTGGATTCTTCACATTTCGGCCAATTGAATCTATCAATCACAGATTATCGTATAAATACACATAAACGATGGAAAACTGACAAGGCAAGAGTTGTTTGTTGTTCAGATTTAGGTTATCGAACTGAAATTTCGATTCTTTTCCCTGTTTTAGTTGCATTCAAAAATTAATCAATTTACTTCGTTCGGATCTGGATTTGATTTCTTTTTTGATCGCTTCATTTTCAATTCGTAATCGTGACACTATATTTTGCTGTCGTTCTATGGACGATTCGTAGTCATTTTTCATTAATACGGCATTTTGATCAACATTCGATTGATTGGAAACATAATGACGGCTACGCATTCGCTGCATTTTGTCCAATTCAACTTGTGCTCGTTGCAAATCCTGTTCGGATTTGAATGAAGCAATATTAAGGCTTCGTTGATCCAGGTTTTTAAATGATCGATTGTTGGCTAATGGACTTTTAGATTCTGTTGAAGCATGAATTTGGTTAAGTCGATTATTTAAAAATTCAAACATTGATTTAGCGCGGCCTTTTTGTTTTTCGATACGATCATATTGGTCAGAAAGTTTGGCTTCGAATTTTAATTTTTTATTTTTTTCTTTAAGAATTTCTCTCCAATCCTGCTTTTTCCGTTCATGTTCTTGTTTAAGCTTTATACAGTGATCTAATGATCGCCCAGGTGGATAGACAATTTGCTCGATTGGATTGATGATTCCTTGTGATTGTCGACCTAGTCCACGACCTTGTTCATAGCCCATTTTAGCCATCAATTTCGACCCAATACCTTTGGTATATCTTTCCCATTCACCGAATTCAGTACAAGTTAAGTCTGGAATCTGAAAGTCCATAGATTGATTGGATGAACCTGTTGTAAGTTCTTCATGTGAATTTTCAGGCTCTACATTTTGTAACAAAACCAAGCTTTCAAAATGAATCCATTTCTCACTTTTATCCTTATTGATTCGAACAAGAATTCGTTCTTTATTAAGGTCTGTATCAGTGATTTCAGCTTTTTGCCATATGTTTTCTTCGTGGTCTTGAACGAGACAATTTTTTAATTGGCCAAGTTTTGATGAGTCAATATCTTCATCACTGAATAGGTTGATTGAAACCTTAGATCGAACTTGATCGATTGAAGCTATGGGAAAGCCATGTGAGGATTTACAATTATCTTGAAATCGGCAGCAATCCCGAAGATAAAATGGACAAGTTTGCATGGATTTTTCAACTGGATAAAGAAAAAATGCCTAAATAATCATAGGAAAAATCAACTTTTATGAAACAAAATTCTTATAATTCTTACTTTCAATCGAACTTTATGCTCATGTTCACCATTATTTTCATCATCTTCGACAATTACCAAGGCATCATGATATTCAATGTGGCCATTTTGAAACCGGTATGGAACTGAACATTCGAATTGATTTAGTGGATTATCATCAATTTCGGTGTTAATTGATGGAGGCTTTTCTTTTTCGATTTTTTCATCATCGTCTTCAATATTCAAATCTTTCAATAGTTTGCGTTTTTCAATACTTAGCAATTCATCTAGGTTGAAAAAACAACAAATTTTTCACAAATATCCAAGTTTTTAGCTTCAATTACCTTCAAGTAATCGACATAGCTCTTCCAAATTTGATTTAAGTATACCAAGTTCCTCGTTATCGTCTAGTTGTTGTTGTTCTTTGATTGCTTTAAGCTGAAAAGAGAATTTTTTTACAAAGGATTCTTAGAATTTCATTATTAAAAGACTAACTTGAGCAAGATGTTCTTGTAATTCTTGTCGTATGTTTGATTCGTTATCGTCCACATTGTGGACCTGATTGGACATTATCAAATATCCAATATCATGAATCACGATTGATATGAAAAGACTAAGAATGTTGGTAACATCAAAGAAATAAATGGCTCATTGATGGCAGTGTTCTGACACGAGCACATGCGTGTGTGTGTATATTGAGTGAATTGTGTGGATCCACAACGAATAGAATAAATCCTCAAAATTGACGACAGCTGTTAAACGCTACATTTTTGGATTTCTCTCGACGACCACGACGACTACAATGATGATGACAAGGTAGTAGCAGCCGTATTTTTGTATATTATATGGTGAGCTCATTTGGAGAATATTGATGATTATCTAAATTCATCAACAAAATCAGTGTCCGAATTTTCATAAAGAACGACATCCGAATATTTTATGTTAATTGACAACTTTTGTTCATTATATTTGTTTATGTTTCGATTTTCCTTGAATCGATCCAATGATTTAATTGAATAATTTTACTTGTTTGTTTTAATTAGTTTTACAATGTGAGTATTTCAATTTTTTTTTCATTGCCGATGTTAATCTATCATTTGTTTTTTCAATATTTGAATTAGATTTCGATAATGAATCATTTTGATCATACATCACCTAATGATCATCATCACAACCATCAAGTACAATTGGTTGTCAGTAATGACCCCAATGTTGCTGCTAATGCAGACATTATGGATGTAAATAATCAACAACAGCCCATTCATTTGATGGTCAATCTTCCAAATGGCAATAATTCATCTGCCACGACTGTTCCATTCGATAATCATCATCAACAGCAACAACAACAACAACCAAATTATCATCAGCATCCAGATTCAAACACTGCCTCGAATGAAGCCATCGATTCGACCACAACAGCTTCCTATGCTTATTATACCTATGATTCTTGTGGCCAATTGACTTCTACTACTGGTGTCGGTCCTTCAGCAACACCATTTCAAGTTTCCTGGAATAAAGTTGAATTAATCCAACAGCCATCATCAATGGCAACACAGCAATCTGAATGGTATCATAATCAACAACAACAATCACAAATGCTGACCACGACAGAACAAGCTCAGCAAGCTGCAATTTTGGTTCCAGGTTCTTCAATGCCGGGAAGTGTAACGACAAATTTTGTTACCACTGCTCCAAATTTCAATCAACAACAGCAGCAACAGTTTGTCAATAGGGATCTTCCGAATATGCAACCTATCCAGATTGCCCTTGTGCCCGCACAGTCTTCCGTCCAAACACAACTTCAACCTCAACAATCGGTTCCATCATCAAAAACTACAACAAAAAAAACCACAAAACGTGCTGCAAATTCGAAACAATCGAACAGAGGTGAAGGACGACAATCAAAACCTGTATCCGCATATGCACTATTTTTTCGTGATACACAAGCATCGATCAAAGCTGAAAATCCTTCCGCATCATTCGGAGAAATATCTAAAATTGTCGCATCCAAATGGGAAATATTGTCCAAAGAAGATAAAATTGTATACAAAGAACGAGCAGATATGGAGAAAAAAAATTATCTACAAAATCTGGCTTCAAATAAAGCTAAAGAAATTGCACAGACGAATCAGACGGCAACTCCTCCGTCGCAGCAGACTTCGACAGAACTACCAATACAAATGGCTACCATTCCACTATCTGGATCGAATCAACAACAAATGACAAATTCTGATGAATTAACAACATTCGAATCGACTAATACTGGACCATCTATAAACATTTTGGTTACCACAGATGATATGCTTACTGAATCTTCGATTCCCGTCGATGATTACCATCAAACAGCATACGGTAATTATAATCAACAACAGCAACCTCAAACAACGATACATCAAACGAATACGTATCATCATCATCATCATCATTCTGCCTTAAATAATCAAATAATGAATAATCCTTCAACATCGAATGTTATAGATTCGTATTCGCATGCCGAGCCTCATATTCATTCACTTCAACACTCGTCTCAGCAACATATGCATCATACACATCAATTCATTCATAGTAATGATATAAATACAAATGCACAACATGATGATAAAACTCATCATTCTACGCCACCATCATCGTCAACATTTCCTTTCACTGACGATGATGATCCAACTTCAGCTGTTTCATTTTTTGTCAACTCGACCGATGCCGAACAGAATCTTATAGATCTGGGTATTGATCTCAATGATTTCGATGATATCCACCTGTTGAATGATGAAAATATTTACTCGCCCACTAATTCATCGACGACAAATTCATTGTTTGATACGGCCAATCCGGTTGTAGGGGTTGATCCATTTCTTAGTTCATTGGAACAAACATCATCAGATCATCATCATCAACAACAACAATCATCAACAACAAATGATCCAATTTTAACATCCACATATGCTTCCGATTCAATATTACAAGATTCTTATCCAACAGAAATGATTTATGAATCAAATGGACGTACATCATCCGATATTGATCAACATTATGAGAGTGCTAATAATAATTTTTTGCACGATTCATCATCATCAGCAATGGATCATGTTTCTCATAATGAACTTGATTCATCTGTTATTGAATCGGATACTACATTGATGAATGGTGAAAATAATGATTCAAGTGATCATCAACCTAACAATGAACAATCAGCCGTATGTGCAAGAGATGGCTGTCAACGTACAACCATAGATTCGAATCAATGGGATCGCGAATTTTGTTCAGAAGAATGTTGTGTCCTTTATTGTTCCGATGTTTTTCGCACCTGGACTTCGAGAAAACAGCAACAAATGACGGCCGATATGTCACAGCATGTATTGGCATCATCATCTTCAGCATAGCATTGCCATTTTTTTTATTTTATCATTTTTTTTCGCAAGCATTCACAATGCAAAAACATGTTCAAACTTTGCAACATATTTATGCAAAAATATATTTTTTGTATCAAAAAAGACAGAAAATTTAATAACAAAAAAAAATAATAATAATAAAATAATTTTAGATGATAAATTTACAAAATTACAATAACTGAGAGAAAGATTTGTCCAGAATTTGATGGTCCATGAATGAATGAAAAGACACATGGTATAACCGTGAAAAAATCATAAACTATACAAAGACGAATTCGATTGTGATGATAGATTTTTAACCGATTCTAATTGTTCAAAATGTTTACGAGAATTTCGAATGTTGTACAATGTGGTTGCAGAAGCTGTTTTGTATACAATGGACATGATGTGACAAATTAATCATATGAATTTATGAAAAGAGTAAACAACTTACGAATCGATGCATCTGACAATATGACCATGACATATGTATTGGCAGTAAAACTTTCTATAAATGCAGCGAATTGTGAATTACGCACTTCCATATTCTGAAATTGAGCTGCAAGTTTTGTACAGCTCAATTTGAATTGTTTGATAATGTTTGATACTTTTTCAAAACGCTATAACATCAGGAATTTAATATGATTATGTGGACGTATTATCATATAGATGACTTACATGAATATCTTTATGTTTACGACGTTCAGAATAACAAATGACCAGAAACGTTGCACGTTCAAATAATAGAACTTCATCTGCATCAATCATATCAGCAAAATTATTCAAGTGTTTTTCCAATTCATCTACATTCGGTATCAATGAATGAACAATATTTGACCATGCTTTATAAAGAGTCTCATCCCAGATTGATGTACGAAAACATGTACATTGTAATGGTTTCGATAAACGTTTAAGATCGCTTTCACGGTCTTCAAAAATCTTTGAAATTCGAATAAATTAATCATCATTTCACACAATTTAGCTTACTTACGCAATCACGTTGTTCTTCGGAAATCAGATCCATTTTATGTATGAGACAAAAAACTTTTGTATCATTGGAATATTCCATGATTCCTTCGAGACAGCTTTGATAATAACGTATATCTTTATCTAATTCTCTTGATTCAACATCAAATACATAGATCAATACAGCAACATTGCGGAAAATATTTTCTCTTTGAGATGCAAAATAATTCTCCATGAATGCTTCTTGACCACCACAATCCCAGAGATTCAATACCAAATTGCCCAAAAATCGAACATGTGAATGTTCAACATCGACTATAAGAATGAATATATTAATATTAATTAGTACGAAAAATTCGAACAAACCATCGAAACACTTACTTGTCGCTCCTAAACGTCTAGTATCACGGGCAATATAATTGGCAAATATAATCGAACGCATACTAGTCTTACCCGAACCGCTTTTTCCCATCAATAATACCTTTTTCTTCATTGTCAGCTTTTACACCGATTTTGACCGTAAGTTTTTGAATCAAAAATGACAAAAAAAATCCAAATTCAATGGAATGTATTGTAGAGCAAAAAATCTCTATAAATGGGAGTTATTGGCCACTAAACACTGAAAATCAATTGATTGATTGTTTTTGTTTGAGTGATAAATCAATTTGAAGATAACAAATTTTTTCATTTATTTTTGTTCGATAGATTGAGATTTCATTATTATACAGTCAGCTGACGATAACAAAATCAATTTTTCTAGTTCAGCCAATTTGTTTCTATAAAGATGTAAATAAATTGTTATTTTGAAGATCTTGTGATTTAATACCATTGGCAATGATCATTGAGAATTGTGGTGTGTTCGCCATTGCTGATAATGTTTTGGTCAAGTGTGGCGCCATCATTCGGTAACATTTATAGTTACCATTTATTAAAAACAATTGCGCGCTTTTATTATTAGATTCAATTATACTCAACAATGTAAGAATTTTCATCATAATTTTTGTAATGAATAATGAATATAAAAGCCGTAAAAGTATGGAATTCAATAACTTCAATTATTATTAGTAGTTATTTTTTTGGGATTAGTATATTTTTTTTTGTTTGTATCGTTAAAACAAAGACCATATCTTTCTTTTTCAACGATTTGTATTTGAAAGTTTGTTCAGCGTCAATCATCATAATCATTAAATTGTTTAGAATATTGTTTGTATCAATTCAAATGATGAAAACAATGGATATCAATTATAAGCATATAAGTATGTTATTATTTTTTACCATCATTCTAATGTCATCCAGCAAGATATCGGTTTTTGGTCAATTGGTATGTTAATGTGATACTTTAAATAATTCTAATGTTTTAGCTCTAATAAAATTTTTTTTCCTCACTAATAAAGCCGCAATTGCAAACTACATCTGCGGCACCGATAATGATAAATATTACAACTGAAATGCCAGTTAGAAATGAAACAGGAAACTATACATCTTTGCCACCAATAACGTCATCAGAATTGAATATTACAACCGATATCTTTAATAGGACTGAAATAACAAATCATACCATAAAACCTACGGATGAATCCTTCAATGTAACTACAGAAAATGGCACAACTCATTTTCCGTCGCATGTAACAACACAATTTCCATCGCATGTAACAACTCACAGTCCTACTAATCAAACAGATGATAAGAAAATTCGTCGTGCCGGCATAATCATATCGGCTGTTGTAATTGCTATATCGATGGCTACAATAGTATTAGCTGCATTCTATTGGCTTTATTTCGATAAACAGGAAGATGATCAACAATCAATGAGTAGTCGTCAAACAGCTGCTGGTTTAGGCAATAATCTGAATCAAGAAATTAAAGATGCTGCAATTACAAGTTTACAGCAACAACAAGAGCAACAAAAAGGACCACCATTAGCTGGTACGACGAGTGATGGTGAAAAAAGTAAATCATCATCAAAATCATCATCAAAACGTGCCCAACAGCAGCAACCAATGCCTAAAGAATCGTCGTCATCATCATCGAGGAAAAGAAAGGAAGGACAAGCTATGATGGAATCGAAAGATAATCGACCGGAAAAATCGACATCGGGAGTCGCAGCATCAATGATGGATCCATCGCAGACTCAATCACAGATGCCATATTCGGATGTGCTATCGGCACAATCAGCTACATCAAAAAATGAAGAATGAAAAATATAGACCATTATTAGTGGGCATTGAATTGTGGATGGTTGTATTCAGCAAGGGAGAGACACCACCATCTTGAAACAAGAGAAGAATTATTTTTGATTGAAAATAAAAAATTTTCTAAATTGTTGTTGTTTCTAGAATGTACTTTATATATTTAAATGAAATCAGAATTATTTATTTTGATTTGAGCTTTGAATTATTAGTTTTTTCATTCGGTGATTTGAAACAAAAATGATTTTTTCTGAACATATTTCTGTCAGGGTAAATGTTTACGTCATTCCAATTGACAGACTGTCTGTCTATACAATTAGTTTGTCACAAATGTCAACCAATTCATTCGATTCTGATAACATTTTTTTTTGATCTTTTCAAGGTATGCTTGATGTCCAACTATGATTTCGTCAATTTTCTCATCCACCTCACTACTGGTGGCCGATCTAATAATAGTTTTTCTGGTTTTCATGCAAAGAGCAAAAAAATGTGTATTTGAGTGAGTGTATAAACACATATATTTGTTACGATAACATAATACAATTTTTAATTACTTCCAGATCATCATACTGATGATCGTGATCATCATTTATACAATCCCTAGAACAATTGACTTGAACCAACGGTGATTGTCCGCTGTCCAATATGATAACTATTTGTTGTAGTGGTCATTCTTGATCATTCTTAACCACTGCTAATGTTAATATGAAGATGATATTCATATTTTTTTCTGATTGTATGTATGTGCGTGCATTGAATTGTTATATGAATGAATGATTATTATCTTGACAACAAAAAAAAAACATATGCACCTCGATAACGAAAAAATGAGGATACAATATCTAGAAAAACTATAGAAAAAAAAGAAACAATAATATAGAATGTTGGAAGCCATGGAATCGACCAAGCAGAGCACCGAAATGACCAATGAGACCGACATCATCATTATTCGGTATGCATAATTTTCTTTTCAACTATTGAAATTTTGGTCGGTCAGTCGGTCGGTTAGTTTCTAAAAATTGCTGAAATTTAGTTTGAATAAAAATTCGAATGAATGAATATGATTATGAAGTGAATTCCGGGTCAACTATATGAAACTATATTTTTTGAGAGTTCCGTGTTTGTTAATTTTTATGGTAAAAGATAAACGGATAATCTTCATCAAGGTCTTTTTTGTATGAAAACAAACAAAACAAACTAAATGAATATGTGTGTGCATGTGTGTAAAAAATGAGTTTTCTATCTCTATTTTGGTTATCTTGATTAGATGCGCACATTATTTTAGTTTATTTGTTTATAAATTTGTAATAATTTTTTTTGAACATTCGTTGATTCATTCAGTTTCAGTAAATAACTTCTTTTTTTTTGGTTGGTTCAAAGTGACAAGCCGAAATGGAATTTAACATTGTCGAATAACAACGTTCAATTCATATTCGATTCGAAAAACTTCATAACAACGTTTGTAAAATAGCCAACAATGATATAATAATGATGAGAAAATTGCAACCACCACCACCACCACCACCACTGCAACCGTCCACAATGGCTACAACAACATCAGCACCACAAAATACGAATAATCAGCAAAATATTTTCGAGAATTTAATATTTGAAAAATTCTGTTCCTGTTTAGAGCTATGGAAAGGCTGTATACTGGCTGGAATATTTACAATGGTATGATGAAATTGTAAATTGTTTAATTTTATAATTAAAACTAATCCGGTGTTTGTTTTTTTTTTGTTGTTGTTGTTGTAGAGCACAAGCGTTTTTGATTTACTTTGGAGCATAGCTCATATGATTGATGAGGATACGGTCATATTTTTCTATCTATGTAAGTTTCAATATCAATTATTTATTTATTATTATGATTTTTCTATTCATCATTTAATTTAAAATTCCTTGAATTTCATAATGGTTTAGTTGATTTTTGTTTAAACTTTTTATTTAATTATTATATTTACTTTTTTTTCGTATAGTATTTTGCCTGGGCATTGAAAGTGTCATTTTTATTGCTGCCATTGGAATTTTATTTATAGCACTGATCAAGGTGAAAAAAAAATGATTTTATTATAAAACATAACAAATCTAATTTATTGATGATTTAATTTGAATATCCAGAGATCTAGATGTCTACTATTACCATGGTTAATCATGGCATTTGTTGATGTATTTTTCAGCTTATTGATTGCATTCGCCGAATTAGCCATACCGGTAAGTCATTATTTTTATTATTTATTCAATGATTCTTATTATTTTTTTTTTGCAGAGTAATTTTAATATAAGTGGATGTACCGTTCCGGCCATTTCAATGGTGGTCACATTACTTGTTTGTTTTATAACGGTATGTTTTAATTTGATTTTCAATTTTTTTCTAATTAATTTCTTCATCCCAATAGATCTATTGTTGGCTATGTGTATATGGACAATATCTTCATTATTCTAAAAACACTGTTAATACATCCGAAATTAAAGTTAGCCCTATTGATGATTTTGGTCGGCCAAGTAGTTCGCGTGCTGCACGACCATCATCTCAACAACAACAACAACAACTTATGGGAGATGATTTAAATCCTGAAACAACGAACGATATACAGGCACAACAATATCTTCAAGAAAATATTCTCAATGTCAACAATATTCAACAAACGGATACATTAAAAGTACCACAAATTTCTACACCCAGAGATGCTTGGTAAAGCAATTTGAAGTTTTTCTAACACATTAAATTTTTGTAATGCACTTTTTCCCAGAAATTCTTATGACATTATAAAATAACACAAAATAATATTAACCACTAAATCTTATACAATTCTAATTGATTTGTTTAAAAAAAAACATTTATTCAAAATTCTTTAAATTTGATTCTTATTCCAAAGATGGCGATACAAGCTGAATTCATTCATTGAAACAATCATCGTTTTCGTTTGTGATTCATTGAAATGCCTTTGATACAGGCTTTGTCTCAACATTCCAAAACAACAGGCAGCCCAGCCCAGGCTTATATATATTGTTTTATGCTTCTACCATAAATGTATCAAAATTAAATTTCACCACTACCATCATCAAAACCATAATGGAAAATTATTCCACTACTTTTCTCATTTTTTTTTTTCGTTCAAAGTATCATAACATTCTCATTCATTACATACACGCTATACATTGAAATGGATCCAAATATTTGTTTGTTTGTGTATGATTCATAGCAGTTAAGTACGTGTATGTATTTTATTGTATATAATTGTGTGGCTTGACATTTGACGTAGTATCCACAAAACCATTTGATTCAAGACAGATGAACCACAACAATTATTATTGATTTTGTTTGGTGAGGGGGGCGAATATTAAAAAAAAAACAATTACAGAAATGTTCGTTTCACTCACATGGAATATGTATATATGAATTTTTATTATTGATAAATTTATGTAAAAAAAAATTTGATGTTAATCCATTGTGTGTGTGTGTTCGATTTGATTCCTAATTCTTTTCATTGCCAAGAAAAAAATTCTCTACTCTCATTTCATTCAATTATTTGATTTGATATTTTATGTTTTTGATTGGCTAATCAACAATACTTCTTAAATACGATCATCATCATCATTATTATTAGGACAAATTTATCATCTATCTTATTATTTATCATATCACTATGATATGATTTTTTTGATAAAGTTGTTTGTTTGATTTGTGGTTCATCGTTTTGTCTGGTGTCCCTCTATTTTCTTAGTGCTTTCGTTTTTTTTTTTGTTGTCGATATATTTTTGTTTATTTACTCATTATCTTGGGTGTGTGCGTGTCCTCCGTGAAGATATTGTCATTTTTATTCGCTATGGCTGAATGAATCCGTTACAAACAGACCGATCGACAGGCCAAGAACACACTAAAGGTTGACATAAACATGACATCCAATAAATCATTTCTGCAGTTTTAAGTTGTCTTGATTGATACATATTCATTTAAAGGTGTCATATGATTTAACTATGATCCAATAGATTTCTATTATCGATTTATTCTCATCATTAATATAAATTTCAACTTAGGCGCATCAACTCATAATTTCTTTCATCATCAACAATTGTTGTTGTTCATCGAATCATCACCTGTAACTCACTGATCATCAGAGAAAAGACAGATCATCATTTGTTATTTGTTGTCACACGATGTACACACATGGTGTATGATCGAATTGTTATCAGATGCTCAATTGCATCTGTCAATTTCATTTCGTTGAATACTGATCATCATCATTATGATATAATGATGATGGCCTATGTTTTCATGTTTATACGTTTGTTTTGTCAAACAACTATGACTGAATTTTCATCAAAAAAAAAAATCTCATCCCATTGTAATTTAACGTACGTCTCATTCAAATCAAATATTGTGCTTAGTTTGTATGTCTTGAGTACGTGTGTGTGAAAAAAGAGAGATCATTCACACCGTAAATTATCTCGACAACAATAACTGTGACCTTTTCAATAATTTTTTTATCTGATAATATACATCATCAGAAAAAAAACTGTGGACGAAATGGTTCCGAAAATTGACTAGACATGAATTGATCAGTTACTTACCACGATTTTCCCATTTCTATATGTTGATCATTTGTTATTTGTCTTTTTTTCGGCATATAATATTTCCGAATCCTTTTTTTTCGATCTTTTGATGAAATCATTCATTCATTCATTCAATTTTATTATTATACGAACACATACTTTATCGATCAATCAATCAATCAATCTCAATTTCGACATTTCATCTATCTATAAATACAATCAAATAGCAATCAGCAAATAACGACAATAATCAACGACGACGAATAAAAAAAAAGAAAAGAAAAAATAACTTTCTCGGCAACATTATTACGGACAATTCTTTTTTCCTTTTCCTTTTATATATTTCGGTAACTGCTTTTATATATATCTAATATCTAACGTGATTATAATCTTATAAATCTTTTTTTCTTTGTTTCAGTTTGATTGTAATCCATTCTATCTATTTATCATCACTTTATCTATCTAATGTACGTGTGTATGTATTGATTTGAATCTGATTTTCTCTTAATTTTGGTCCAAGAGTAAGTATTGATTGTATTCTTTGTTTTGGAGACAACATTAATAACAATGAACCATTTTTTTTGCAACCAGCTAAATTCTCCGAAAATCCATAGTTCCGTTCTTATTGGTGATATAATCGGACATCGGTTTCGAACAAATAAACAACATGATAATGTTTTACTACGAAGAAAAACCCTGTTTACACACTGTTTTTTTTTACTCATCAAACATCTATTACCGCTATTTCATTCATATCCGCTCAACTTTATATAACTGTGTAGAGTTCTAGATCCTAAATTTAGAAAATTCATCATCAACGCCATCAAAAAAGAAAATCTTTTCAATTCATAACAATTTTCGTTGAGTTTCATTATTTTTACTACATCATACCAGCAGCATTGCACACTTTACATCACATTAAAAAAAGTTGACATCATCTTAAGATAGATCTTTGTATGCTTCGAATATGACTTGAAAAAAATATATAAATTTCATCATCAGCTAAATCTTCAAAACCAAATCAAACCAAAAAAAAAAAAAATCATCCAAAAATTTCGATTGCGCAAACATTTATCTCTATTGAAGCCAAATCCACTTTCAATTCACCGGTTTAATGTGAAATTTTTCTTTTTCTCGAAATTTTATTTTCAATAATAATAATTTAACTCTTCCATCATCCACTAGTTGTCGTTTTGTTCACATGTTCGATTCGGTCTTCCAGTTTTTTTTTTTTGATTTTGTGTCACAAATAAAAAATTCAGTACATGTGTTGATATTTAACCAAAAAAAAAAAAAAAATTAATAAATTTCCGCTATAATAGTCATCATCATCATTGACGCCAAATTCGATCTGGTTTGTCCTCGGAGATCCGGATCATCACAGTAACCGTTATTAATTGACATAAAGTTTACAGCAAAACAAATATAAACATCGACATCGAATAACAACCACCAACAAAACATATACCATTGCAGCCATGAGCTGGGGAGAAGATTTATGGGTAAATATTTTGTTTTTCTGCCAAAACTGTTAATATCCTGAGGGAAATTATTTATGAAATTATGTTATGATGTCAAATGATCGAGTTTATATAACTCATGTGTTCTTTAAGTCCATTTTTGGATGTTTGATTTAAAAATTTTTCTGTCCATTGAATAGATTTTTCTGCTATTTGATTTGATGCTGCTATCAAGTTTCTTTGAAAAAATAAATTTATGAAAATTTGGAAAATACAAAGAAACAGTGAATGATAGTGAATTTCCTTTTGTACTTTTGAATTTTAAACTTATTATTATTATTATTATAAGTGTTAATAGATTCATTAAGTGAAAGAAAGAACAAAAAAAATTATTTTACATAATTTGCATTGGAGATAAGATAAATCTCGTTCATTCATAAAAAAGTTGACTTAATTTTTTTTTTGTTGTTGTTTTACAATTGAAAAAGGTCATATTTTGCTGCTTATTATCATCAATTTGATAATTTTATAATGAGCTTTTGTTGTTTAATTGTTTGTTTGTAATGATAATGATGATTATGGTAAATGATCCTTTTATAGTTTTGTTTTTCATCTGAATCGATTATTTGTTTTTACCAAAAAGCTGTACACATATTGATGATTATGGTAATTTATAACGCATTTTTTTCTGGTTTCGTTTTCATATTCAAGTTGTATTATTGTTTTTTTCCAATTATTGTCTAGAATAAAATTCCATTCAAAACACATGGCGCCATTTTGTTTAAATTATTGCTCCATTGATTTACTCATCCATTGAATCATTGATCGGATTTAACCTTTGACCTATAAAAAATCATTGAACGATTTATAGTATTTGTTTTGTAAGTTTGTTTGTTTATCAATAAAAAAAAATTACTCCATATGATTCTCATTCAATTTTGGTCTGTTTTCTATAACGTTGATTGAACCCAGAAGCATATATGCTATAGCATTAGTCTTAGTTAATCGATCGATTACATATTTGCCACTGTACATCAATTCGTTCGATCTAATAATGAATCGCTCTTGACAACCAAATTATCTAATGCAGGAAGAATGAATCCAGTAGCTTTTGGTTTGTTTGTTTATATGATTTTATATCAAATGATGATGTGTGTTTCTATCCAAAATCTGCTTATTCCATTTAAAAATGTCATCAAACTTGCTCTAAATTTGTCATCGTTATCAGTGTTACTTACAATAATTTGATGATTATGAAATAAGATTTAAGATTATCATTTTTTTATTATTACTATTATTATCAATAAAAAAATATGTAATTTTCATTATGAAAAATATTCCATTCTTTATATATAAATATATTATGTTGAAAACGGTCCAACATGTGAAAAACAAAATTATTGCTAGAAATTCAGCCTGGCAGCCTTGATGTCAAAATGCAAATCTTTATCAATGAATTTCCAAACCAAATTTTAAAAAGTATGGTATACATTTTGTGTTTTTCTGAAACTGGTCAACCAGAAAACAAAAACAAAAAAAAAGAAAAAGAAAAAGAAAACCAACTTATTTCCTCGCCATTCATGGTATTTCATTCATTCATTTTCTTTTCATTCTACATCTACCATGGCGTTGATAATGAATTAGTGAAAGGATACTTTATACGATTTATACTGTTTTCATCATTGTATTAAGTATAATGAGTGAAGTTATTCATTTTTTTTTTTTTTTTTTTGATTCTCACTTTACTAAAACAATGACATACACGAATTACGTTCGCTTGAGCACGTAGCATGATAAGTTTGTCGTATTTTCACAATTAATTCTTATTAGTTGCTGTGAGAATTTTACTGTAAAAAATGTTCAAGTAATATAATATACACATGACATGATGATGTTTTCTTTGTCATATGATGATTATAGATAGATTTTTAATGTTTAAATTAACAGGTTTGAAAAAAAAATAATCACATCATCATAATTAACTCTATTGTTTTATGGTTTAATGATCAACAAGTGTGAGATTATTCTAATTCAATTTTGATTCGGTAAATCTATTCACAATCAAATTTGATGATCATCATCATTTTGATTTTAATTTTTTTTCTCTTTTTTTCCATTGTCTCATTTGGAACTCTTTTCAATTTTTCCAATTTTAATTTATGTTTTTAGATTAGATAATGTTCATTTGCATCATTTATTCATTCATGAATATTTGATTTTCAACATTTTTCTTTTTCATTTCCTATCATAATTTTCTTGCCTATTTGACCGAGTTTCTCTCGCTTCATTTTTTTTTCGTTTAATTGATTTTTTTTTTCATATTCATTCAAACACCCGATAAATATTTTCACTTATCGACTAATGTAATAAGCATATTTAAAGAAGGAACAGAAATTAGACCGGAAACTAGATGACTGCGTTATTCTTTTTTTATCATTGATTTTAATAATAATAATAATAGAAATTGATCATTGGTGATCATTTCCTGTTGACATCATTATCATCCTTGTGAACAATAGCATGACTAAATTTATATGAAGGTTATTTGTTTGTTCGTAAATTTAGTCAAAATAGAAACGGTGATGCACAAACTGTCAACTTGTTTGACAACTTGATTATTTTTAATCATTTATTGATTGATTGTTTGTTTCAAAAATTATTATCAAAATATTTATTGATCGAATTGTTTCGAGGTCAACATCAAATCAATTTATATTGTAATAAAGTGTCAAATGATCATACCTATTGCTTTGTTTAATTATCCTTAGTCCTTCAAAATTCTTTTCATTGTTGCCTTTAGGGGTGAAATGTTTCCATTTTTATTTTAATTCATTTTTCTTTTGTATGAGAATAGATTGGTTAGATTGACTTGAGTGATGTAATCACCACCATTGGTGATGCTATTTAAGCTCTATTTTTCTCATTTATGTGTGTGTGTGTGTGTGTGTGTGTGTGTGGGCGACTAGTATGTAGATCATCATTTATATTAGATGTCTAAAATTGATTCATTTTTGTTGTTGTTGTTGAGGCCATGTCACATGGTCATCAACCCTGATTGTCTTTCTGAACTGATGATTATTATTGTTTTTGATTCGAGGAGAAAATGAAAATCGAAACCACCTATAAATAGCATGTGACTGATCACATCAGATGTAGACAAAAAACCCAAATGTTTTCCGGTGTGTATGTGTATGCAGGATCTAAATGGAACGTTTTTTTTTTGTCTTGATCTTGTTTTTTTCTCTATTTTGCTTTTAATCTGGATCAATTATCAATCGATTGATTTGATCGATCAATTTGCTTAATCTAGATTTTTTCATCTTATTATCCATATAATCTATGTTTGTTTGTTTTTTGGCTTTTTACAATTGAATGTGCAATTCATTGGTTACCAGTTACAGTAGATAGATATAATTATGTAGGTAGTTAAAATGATTTCTTCAACTTTTTTTTCTATATATAATCAGTATGTTCTGATGTTCATTGCATAATATGATTGCAAGATTTTTTTTTTTTTTTTTTGATTTTCATCATGACAAATTGGACTGAATTGCAATAATTTCTAGAATAAATTTCAATCAAAACTGGTTGAATGTATTGCGTTTGTTCTTTAAATTGAGTTTATCATCATTATAACCATTAATTGCACGCATATTATATATCGGATATCAACAATTCTTCTTCTTTTTTTTTGTCATTGTTTAAGTCCATTTGCCTAGAACAGTAATTCTAACAATAAATTAAATTATTATTGTATTGATGATAAATAATGTTTTTATCGAATCTGATGAGCCCGGTGATGATGATGATGATGATGTCTGTTTAAAGAAAATGCGTCATTTTTTGATTGTTTATCAATCGATTGTGTAGAAATCGATATTGCTATATTGATTTTGTTTTTCAATCATCTGATCATCATAATCATTATCACACGCATTGGATATGATTTATGATTATGATTGATGAATTGTTGAGGTTGAATAACAATGTTAGAATTTCCCTAAATCGGATACTCTTTCATTTTATTTTATTTATTATTTGTCAAGGTATTCATATAGTAAGGGTTTCGATTTTCGTTTCATTATGATGGATGTATAATGATCATCATTTGTATGATGATTATTGCACTATCGTCCTTGCTTTGTTGTCAAACATGTCATATTATATCCATATATCTGTATTTCGGAATTTGTTGTTTATCGAATTTCTTCAATAAAAATCGAATCATAACGACGTCATTTTTTGCTAATGAACATTAAGTTCATGTCCATATATAAAGAGCTTTGATTTATGATTTATAGATCATAGTTATTATATTCTTTATTCATTCGACAACAATCAATTTGTTTTTTTTTCGTTCGTTTGTTCATCATAATCGTGAATGATCCTTCTGCTTTTCGTTGAACAATTGTTATTATGTATGTTTTTGTGTTTTCCATCTAAGATTCTTATAATTGTCTCCGAAAAAAGAGGAATACAGTAATACCCTACTTAGCGCTGTTTCACTTTACGCTAAAAAACTTTGGAACGTAACCCGTAATGCGTTAAACGAGGTATTACTGTACGTAATAAATAGAAAAGCAAAAAGAGATCAAAAAATCTAACTTGACTAAAAACAATCATGCAATTGTTAAATCTAAGTTTACTATCGAAACGTAAACAAATGTTGTATACATCTTCGACAACAATCAAATCACAAGCCTCATCATCATCGTCTTCATCATCATCCACATCTGCCATAGAATTATCAACATCGGCACCAGCCAAAATGTCGGGTAGTATGATGGCAATTAATATGGCCAATATTAATAACAATAGCAGTAACAGTAATCGTTCATCAATGCTACATAGTCCTTTATCATTGAAAGGTCCAACAGCTACGAATCAAACGGTGACGATGGGCCATCATCACTATAGTTTTGATTTTGTTTCACTATTGGAACTTGATGATGATTTTCATCGTACTTTGAATCTAGTTAAGGTAAGAAATAGTTTTTTTTTCATCCAACTATTGTGTGTTCATTCGTAAAAACAATGAGAAT